CGACAGAAGTTTCCCGGTTCCGCCAAGACCAGCTGCCATCAAACGGCCAAGACCACAAGCAGAGGAGAAAAGGAAGGTATTCAAGGGTGGCCGAACTGGTGAAAAAAGGAAGCTTCCAGAGGGGAAGCACTGAAGGGCGAGCCCGTACAAGAAGGAGGATAAATCAAACTACTATCTGCAGTACCTTTAAAGACTGGGCCCAGAAAAGGATGTCCGAATATTCACAAAGATAAGTAAAATTTTATGTTACTTTGCAAACTTAAGTTAATCTTTCATTCTTACTGCAAGTGGCAGATTTCAAGAAGTTTTACCTCATGCGAGGTCTACCTTTATCGCCAAAAGGGCGAGAAATGAGTTGTTGACCGATTTTGGTATTATGTTTTTTCAATTACTCGCGCGTAAAACTGAAGTTGATGTATAATAGCGTTGTGTAAAGACTTAAATATTGAAAAAAAAGTTATTGTATAAATTTTATTTAAAACATTCTAGCAAGAAAGAAGTTTTAGTCTGAAAGACTTTTTGAAATGTAGTATTTCAATGTAGAAAGAATTGGCACTTGCTTTGAAAAGAATAGAAGTTAACAATGTACTACTAATGTATGTTTTCAAATGTGTAAAATTAACGGCATGTTGATATGTTCTTATATACATGTGAACTGTTATTTTAAATGTTAAGAAATACCGTGATATGGTAAAAGTGAAAGTAATGTTAAAAATTTGTTATTCGTGTGACTGTAAAAAGACTAAATCATGGTGAATATGTGTTAAAGGTTGAATGATGTAGTTAGGCTCTCTGACGCTACACTTTAGAGTTAGCCACTTTTAGAATAGTACCTCAGGGTTTAGAGTTGAAATTAGGGTGTGTTAACGAGGTCTTCGTTATGTTGAATTTTAACACGTTAGTGTTTTGATTGTAGGAGGAAGTGTGGAACACGTAGACAGAAACACATTCGTGTTTGGTGTTCTTTTACAACACATGTCAGAGAGCACGGGGAGAGATAATTAAAATAGTCATGAATGAAATAAGAATGTTAAGAGAAGTATAATGTATATGTTACTTGCCATTTCATTGTGTAACATTTCATTAAACTAGTTTTCCTTCCAGATCTCTGGAAGGAACCAGATTTGAATAAAAGCTCCTGTTTAGATGCAGTACAGATGAAAAAAATTGTTGTATATCCTGGGAGCTGCTATTGTAAAAACAAATTTCTTTCTTTTAAATTTCTAGTTTCTAGCGAAGTATGTTTGTAAAAGATTGGCCTCGCGTTAGATTCTAGAGCTAAAAGTTTTCAACAAGGTCGTTTTAGACCTCAGTTTCAAACTAATTAACTCTGGCGGGAAGTATGTAAGGATCTTAAGTTTTACTAACGTTTATTTTATTTTAAATCTTTACTATCACTTCTTATTTTCTACTTCCGGCCAGAATTATAAGCGTTAAGGTTTTATGCAAAGTTTGTCTGGCGAACGCCAAGTATTTAAGTTGTGGCCTTTTTGCCAAGCGAGAGAGAGGAAGCAGTTGAGTCGAAGCAGGCCGCTTACCTTAGAAGTTACGCAGTTGCTGTTTGCCTTCCAGGCCAGAGGTTTTAATCCTCTTGATAAAAATTAAACGTATTGTAGTGTTCACAGTCTCTGTGCTACATACGCTTCCTGTTATTATAAGGCCAATCTTCCACGTTTATTATTCTAAAGTTAAATTAGAGTTTAGTTTTATTTTTATATCTTTTACGTTAGACCCCAAGTAGCGGGTCAGTGTATTCCGAAGTACGGAAGTTATTGTATATAGAGAAAAATAAAGGGTTTTGTATACCCTTCGTCTGTATCCTGTCTACTTACCACAATTAGTGAACATAGCTTTAGTAAGCTCTCTGTTCCGAGTCAGGTCCTTGTATGTTCCCGAAGAAGGTTAGAAGGAACATTGACCCTGATAACCTAAGACGGAAATGCTAGTATTTAGAGGAAGTTGTGGAGTCTTCAAGTTTTGTAAAGTATAAGTAAATTTTAAATGTCTTATTAATACTGAAAAGGTTGAAATTTGTTGTGTTTATGAATGATGTGTTACAAAATGTTTATATTTTAAAATGCCTTCCTTAAAAAACATAATTATGGAAATTCTAACAAATAACATAAAATTTGGTATCTCATTCTGTAATATAATAGAAATATTTTCATCAACAAAAATTGGAAAGACTTTTATTGAACATTTACTTTGTGAAAATAATTGAGCGTTTACTTTGTGGAACTGTTTCCATCAAGAACTTTGCAAAATTTAATTGGACATTTTTACTTCAGGACATTCTTATTTATCCTTATTACTCTAAAATGTGAAACTGGTTTAGAAGTATGCAGTGCTTAAAATTATTATTGAATACAAAATTTTTTGACTTTCAGTGAAATGTCGAATTGAGTCAAAACATTGGTCAAAATTTTATGACAATAATTTTTTGTTTAAAAGTTAATAGCTTTGTTAATATGTTTTGTATTTTCAAAATTATATCTTTCACTGCTCTATATTTGCTGCTCTAATGCTTGTCCTTCAACCCTGCTCACCCAAATTTTCTTTGGAAGGTGGGAGAGATATGTAAGATATAACAAAATAAGGATAAAGAATAGGAAGAGTTCTTTGTTCTAAAATAAGAATGATAACTGTTCTAAAAAAATAATTGGCAACCTCAAAATTAACATTCCAAATTTGGTGATGTGTTATGTTACGTAACGTTTTAATGCAGATACCTCTTGTACAATCAAATTAATTGTAAACCAAAACTCTGAACTTAAACTTTCCCACTCCCAAATTTCTTCCTCGTGAAGTGTTGACACTCTCCCCTTTTTAGCAAAAGCTGTGCTGCTGGCAAGACGCTTACTTGCTTAAGATGACGTCGTATATCAAAATTTAATTTATGGTAATCAAATATATTTAAGAAATATCTTGTCTGAAAAAGGATGATTTGATATACGTAAAATAAAGAATGTGATTCTTCAAGATACGTTGTGCTAAATTGCGTCATCAAGCGTTCCACTCAGCCACTTCTGTCTTCTCAGTGATCTATGCAATATCGTAAGCTGTTAAAGCTCCAATTGCTTTCATCTACGCATTTTTAAAAACATACAAAGAGAGAGAGAGAGAGAGAGAGAAAAGTTTTTCTTTATAACTTCTTCTATAAAAAGGGATTTGAATCTAAAATTTATAAATTAAAAATAATGATTTGTGGATTATGCATAAACTATAACTGCGCATATTGCATTTAAAAACAAACGAAATTACTAATAAATAATATAGCTTTGACACAGAAGAAAATGATGCTAAAGTTTTACGTATTATCTGTTTCATCTCAGAATTTAGGCATATTTAAAAATATACAATCTTACGTGGCAGTCAGTTGTATAGAAGCATAATAAATTTTGTGTAAATATTGTGTACCTTTCCTTACATTTATTCTGTATTTTTAAAAGTACCAGCTATTTTTAAATGTGTTTAACTTTATTATTTGTTTTACAATAACAGTATATTTTAGTATTAATTACATTTTATTTCATAAATATGTTCTAGTAACGCAAAGAAATTTTTTTAAAAAATACTTCGCTTTCTATGCAATTAGAGATGACCATAATGTGCATTATAACCTTACTTATCCAAAAAATTGCTAACGTGCTTTACTTTCACAGTTCATAAGTAGAAATAAAAAATTACCAATAAAATTGAATTTAAATATCTTAAATACAGAGACATCTGGTGGCAATAAATGCAACTGACCACCGAACGTCTATAAGCACAAATACAGCGCAGTAATGTAAACTAGAGCTTCGAGAGACTATTTATGTCTTCTCCTTAGTGTAAACGGTCGTCCACCTGCATAAGAAATGCGAATGTCTTGTCTGCAGAAATGCATACGTATTTCTCCCAACGACGCTACGCTAATGGAAACGGGGCTAAAAGTTTTTTTCTGATGCTGAAGGGCCGTCCTTTTGAACTTTTCCAGTTTATAATACAATTTTCAGTACATTGTCCTAAATACTGTAATTTTTTTTTAACTTTCTTCGGCGGTACTTATGTTTTATTCCGTCATTGGCGGGGATTTTGACAACGATCGCGAAACGCTAAACGTAGTTTGCTGCGGAGTTCTAAAGGAAATGGTCATCCATAATTGGCACCAAATCACGCTACTTGGTCAACAGGGTAATATGTAGCTACTGGTACTGTTGTGCGAAGAATTTTCTAAATAAAATTCATTTAAAAAGTTTAAGGCAACGGTTGCTCGCAATTGCTGTCAGTGGGAAGGAGGTTTTCTAGAACTAAAAAGGTATATTTTGCATTTAAGAAACCTTTCTATTCCTTGGAACAATAACGTCCATCTGGCATCATCCCTAAATGACATCGGCAGTTTTGTGAGCAAAAGAAATGAGCAAACTAGGAATGTTATTTAGAAATGTAGGAATGTAATATTTACTTCATAAATAAATACGGGGCTTTAATTTATTTATCGATACGTTATTTCAGCATTTTTTAGCTATTTACTTGTATATGGAGAGGATAGGGAAATTCAGGGACCGCCTCAGGCAACGAACTTTGAAATCGCCCCGGGCGGCGAAAGCTGTTGTTACGCAATTATCCTTTTATTAATTAAAAGTATTTCATTTTACACCATGCTCCTAATATGCAAAAGAGTTTATAATTAAAGCTAATGAAAAAAAGAATTAATTATTATTCGTAAATTTCATTTGTATTGGTCTTTGTAATGGTTGAATAGCTGGACCATTTTCCTTTTGGCTGTTCTTCCTAATCGCGGCTATACTACTGAATATCTTGGTTCTGGAGCACCATAAAATGATGACGCAGGTAAGGACGATACCTCTGTATAAAGTAAGAGTATTTATTAATATTAATAGGTGAAAAACTATTAACGTGACATGCAAATTTGGATTTAGGCCTTCAATATTTACCTTTTAAATGCAGAAAAAGAACTCTTACTTCCTCGATTAGTGAGTGTCAGCGATATATGAATTTTCTTCTGACTATCATGTATTTATCGTAGATTTAGATTTTTATATAGAGATTTGTTCTAGAAATGTCATGTTGTAAAATTTATTACTCATATTGAACGAAGGAGGAGGTACTTATTATTTGCATTCTTGGATATGAGTAGTAATGACAATTATATAGTTGAAGGCATTGGAAACGAAGTCCTGTGGTCTGTATCTGGTATCATTGGAGTTACTTTAGGATCTTATTTAGTTTATCAAAGGTATAATGTAATTTTCTTCTTGTTTCCGTATGAAATTTTTCAGCTAAAGTGCAGAATCGCCCACTTATTTGTTTGGCGCTCTTTAAAGAGTAAGAAGAATTGGATTTTTGTCAATTTTCTTTGATTTTTTAATTGAATATAGGTCGATAAAGTCAAGGGAGTGCGCAATGCCATTTTTGTGCACTTTTGGGATTTTTTTTTTAAAGTGAAAATAGATCGATGTGTACAAGGATACCGAGTATGTGCAATTCTTAAAAACGCGCCAAGCAGTGGGTGATTCTGCACTTTCCCCAATTTTTCTTGTGTTTCTTATATAAATTCTCTTAAGGTGTTTATTTTCCTTCCTGTGCAGTATGTTTTATTGCATCATGTCCAATATGTATTATTTTAATCAAGCAGAATTAAAACTAAATTCTTTCATTATATTTTTCACTGTCAATGAACAGATCATTTCATTCATTCAGAAAACAAGCTGCAATACCACTATCAAAATATAGGTATTTATTCAAATAGTAAATGTAATTATTGGCAAAATTAGTCAGGTCTTCATAAAATAAAAGTAACTGCCATGTATACAAATTTTTAACTTGGCTCCATGTAAAATGTATTCAATTAAAGTCTGTAAAAATTCTTTATCCAAACAGAAAATAGAAGGATGATCTAAAACCAATAGAATAAAAGTAAACTGTACAACCTGATGGAATAAAAGTAAACTATGCAACCTGATAGGTTTTTGTGGAGGATGGAACTGCAAACAAAAAAAAAAAAAAAGAAAAAAAAAAAGTTTGGTCAGGTTTTGTTTTGGTTTATTTGATTATGGCAAAGCATGTGAGGACTATCTGTGTAAAGGGAGAGATTGTGGAATGCTTTCTTAAGGAAATTGGCCAGTATCCTTATTATGCATGCAGAAATCCACAAAAGTGCCCATGCAAACAGCATGTTTGTCTGGAATTGAAGCCATGTCAAACTACCTGTATTCAAAGACTTTATTGCTCCAGTATCCAAGTACTGAAAAACGATTTTCTTTTTTCCTCAAGCATAACATTTTCTTTAAACTTTTTATTGATCCTATGAGTGGTATGACTGACTATTGGTCATGAGATTTTTTATCATTTGATGTGTATTGCATTATTTCTTAAAATATTTTATTTTTTAATGATTTAAGTATTATTTTAAGGCATAACGTTTATGCAAACAGAGACTAAATAATTAATTAGACAAATTTACTAAAAAAAAAAAATGCTGTTGAAATACAGATAAAAAAATCTGTGCTATTTTAGAGAATTAAACTGCTTAAGATATCAGTCTTTTCTTTTATGCTAATGTATCCTTACAACCTTAACATTTGTTAAAATTTAAACTGTGACATAGCATAAATGAGAAAAAATTAATTTTTATTCAAAATCGGTATCATAGAATACTGTTGCCCATTAACCCTTTGAGGTTCGGTGCATAATAAAATTTCATTTTAGGAAAAGTAACTTTACACATAGATAACTAGCCACTAATAAAATGTTATTTCATAAAAAAAAAAAAAAAAAAAAAAAAAAAAAAAAGGTAATTCATGACATGGTGGGATACTACTTGTCCGTACCGCGTACGTAGAGCGTTAAAATGGCATCTTTGCAACAGCGTAAACTCTCCTGTTTTAGCAACCAAATGAAAATGCCAGATATAAAAAATGTTTTTGAATAATTATCTAGCAAATATTGATCATATTTGCACAATAAAAAATATTTTTAAAAAAATTACATAATTAAAAAAAAAAATCGATCTCTGTACTACATTTTAGGTATTTTTTAATGATTTCATAATAGATTTGAAACAGAGAAGATTTTTGCTCCAGTACTTTATTTGCTACAGGTTTGAAAAGGAAGATATTTAAAAGGCCTTCATGATTTACATTTCACCTTTCTTTCCTCTGCTTAGGATATTTTTCTATGGTGAATCACACTTACATATCCAATTAGTATTTAATGACATTTCATGTTACATTTTCATTTCTTTCGGAAAAAATACTAAATATTTTTTAAGTTTTAACATTATTGCAATTTATAAAAAAATATAAATTTGCGTTATCAACATATAAAACATGATACTGGAATTTAAAGATATTTGAATGGTGCTGCCATCTAGTAGCAGCAATTCTTACATGCGGGGTGGGATGTATTTGGTCCCACCTTTTAATTTAAACCATTCTTAATTAATATATATGAATTCAAATAATATTTTGGCTAATCTTTGGAATATGGTAACAGGTAGTTTGGTGACATTTTGGTAAGGCAATAAGGGTTACTAGCTAGGACTTTAGCAGTGTACATGGATATAGTCAAGAGTGTGTGCAGTGCCGTTTTTGTGCAATTCTGGGATTTTTTTTTTTAAGTGAAAATAGGTCGATGTGTACATGGATGATGCCGTGTATGTGCAATTCGTAAAAACGCGGCAAGCAGTAAGCGAATCTGCACTTTGTCCCAATTTCGCACCTAATCTTCGTCATGATTAAGCACTTTTCTTCCATAAAAGTTCTAGCAAAAGCTTAATTCAGCTAGCAGACTGTTGGAAAAAAAATGTTCGAAATGTTGAGTAAAAAAAAAAAAAAAAAAAAACATGCCTTTACTTCGTGAAAACAAAATGGCATCCAAACAAAAACTAACAGGTTGCTGTAACATGGTTGGTCGCCAAATTTTCGCCAAAAAACCGCCAAGTTACATAATCCAAAGATTAACCAATATTTTTTTTAGAAAAGGAAACTTTCACATAAAAATATTCATTCTAACACCAAAAGTTGGTCAGATGATTTAAATTGCATTAGAAATAAATTTAAAAAAAAAAAAAAAAAAAAAACTGCTTTAAAATTAGACCTGCAAAGAATTTTTATTTTACATTATTTCTGTGAATGAATACTAGTGCTGCCGTCTGTTATACATTTATAGAACTAAAAGGCATAATAGTATGTATTTTAAATTTAATTTTGCAGCTTTCATAGTGTCCCACCTTTTTTTATTAGTTTGCCAATGATTACAATTCCATAAATGTAAAGTTTGTTTAGAAGCCTCTTTCTTCATATTGTGTCTTAGGCTCCCTGGATATAACAAAGGCAACCAAAAAGCTTCTTCCCGAATTGAAATTGGCTTTAATTTTGTGAACCAACTTCAAAATTGAATTAGTGGTTGACATGCCTTTTCTGAAATCAGTCTGTTCTGCTAGAATCTTGTTTGATTCCGGGTTAAAACCTTAGTCTGGCAGTTGTCATTCTTTCAAGTGATGTTTCAAATATATTACAGAGAAAACATTATTAATGAAAACATTTTTCAAACTTTATTTTTATTCCACGTGTTCCACTCACACAACACAGCAAACGAATGTCTGTGCACAAAATTTACTCAAAATATGCATTCCATTCCCATGGCTCAACTAACTATTGTATTGGGTATACCTTAACCTCTGGCAAGTATGCCATGCATTGAGAAAGTAACCTTGAAATAACATTGTCAGTATTATATTTCAAATAATTGTAGATGCGATCAAGTAAGAAGTATGGCAAATAAACATATTGTAAAAAAACGAGTTCACACGCTAGTCAAGTAAACAACATTTATAGTTTGTGCTCCATCTAATAGTTTTCATCAGATTTCTTTTAATTGATAAAAAGAGGCCTTTAATCTGTGCCTTTCATTAAGTGGTGTAAAAAAAAAAAATTCTTTGAAAGGGAATACAGTCAAAAGTCTTTAGTCTTGACTCGTCGGGGACTTTGGCGATTCCAGATTATAGATCATCAGTTTAAATCTGGTGAGATGGCATGCAGAAATTATAAAATTAAAAATACAAAACCTTAATTTATGAAATAAAGTGCAATTATGATCTAAAGGGTATCAAAATTTACAAAAAAAAAAGCTTAATATTTATTTGTTTACTTTATTAAACATTTCTTTCAACGCGCGCATGCGTAAAGCATACATTATGCATAGTCGAAATTAGAAAATTGCAACCAGAAATCTGTTTGATGTGTATTCGTGATATTTATAATGACGAGGAATTTGATTTAAATCATATCAAAGACAGAGTAAATCGAGATGAAATACTACATTATAAGCTGAATAAAATAAAAACATCTGCCCTGAAGGTAAGGATAGTGCTGACAGATCAACTTTCAGTTCATTGCGCACCACGACTTCCCCCCCTTGCAGAATAGCATGAAATTGATAAACAGATTTCAGAATGGTTAGAGAAACAAAAGAGCCTTTATCCATTTTTTGCAGCAATTCCACCAAACATCGAAACATGCTTTCCCTTTGTAGATCCAGCATCAGAAATTCTATTTGACATAATCGAAAGTTCGAACTTACTTTTATGAAATTGCTCTAACAGTCTGCAAAAAATAATAAGCTGGATCCAATTCGAAGATTAAGGAACAACGTAATCTGCAACGTTAACTGAAATAGATAATTTTAGCTTAGCTTATAACATCCGTTATACATTAAACGCGCATGCGCGAACGTATGCGTTGACGCATGCGCAGAAAGTTTGGAGCAGAAAGTTTGAGGTCTGATTTATAGATCATTCCAGATTAACGACTTTTGACTGTTGCTTTATGTTAGGACAATCGTAATTTCTGTTATTTATCATAAGGAAATTAATAAATTATTGTGAGGGGTACCTAAATGCCATCTGAAACATAGTACAGTGCAAAGTCCGTAATCCGGACTCGTCGGAGATTACGGATTAGGGGTTTTTCCAGATTATAGATCATCAATTTAAATCTGGTAAGATGGCATGCAGAAATTATACAATTAAAAATATAAAACCCTAATTTATGAAATAAAGAGCAATTATGATCTAAAGGGTATCAAATTTTACAAAAAAAGCTTAATATTTATTTGTTTACTTTATTAAACATTTCTTTCAACGTGCCCATGCGTAAAGCATATATTACGTGCTTGCGAATAATGTATGCAAATTCTTTACGCGCATGCATAAAGCATACAAAAGAAAAAGTTGTGGCTTTGAGGTCCTGATTATAGATCATTCCAGATAATGGACGTCTGGATTACGGACTTTGTACTGTACTTCTAAACATGGGATATTCTTTTCTAGGCTACTTAAAATATGGTTTTTTAGCTGAGTTATTTTATATACAAGGTTTTTGTAACTTTTTTTTACTAATAAATTATAATAAGCCATTAATATTAACCCCCTGAGTGGCATGACTGTATCTGGTCATGAAACTTATTGCTTGGTGTATATTGGTTCACAATTTAAAAAGTTTTGCTTTTTTAATAACATTTCTTTCTTTAATAATGTAAATATAATCTTAATGAACGATAGTTTGTGAAAACAGAGACTGAAATAATTAATTATACAAATTTAGCTAATAAATGCTGTTTAAATACAGGTCTTCATCAGCAAGATTAAAAAAGCTGTGCCACTTAGAGGGTTTATATTATTATATCTATTATGAACTGTTTCTGTTTTGTTTGCAATTTTTGTTTTTCCTTCTCAGATTTCAGAATGGGAGAGTAACTAATAGGCAAATTGATAGAATGGTAATCAATCCTGAACAACACCTGTCTCGCATGAGAGAGCGCTTAATTAGGCAGATTGATCCTAATGCAGTAGCTACAACAGATCGTACTGGACCAGACCTCCAGTGTCCTGTTTGTCTCAATGAGCTTCGATATCCTGTTGAAACCAATTGCGGTCATCTATTCTGCGGTAATTTTTTTTTTAAATAAAAAACGTAAAGAAAATTATCTTGCGCTTCTTATCAGAATTTCATTTTAGTAATACAGTACAAAGTCCGTGACTCGTCGGCGATTTAAATCTGGTAAGATGGTATGCAGAAATTGTACAATAAAAAATATGAAACCGTAATTTATGAAATAAAGAGCAATTATGATCTAAAGGGTATCAAAATTTACAAAAAAAAAGCTTAATATTTATTTGTTTACTTTATTATTTCTTTCAATGTAAATTTTTTTTTTTTTTTTTTTTTTTTTTTTTGTGCGCTTATACTTTTTCTTTAATTCTATAAACAGACATGACTTCTTGTTCAGTTACAAAGTTCCACTGTTCAAGTCCTCTAATTGCTGTGTCGAGAATACTGACTAACTTGTCAGTCGAAATTTTTTCGTTTTCAATAACCTCTCTGTCACTTTCTTCACTATCAGAAGCATGGGTAAATGCTTTACGCACATGCGTAAGCTTGTGGATTTGAGGTCCGGATTATAAATCATTCCGGATAATGGATGTCAGGATTACGGACTTTGTACTGTAGTACTGAATTAGGCAGCTCATGCATAATGTAGTGCTCCTACAGCAGTTTGTGAATATGAATCTTCGATATTCTAATTAAATTTTAATTTAAAACTAAAGTGTATTGATTAAAAGTGAGAAGAAAGCCAAGGAAAAAGCTTATTAAAATATATTAGTACTTAATAATATTTGTAAAAAAATTTTCTAAAACTTTTTTAAATTAAATTTTTTTTAGGTATTACTTAAAATTATGAATTTGTAAATTGAAATTTTTTAAACTTCAAATTGTAACTTTGTTAGCTTTCTTAATTTAATTTGAAATAGAAGAATTTTAATAGAAGTATTCCACTTAAATTATATATATAAAAAAACATAGGCCAAAAATTTTTTCAATGTGCGGGTTTGAAGTAAATTAAACTTAAAGCATCTAAATTAAAGTTAAAATTAAATTGGAATCAAAGCAAGGCAATTCCTCAACAATATTAATAATTGCAACTGTGAATAAGAGGTATCTAAACATATCAAAATTAAAATAAGAATTCATCAGTAGAACAAACTCAAAAAATAAAAATGTGAAAAGGAAAAAATATAGAAAATTATAACAATACAAAAATTAATCTCTTTTCACTGAAACTCTACTTCGTAACTCTTCAGGGGAAAATGAATTAAAGTTTCATAAAAGTTGATTAATATGTTTCAAATACATGTTTAATTCTTCTGGTTCATTTGAGATCAAAAACCGAAAAAAGATTCAATTAATTTTCATTTAAGACATTAAAATTCATTTAAAATCCAAAAATCGAATCTCAAATGTATCCAGAATTTTCCCTACATGCATTCGAAACACTTGCAAAAAAAGAATAAAACATTACATTGTGCCAAATTGACTACTAAAAAAAACAATAAAACTTTACATTATGCTAATTGACCACTCAAAAAAAAAAATTGGTCAAATAACATTATATGTAAATCTAACAATCAAAAGCAATTACAAATTAAAGAGCAAAACAATTACTCTTTAAATCAAATTTTCATTTAAGCAACGTTAAAAAATTTGGTGGTCCCCGATTATGCGATCCTAAACTTTCAATACCAAGAAAATGAAAAACTTTTCAGAAGAGGTTTCTGTATGTAATATAAAATCTAATTTGAGCCGAATTCTAAAGATGACTTATCGTTTTCCAAATTGTGTTCCTTGCAAAAGAAAGTTTAATTCAAGGCTACTCGGAAGAATAAAAAATTTGTACTTCTTGGAAAAAATATGTGATAAGCTTCAGAGTGACCAATAGCAGAATGAAGTATTTTAACGTGTGTTCAAAATGTTCTATGCTGTTAAACTTTGCGTGTGTGTGTGGGGGGGTGCAAAACATACAGGTCGTAGAAGGTAAGGCTTCACGTAATCTGGGTACAGTACGTCTCATAATCATACCTAGTATTTTCATGCATTAAGCTGTTGAAAAATTATCAGTAAAGACAAAGCAAGAAATTTAGAACCAATTTTTCACAAAGACCAAAAATTGAAATTCATAAGTAATAAATTTTATAAAATACATTTATAGGATTTATAAAATCCTATAAATGTAAAAAAGAATTTAATAAATGTTAAAAATTCAAACAAGTAATATCCATATTTAAAAAATCAATGAATTTAAAAGAATAAAGAAAATAAAAGAAGAGGAATTCAATCAACTTCAGTGCCACTTCATCAGGAAGAACATTGAAATCCATTGAAATCTCGGTTAAAGTGTACAATTGGGTACCTCTCATTTTTTTTTTTTTTTTTTAATTCTTTTTTGACGCCAAGATTGGCAACAGGAAGAGACAATTTCAAGATAACCAAAATTAAAAGTCAAAGAATTGAACAAACTTGGCGTCCATGTACACATCCATCTATTTTCACTTGTAAAAACACCAAAGAATTGCACAAACTCGGCATTGCGCACTGCTTGACTTTGTCCATGTACACATTGATCTGTTTTCACTTCAGAAAATCAGGAAGCTAAAACCAAGTTAAAACTGTCATGGTAACCAGAAATGGGGTTTCATCACCAAAATTCAATAAAATTTGTCGCCAATTGAAGAGGTACCCAAGTCTACACTAGAGCCGAAATCTCTCTTCCATAACAATCCTTTCTTCTCTGTATCTAGAATTAGCTGATGAACCATTCCAATATATTTTAATTACGAGGGCTATCCAGAAAGTAGATTACGTTTTGGAATAAAAAAATAAAGTATAGGAAACAAATTTTATTATATACAGATGAAAGCCACACTCAAATACTACTTTTCTACATAGTCACCATACAAATTAAGGCATTTATCGTAGCGATGTACGAGCTTGGAAATTCCTTCGTCGAAAAATTCGGCCGCCTGCGCCTTCAACCACTTCGTTACCTCTTCTTGCAGCTGTGCGTCGTCATCAAAACGCTGCATAGCCAGCCACTTCTTCATTGCTGGGAATAGGTGGAAGTCGCTCGGTGCCAGGTCGGGACTGTACGGCGGATGAGGAAACAACTCCCACTTAAAAGATTCAAGAACTTTACGAGTGACATTTGCCGTGTGGGGCCGGGCGTTGTCGTGAATCAACAAGATCTTAGAGCTCAACATTCCTCTGCGCTTGTTTTGAATTGCTCTTCTGAGTTTTTGGAGAGTTTGGCAATACCTTTGAGAGTTTATTGTAGTGCCTCTTTCCAGGAAGTCCACCAAAATTACACCTTTTCTGTCCCAAAAAACAGTCGCCATCATCTTCCTTGCCGACATTGTTTGCATGCATTTCTTGGGTTTTTGGGGAGAACTTGTGTGCCCCCACTGCATTGATTGCAATTTCGTTTTCACAGTTCACATGTTTCACCCATGTTTCGTCACCAGTAACGATGCGATCGAGTAAAGAGTCACCATCCTTATGGTAAGCGTCCAAAAAGTTCAACGCTGCAGCCATTCGCTGGCTGATTTTTGTGGTCCTCTGTCAAGATTTTTGGAATCCATCTTGCACAAAAACTTGTGGTAACCAAGCTTTTCGCTGATGATTTCGTGCAACAAACTTCGCGAAATTTGTGGAAAACTCAAAGAAAGTTCCGTTATTGTGAAATTTCGATTTTCACGGACTTTAGCATCGACTTTTTCGAGAAGTTCGGCGGTCACTATGCTGGGTCTCCCACTTCGATCTTCGTCGTGAACATTGGTTCGGCCATTTTGAAATCTTATGACCCACTGACGCACTCCACCTTCAGTGATAATGTTGTCCCCATACACTTCACGAAGCTGCCGATAGATTTCTATCGGTTTACAGTTTTTTGCAGTCAGAAACCTTATTACTGAGCGCACCTCGCAGCTCGCGGGATTTTCAATTAACGCAGACATTTCAAACCGTCACAGTATCTGAACGGAGCACAGCACGAACCTCTCACTAGCACGGCTAGATGCAGACTGAGCTGCGCAACGCTCTGACCCCAAGATGGCCGCGCTAGCCCCGCCCCTAGCGGACACAGACGGAAACGTAATCTACTTCCTGGATGGCCCTCGTATAATAGTTCACCCGAAAATTCTTGTCTCTCCCCCCCAAAGTAAGGGAAAAAATTTGAATTAAAATTTTACCTTTAAACAAAGATAACTCAGCCAAAGAATTGAAAACATAAGTGAAATAATAAAATACTTGGTGAAAATTATGGTTGATTAATTATAAAAGTCTTCCCAGTTAAGAACAAACGTAGTGAAATACAACAGACCAAATGTCCCAGTACTATCTTCATGTGCTATTCTTGAGCAGCTGCAAAGTGTGCAGTTGTTTTTTAGATCAGTGTTTCAATTTTAATTTTGTTTGACTGAAAAACATTATTTGGTTTGCAGTCCATTGAAACTAATCTTAGAACACAATAAAAGTATAATTTTAACTCATTTCTTACAGATTAGATTAAAACATTGAAATTCTTTAATACCATACCCTAAAAAAGATAAGACATATTATACAGAAACTGAGAATACATCTCTTGCAGATTAGGTTGAAATATCAAAATGTTTTAATATCATACCTGAAAAAGAGTATACATTTTGTATGTGCATTAGATTTTAGTTTTGCTTTGTTTAATATTGGTAATATTTTACTGTTTGCAGTCTTACTAGTTAACTTCTTTGATAATTTTCCATTAATGGGGATTCAGTCTAAAGTCCACATGCACTCCTATATTTGCTGTAGTGCTGAGTTATAAAATTTATTTAAAAAAGATAATTCTAAAATGCGAAATAAAAGATTGATCAATTCAGTTTACTGGAAAATAAATTGAATATTTTTTAAAAATTAATAAAGTGTATTGTATTTACTCATAAAATGTTTGTTGTATCATTATGCAATTTTATATTTGTGAAATTAATGTTCTCTGATAAAGCAAAAAGAAAAGGGGGAGATTAAAAATAGCTTTGGTAAGATAAGTGGGATTTTCATGATATTCTCTTCATGACCTAGTTCCTTATAGTCGCCTCAATTGTGTGATCTCACCTTCCAGTACATTGCCTTGGAATTCAATAGCATGTAACAATTGTTTATAAGTAAAACTATAAGAAATTGATATAAGTTTAATTAATAAAATATTTAAGTGCCAAATATTATTTACCACACCTGTAGATATATCAAAACTTTATATTAGTACCTCTTACGCTTTCCCATAAGAAAACTGAATTAATGCAAGGCAGTTTGGTTTGAATATTGCTTAATCATTTCTGAAATGCTTTATTATAAAAAAATTGTGCTGTATCTAAACACTTGAAAGCCTATAGTATGAAATATCTTATGTACAAAACTTCATTGTAGCTAATTTGTAGTTCTATATCCTTTTCTCATGTTTTATATATTCTGGAAACATTAAAAATGACTTATACAGAAGTCAAACATTAAGACAAGTTTATTTAACATATTGGGAGTTGCCAGCTAATTTCTGGTTATGTAATGAAAATTCACTTCAAATTAAATAATGACATAAATAGGCTATGGACAAAATTATTTTGAAAAAACTTAAAACTGTAATTTTTAAATTTTTGTAATTAGCAACATATAACCCCCTAATGTCCAGTTCTCAACTACTAGTATTCTTATACCAAATAATTTACTTCGAAAGTTTTGCAGGCTAAGGTTCTTTTCAAGTTATCTGACTAATACTGATTTTAATATTCCCTAATCATAATATTTATTAAATTTCAGTCTCTTCCTGATATGCATAGACATTTATTTTTTATGGTTTTATTATTTAACTGATTTATATTAGGTAAATATCCCACTTTTATAAACTAATTTGTTTCCTATAAGTAATGCAAAAGGGAGAGCTCATAAAGGTTGCATTATTCATTTGAATTTTATCACAAGGTGGCAGTTATTTTTGCACTAGTTAAATGAAAAATAAAATTGTGCAATTTAATGGATTTGTAATTATAAGAATTTCTTAGGTAAGAATGTATACAATTATATTCCTGTGTTAAAATTTAATATTTTATTAAAAAAAAATTTTAACTAAAAAAATCGGTTTAAAATTTTTTAACAGCACAATGTTTAATCACATATTGGAGGCATGGAAATTGGATGGGTGCCATACGCTGTCCAGTTTGCCGCCAGACGGTAAGTAAATTCTAGAAAGCTTAATGCTTGCTTAGTCTAGCTGGTGGTGTGTCCCCCCTTCAATATTGTTTCCCTTGGGAGAAGAGACATGTAACTACATAATGTGGAATAAAGGTCCATTGAAAATATTAAAAGAAATTTTAACTTTAAATAACCATAGGATCAGTAATGTTTTTTTTTTTTTTTTTTTCATAAAGCCTCCTCTGTAGTTTATTGAATCATTAGCAGTTGCTAAAGTTTTATTCATCTCGTAATACTTTCGAAAACTGTATTCTGTTTAGTGATCATGGTATCCTGCAGTAGCCATTCAATTGTATAAATTGATGGATTTATTAAATTTATCAGTTATTATCATCAATAATTTAATAACTTGAAAAAAATAGTGGTATTTTCAGGGAAAATTTTTTTAATATGTGTAAATACTATACTTGATCAGATAGTAGCTGTTAAGAAAAGTAGTTACATTTAAAACCTTAGAAAGATGTTAACAATTAAATGTAGTGGATGATGATTTGTCACTGCTTGGATTTGGCAACTGACTACCTTCCTCCTCACTTGAAGTGTGAGAAAATGTAAGGAAAATTTCTTCCTTACCATGTGCCTTCTTGTTGAAATTGGAAGCACATCTGGCTAGCATTTGGGAAGCCTGGAGTTGAAATCCGGGCAAGGGCATGGAAACACATCTAGCTAGCGGGTGGGAGATCGGGAGTTGAAATGTGTTATAATTTATGTTTTAGTTAAAATAAAATATATAAAGTAAAAATGTGCTTTTTCATATATATATACAGGTTTTCAACAATTTTTGCATTCCAAGATTGGTGATTAAAGACTGCAGATATTTTATTAGGATATCAGTAAAACTGATATTGAGCAATAGTATCAAATACATTTGGCTTGCACTATTTGCAGTAATAAAATATTAATGCATTTTGAAAGAATGATCTTAAATATCATAGAGTTATTTAGTGGACATGCTAGTAATATGAGGCTGTTTTTGCTCTGAGAGAGTAGGCTTGAATTTTGGATAAGGCTGCATGTAAAACCAAGGCAGAGAGTTAAGTTTTGTAATAGTCTTCTGTTGTTTTTGATAGTGGAGAGAGAGCATGGTCATTAAATATGAATAAATTTAAAAGCTTATTTTTCTTGTTCAATAAATTGCCTTGTGCATTTATTATACATAAAATCAATGTTATAAATTATATCTACCTTGGTTTATGTAATGATATTTTTTCTGCCTATAGGTTATAGTTCTATTACAGTGCTTCAGGGAAACTCCTGAATCAGAATCTGATGAGCGAAATCAGATATTATATGACATAAATGATTATAATCGACATTTTTCTGGGGAACCCAGACCTGTAAGTATTTTAAATATCAAATTTATCGCATTTTAATTGTTTTTTCTGAAAATGTCTTTAATATTTATGTTACAGATATCGGCTAGAACTAATATGAATGCTTTTATCAAACATGTTTTTTATTAATGTGTTTAACGAAAATTATTTGATATAAAAAGTGTATGCAGTGACAAAAATCTGGGGCATTTAAGAATTTTTCAGTCAAAGGCAATTATTAGCATACTTGTTAGTTCTTTATTTCAAGAACACGGTGAGTAGAATAATAAGTATAATGATTTGATACAAGCAGCTTGGGTCCTTTAAATTTTGTCGCAGAGCACAATGAACGGGAAGTTGATCTGTCAGCACTATCCTTATCTTCAGGGCAGATGTTTTTACTTTATTCAGCTTATAATTTCTTACTAAATGTAGTATTTCATGTCGATGTGCTCCGTCTTTGATATGATTTAAATTAAATTCCTCGTCATTATAAATATCACGAATACACATCAAATAGCTTTCTAGTTGCAATTTTCTAATTTCGACTATGCGTAATGTATGCTTTACGCATGCGCGCGTTGAAAGAAATGTTTAATAAAGTATATAATACCCTTTAGATCATAATTGTTCTTTATTTCATAAATTACGGTTTCATATTTTTAATTTTATAATTTCTGCATGCCATCTTACCATATTTAAAGTGATGATCTATAATCCGGAATCGCCGAAGTCCCGACGAGTCCGGAGTAAAGACTCTTGACTGTATTAGTTAAAACATAGATTAATTAGCATATCTTGTAAGAAAATAAATTAATTAAAAACTGAAACTCTCTAAACATTGCATGGATTAAGACTGAAAATTATGCAAAATGATTAATTTAAGACTGCAAATTATGCAAATTATAAAAAAATTTTTTAAATATAAATAAAACTCTATTACAATAGGGATATAAAAGGTACTGATTATTCACATCCCCATTTGAGGGTGTTGCAAATTTGTTGGCAACTAATTTTTTGCCAAAGCTAGGAGCCATTTTCAAAATGGCAGTGCTGTAAGAATTCCATGAAAGAGCCATCAATGAATACAATTAAAAAGCAAGAAACATCAATCATAAAATACTTTTTTTCAAGAAATCCTTCTGTAATGTTCTCCCCATTTACATAGCAATTCATTTTCACTTTAAAAAAGTGTCAGAAAATTGCTTAAAGTTGGTGAACACACTTTAGCCAGCCTCCATCTGGTTGCACTATCCCGGATCTATATAACATTGCCATTGATTGTAAGCCAAACCAGACGTGCTGTGCACATATCTGAGTGGCTGCATAAGTGCTTTCTGTCTGCACTGTAAATTGCAGCATAGCTATTTTGATGAGCTGAGGCAACTGCACAGATCTGCAATTTTTTTTTATGATAAACATAAACAGTACAAGAACATAAGAATCATCAAATCACATAAGCACTGTTTTGTTCTGTAACTTTTTACCATTTCATTGGCAGCTGGGAAATTCTTTTTCTAAAAAAAATATTAGGTTTATTCATAGAGAAATCACCAAGGGGATGCTTGATGGTCTTTGAAGAAGTGATAATTTTGAAGTGACCTGAAGGGATGGAAATCTGGATGTGGCTAAGGTCTAGTAAGTATGAGGGAAATATATCCTATAAGTCTTTGTTTGACATGTATCGAAATGTGCAGACGAACATTGTCATGTTGGAAGACAGCCCGTCGACAATTTGTTAGTTCTGGATGCTTTGCTATGATTTCTGCTCTTCAAACTGCATTTTGGGGATAATAATTTTCCAAATTTATTGTAGGGTTTGGTAGCACTTATTTATAATATACAATTTTTTTGTAGTCTTGCCATATAACAAAGTATTACTTTTTTTGGGATACAGTTGCCCTATCCATGTTATTAAAGGAGGTTCTTTTGCTATACTCCATCCATGATCATTTTCTTGTAACATTATTGTGTAATATCCACATCTCATCTTTATTTCTTTTTCAGCAAAGAATAACTTTCTAAGGCTTAATAAAACATATTCTGCTCATATACATAGCATTTTACATACCCAGTCTTCTTCATGTACTGTAGTTTTTGAAATAGTTAGTCTGATAGTTTGTATAATATGGATTTTTAGGAATAACTTCTTTTAATAGTTCCTTCTTTATACAGGATGGTCATCCAAAGCAGCACAGACAGTTTTTATGGAAGTTAGTATTTAGGCAGAATTTCATGTGTATAATTAATAGATGATAAAAGTTAGCATTTTTCATAGAAATGTATGACTTTGTATGAGAAAACACATTTTAGCAAAATGCTGTATTTAATCTAATACAGTGTGCATAGTCCAAGATCTGAACTCATCAGGACTTTGGAGATTCCTTATTTTTTCAGATATTAGAACATGAGTTTAAATTTAGTAAGATGACAAATAGAAAATATAAAATTAAAAATATGAAATAGTGGCTTATAAAGTAATGAAGCATTTATAACTTTAAGGAATAAAATTTTACACATGCACCAAAAAAAAAAAAAAAAAAAAAAAAAAAAAAAGGCTCAACATTGTTTGCTTTATTAAACATTTCTTTCAATATAAGTTATTTAAGTTGCTTCATTTTTTGAGATAATTCTGTAGATACATTTAATTTTTTTTTCACTTACAAAGTTCCATTGTTAAGTCCTGTAATTACTGTATCGAGAATTCCCATTAAATTGTCAGTTGAAATTTTTTTCATTTTCACCAACCCCTCTGTCACTTTGTTATTTGTGGTGATATTTTCCGTCTTTATACTGCAGATTTCGCTCTGCATTAGTTGATTGATGATAGGGGCATCATCACTGTGAAAAACCTTCTGTTCTATCATCTTTATTTATTACCATTTCTCCGTGTATTCCATTAATTCGGAAATTTCGTTTTTTGCTGTGATATCTGTAAACCTTCAAATGATCATAAAGCTTAGCTAATGCCCTTTATACACTATTGGCGATATATCATGAGACTGGCGAGGTACTGACGAAAAATCCCGTCGACCACAAGAGACAGCGCCAATCGTGCCCCCCCCAAATTTACTAAATACAATAAAAAAAGTTCTAGTTTTATTTTTCTTTCAAATTTATTATATTATCATTTATTTATATTTAATTTTTCATTAAAAATTTCCATTATTTTTATTAAGGAGATATGCTGTAAAAGCAATTATTTTTGCTAGGCGCCATTTCGTGGCCATTAACACATTTTTTTGAGGCCAGTAAGATTCCATAACATTGGAAATATTGAACAGCATGCTCTTCTGTAGTAGGCAGGTCTTAAATATTAATAATATTTTTCTTTCAAAATTGCATGATAGAGGGGAAAAAAAGGAGTCTTTACTCAAGAATAATAACTAACACGTGTAATCAAGGTTACACCAAACCCAGAGAGTTTGAAGAAGACTTTTTCATTTTTTGTGAAAAATCTTGTAGTTTGGCGTCTTTTCTTTAATAGGCAAAAATGATCGACAGGATTTTCCATAAGTATCACTAACGACTAAAGACATGTTAAGACACACCAAACAAGTACTAATTCAGAAGTCAAACAAGACATTCAGAAGTCTTCTGTTGCTCAACATTGTTGGTCCAAAAATCACACTTTCAATTTTTCTGCTGCCAAAATTATTCAAAAAACATTCCATTGGAAAACTGGATTTTCTAGAGGCATTTCACATTCAAAAAAATCTTTCTGTTCTGGTTAATGATCCTAATTCCAATCCATCTTTGCCTTCGGCCTTTAAAGAAATTATGTTTTAGTTCTGGTTTCATCAACAGATGGCGTCACTTGCTTATTCTTGTCCAGGCTATCTTATCTAATCATTATATCCTATCTCGCTCATTTGCCCTTTTACAACTGAGGATGGTGCTTCGGTAAAACCATCGAAACTAGTCCTGTGAAAATTTGAAAATATAACGCTGATGTTTGTTGTTTGACTTCTGAATTAGGACATGTTATGTTGCTAATTTTGCCTTGCTTATATCACGCACTGAAGAATAGCGCTGTACAAATAATTTGGAGACATTCTGTAGCTGACATTTTACAACAGAACTGGAAGTAAATGATGGCTCTAATCTGATAGAGTGATTTGTTCATTTCAGACACCTTGTATGTAATAATAATATTTTTTTGCAAATTTCATGCCACAGTGTTCTAAAACAAGTTTCTTTCTTTCAAATGCCAAAAATCATTTGACAAAATATGACTAAACAAGCCAACACAAACTGTTTGTGCAGACGATATTTGCTGTGGCGGGAAACTTTCTTTAAAACCCAATAAATTCCTACATATATTTAAGGCTTATTCAGGACCAGCACTAGACATTTTGCAGCTCGGCGCAGTCTTTGATGTTCCTAAATTCCGCTGCTAAGTGTCTCTCTAAATTCTAAAAATTTTGCATCCCAGTGCCTTCCATAAATTCTAAAGATTTTGCTATCCCTTAATTTTGTTGTTATGTGTTTCTGTAAATTGTAAACATTTTGTCTTCCCTAAGAAATACTGGTACCTGGTGCCACTGCATATCCTGGTACCTGGTGCCACTGCATTAGTTCTGGTGCTGGTCCTTGGCTTACCTGAATAAGGAATCATTTATTCATAATTTAAACAGCACTAAATGTAGTCTTTTGGCCTATGAGTATTGCTGATAAAGTCTGTTTTTTTGCATGCGGAAAGAAATTTCTCCTTGTCAGCACAGTGCAGTAAGCTGAAATCTGTTGTCATCACCAAGTGTAATGTCAACATAAAAAATTATCATGCTCTTTGTTATTCTGTTACTATTTAAAAAAAAAAAAATTAGCCATCGATGCACGAATCATTTCTCAAGCTACTTCATGTTGATATACGGTAATGGAAGAAAAAAGAAATAATTATTTGCCAGGTTAGCATCAGGAATATGAATTATTCATTAGGCATAAATCAATGATATTTTGATGTAGAATGTTTTGGTTTGAGATGTTTAAATTAAAAAGGTCGCTACAGTGTGAAATTAGTAATCATTAAGAATTATGCTAATAAATGATTGTTTCTTTAGTGTGGAAGTATTTAATTTAGTGCTGAAGTGAAATTAAGAATTGGATCTCATCACGTTTTATTATGAAAAAATATCAAATGTGCATTGGTAAATCAGACAAAAAAAATTTCAAAAAAAAAAAAAAAAAAAACAAGTATCTTGCAATCTGAAGGTCTGGAATTTAGATCATTCCATATCGTCACTTTCAGATATTAAAAACTTATTTAAATATTTGCTGATTTGCTATATGAAATCAGAGATAGAAAAATGTACTCATGGATTTAGGCTTAGTAGCAAAAAAGCCCCCGACCCTAGAGAGACGCTCGCGTAAGACACTGCCGGCCTCAGCGATAAGCGCGCATTTTCGCTACCCGGCTCGAAGGGGTTAAAAAAATTTTTATCAACTATATGCAGTCATTTTCCAATTTACTGGGTTAATAACATCTGTGGTTACTCAAAATCATAGCTAATCCAAAAATACTTTAAAAAAAAAGTGTAGGAAAGAGAAGTAACCCATATTAAAAGGAAAATACTGTTAACAGTTTACCTGTATTTTAAAGCAATTTAATCTGGATTATGAATTTGTTACACAAATTAAATATGCATTCAGAACAAAGAAAACATATTGTAAATAATGAGAGAATAAACATTATTAAAAATAAGAAATTAAGTTATATATGGGATTAAAGAACATTATGTACAAAAGAATTTGAGCAATGTCGTTGAGTTCGAACTCATTTAAAGCCATTGTGTAAATTTTTTTTGAAGCATTTTGTTTTTATTGCACAATGTTTATACATTACAGATTATATTATTAAGCTCGCAATTCACTGATATCTCCATGGGAATTTTCATGATTTTTCTCATATATAATGTGATTCTGAACCAGTTTCCCTTATTTTTAATTCATAGTCCTCTGCAAAGGGGTCATTTTCCTTAAAAAGATAGCCATTCTATAATTTAAATAATCTAAATCAGAATACGTATAATTAAGTTATGTATTGTACAAGTTCCAAATACAATGTCAGCATCTGCTGTTTTTACTATTATAGGTTCTCTTTGTTATTTCACATATTTTTCTTTTTGTTTGTTCCTTATACAGCTATATTTCATTCTCATGTTTTCCAATAATATCTGTTATTATCACCATAAACAAACTTGAAATTTTTTAGATATGCCCCAATTACTCCACTTCCAGTTAATCAGAGTTGACTATATTATTATATTAACAAGTATTGTAATAACTGTTCTAAAATTATTTGAAGTTCTCTTGATTATAAATTTTTCTAGTAATGTCTGTTGTAATAGGTTTTCTAAATATACAAGTTTTCCTGATCATAATTTCAAAGTTTTTAAATGTTTTTTCTTTTATTTCAGTGGCTGGACTATTTGTGGGATCTACCTACACTTTTGCGCCATGCTAGTTCGGAGTTTTTCTCAGTAGGAGGTTTAATGTACATGTTCCGGCTACGTATATTTTTGTGTTTTGTGGCAGCAATTATGTATCTTATTTCTCCTCTTGATATCATACCCGAGGCAGTATTTGGCATTTTAGGTCTACTGGATGACATGTTTGTTGTTTTGTTACTTGCAATTTATGTAACGGTGATTTATAGACGATTTTTAGCGACTCGGTGGCAGGATCAGTAACAAATTATTTAAGGATTAACCATGTGATATATGCAAATCCTGAATTTCAGCTAATATATTCTATAAAGTGCTTAGACTCGTATTTTAAATCTTTTTTGAAGACAGAATTATTATATGAGTGAGCACTGCTTATTTATAGAATTGTTATGTGAGTCAATATTACTTATTTATCCTGTAATATTTTCAGCTTGTTGTGATAATCTTACATAGACTGACAGTATTTCAAATTAGCAAATGTTTAGTATTCCATTCTGTGGAGTACCTGGCAATTGCTAATTTAAAATATTAAATGTCATTGCTATTATTAAGTCATGTCTAGTAAAAATGCAGAAATGGATGCTTTATTTGATTTTTTTTATTCCTTATTTGAAATAATTGCTTTCAGTTTATGGAATATTTTTGTTAAGTTTCTTGGTTAAGAAACTTACTTTCTAATTAATATTACTGTAATTTTATGTGATATATATATGTATAATGAATAATATTATTTGAATTTAGCATATCATAATTATTGAGCCAAAACAATGAATGTGCAATAACTTTTTGTATTAAAGCATTTTGTTGATAAATTTTTCTTATGTGGGCAAAAAAGAAGTCAAAATATTCAATAAATTTGGGCGACACATTTGTGCCTTAACAGATTTTTAAAAATAAATACAGAAAAAGTACATGTGAGATGAATTTTTAATTCTAATTTTTAAACATTTTTTTACATATAATTCTTACTTAGACTAATGTTCAAATTTGCATTATTTCAAATTGGGGAGGGGAACCCTTTACTGATTAAATTCAAGAATAAATGATCTCACATTGGTAACACTTCTTGAAGAAACAAATATGGAACATTTCTTATACGGTGTGGGTGAGATATGTTACCTGCCAAGAATATTGGCTGAGTGCTAGCAATGAGGTAACTGATTCTATATACAAAGTTGTTTTCCATAATATTACAACATATCCAGTGACTTGTTTATTACCTTTTCGGAACATCCCAGTCCATACTATTTTGTTTTCACAGAATTTACAAAGAATAGGACAAAGGCATGCCATTGCCACAATGAATGTACTAAGTTCCCCCCCCCCCCTCTGAGTGGCACTGACAGCCTTTAGATATTTTGTCATTTGGTTCATATTATGTTAGCATTTAAAATATTTTGTTCTCTTATTACTTTAGTGATCTAAATTTTGTTTTAATGAATGAAAGTTTATGAAAACAGATACTAAACAATTAATTTTACAAATTTATCTGCTAAATACTATTTAAATATAGTTCTTCAGAAGCAGATTCAAAAAGCTTTGTCACTGAAGGTTAATGCAATGGATATGGAGTGTTATGATATTTAGTTTTCAATATTATACCATTTTCCTTTAGGGTTTTTTGTTTTATTTTTTAAAATTTGTATGTTCAACAGTTGTGTACATATAAGTGTTTTATTTTCATCTATTCATTCCACAAGTTAAAAAAAAAAAAGTTTTTTTCTCATAACCCTAATCTTTTTTTTTTTTTTTTTGTCCCCTCTTCCATTTAGAATATGCAGCCAGCTGGTCAGAAATAAGTTTACAAATTTGAGATTTCCATTAAGTTATTAAGGCATTACTTTCTTTTGTGTAAAGACTGTTTAATTTTTAATTAAGGAAGTTTTGAAAGATATTCAGACTCGCTAGTTATTGTTGTAATTTGGGATATTTGGTTTCTTTTTGTCTTGAAGAGTTTGGAAGAAGCTACTGTTGTTGACTGATGCTCAGTTGCCTGACCTATAGTCAGCCCAAGTCCACAAAATTCCTTGTGGCAAGGAGCGTGAGATATGCCTGTCATTGTCAACAGCCTTGGGCACCATACCGCTATTTAGCTCTATCCTGCCCCCAGTTTTGATGGAAAGCACCCTGGGGGGGGCACAGGTCCGAAGGTCTCCCACTCCTCTTCCCCTACCACTAACCTCTCGACTTTCGGCTCACTGCATATTTAGAGTGTCCCCATGCCGCACACACTGTATACATTTACAAACATCCATACCTTCTCGGGGATTTGAACCCAGCTCTCTGTGTTTACTTTTAATTTTCAGAATTTTATGATTATAGTAAAAATAATTTATTCTTTAATGCTGTTTTTAATCCAAAAATCTCATAAGAAAAATTTGAGGGGGCATATTAGAGTTATACATGCATATATATTGCAAATCCTATTAAATTCAGCACATCTTTGGAATTCTTCCTTTGATGGTCATGCATATTTCATGGAAAAAAAAAAAAAAGTCTTCCTTTCATAACAGTTTATATTTTAATCCATCTGAAAGTATTTAGTTAAATTTATTTTTTGTAAACCTCTCTTTACACAATCATCATTTAGTTGTTTGCATCCATATGTGACCTACCAGAGGCCAAATGGATATAAACACTGAGTCAACACTGGATTCAGATTACAGTAATGGGCTGACTGCATGCATGTTTTCTCATCTCATGTATAATGTGAATGTGAGATAGTTCCCTTAGAAGGTTCTCCATGAAGACATCCCTCTCCATTGGTAAATAATTCTGGTGTGCTTTGCCTTAAACAATCAACCCAACATATCCCCCATAACTTCCTTACTTCTGATGATGACCCAGAAATGGTATACATTATTACAGCAGTTCAACCTGAGTTTTAATCTTAACGAATACGGGTTGCAAGGGTATTTTTGTGTTCCCCCTTCCCATGCGTAATTGGAGCTTTTTTTTTTTCTTTTTTCTTTTTTTTTTTTTTTGTTTTGTTTTGGCATGTTGAAATCAAAAATAAAAAATGATATTTACATCATCAGGGGTTGGTGCAATGAAAGAAGCAAATAAATAAAATAGCCTTTTTCTAAACTGACAGGGACACAAAGTATAAAATTTAAAAATAAACTTCGAAAAACAATCAAAATAATCTGCGTGTCTATGAGTCCAGGCCGAAATAAGCAGTGCAAAAATTGTAGCATGAAAAACATAGACAGATTCAAAAAGACTGGAAATTAATAAGAAAATTTTAAAAAGATTTTTGAATAGATCAAGTCTAAAAACAAAACTTGTAAAAATAATAATCCAACACTTGAGAAAACAAAATCATTTGAATTACATTTGCAAACAAAATTTGTCATACAAGTACAGCTCTGCCAGTTCCCAATTTTGAAGGAGAACACCCTGGAAGGCAGTCACTCTTCAGTGCTACTTTGCAATGCAGAGCCATTGTATATGTATATAATATTTTAAGGTGTAGGTGAAGGCATGAAGAAGACATTAACAAAACTAATTTCGGCGAATCACCATCTTTATTTTTACACATTTCAAATCATCTCTTTTGGCAAACAAATTACTTTTCAATCATCATTGAATACAATAAATTTTTATATACACAGATGAAAAGATACAACGTCATTTTAGGCAGGGAAGCATAGCGGCATAGCATTGTTGTCTTGGCAGACGACAGAAAAAAAAGGAACGTAGTTCCTCGCAAGTCCGTATTTATACCACGTAGATGTTCTCTGTAAAGCTAAGCCATGAATGGTTAATTTTAATTTTAGTTACCTTTTTTGAGCAGTGTTATGTAATTTGGAAAGATCTCAACTTTTGGAGAAAGGGTGAACTCGGGGGGGGGGGGGGGGGAGCACCAAATCTAAAATGGTTAATTTTGAGGTTGCCAATTATTGTTAAAGCAGTATCATATTTTGTTATATCTTACATGTATGTGTGTGTATACATATACATGCGTTCATGTGTGTATATATATATACATACATTGTGAATAAATGCAAATGAAGTTCATAAACCAATATCTGATTTTTCACTGTAAGTTACAGTAACTTAATGTAACAAATTGAAAAAATTGAAAATATTAATCCAATACATATTCAACCTAGAACAAGGAGCTGGCAAATATAAAAGTTTTTTGCAAATGCAATAAACCACTATGAATAAAAAGTGTCCAGCATTTGAATCAAATGTACAAATGAAAAAAAAAAAAAAAGTTAAAAAAAAAAGAGTGCAGAAAATAGAATCACAAAAGTAGTAAAAATAATACAGAATTTGCATCTCTTAGCGCATCATCATCGGGTAAGGGGGGTAGTTTAACAAGAAAAGCAAATGGAACATTGTTCTTCTGAACTGATTATGACTCAAATTTACAAAATTAAAAATTTCAATAAATTTCATATTGGTTTATGAACTTATTTAAATTTTATTTATTATTATATATGCATACATATACAAAATATGCAAGTCACAGAAAACATTAAATTTTTACTAAAGTACACTAACTGTTCTTAAATAGGAAAACTTTTTTTTAAATAGAAAAGTCAATCTTCTAATGCATCAGTTAACAAATTCTATGTTTTTAAAAGCATGCACAATGGTGGTTTGTCTTGGCACACAGGATAATAATAATATTTTTGCTTCACTGTTTATTTTATACACAACTTCAGTAGGGCTTTGTGGGGTTTGGGGGGGGAAGTAGATGGTATACTTTCCCCATATCTTCTTGATATTGTGTGATGTAGGATCTTTCATTCTCTTAAAAAGATTAGTTTATCATTAAAATTTTGTGCAGATATTTGAATTGACTATGTTATAAAATTTATATGCATTTTGTGTGCGTATGTCAAAACTGCATTTTGCCAGTTTAGATGGCTGTTCACTACTATTCATGTGGAATTCTAGATTGATACAAGATTACTTATGTTTTATATGAAAGAGATTAAATCTGACAACTCAGCTACAGAACAACTTGTCTTTTAGAAGTTGATGCATGTGGTACAAACAAGTTGATGTATGTGGTTGCTTGAGGAAAGTGGCTACAGATGTGTATTGCATTTGCCTCAAAACATTTCAGAAGAAATTGCGTTATGACTGCTAAAAAAAATGAATACCTCGGATAATATGATTTTGCCTTTCAACTTGACATAAATTATCAGAAAGCAACTTAGAAATGTTTTTAGGTGAAAACTATAAAAATTGCAGATAGTTAATGATCTGCACAAGAATTTTGATTTGTATACAAAATATACAGTATTAACTTTTTTTTTGAGAAAATTTCAATATTAATCTTTCTGTGTATCATATTGCCTCCTTTTTATCAATAATAATCACAATAGCTCCCTTGTTTAAATTACTAAAATATCATATAGTAAACATATGCTTTTAAACTATGATTTGGGAGGAGGGGATCTTGTAAAATTTTATTTTGAAAACAGTATTTGTGCTTGTCTAAAACACAACAGAGGAAATGCCTACTTACTTAGAAAACATATGTCATTAGTATGCATTCAGATCTGTCAGAAGAGATTCAAAATTACAAGGGAAAAAAGTTGTTTCTTTTATGGAACGTATTTATAACTCATTGAATCATGATTTATTATTGTTCACCAGTGGGCGATGAGCAAGACTATTAACATTGGTAGTTTGACCTTGTATCAAATACCTTCAAATGAAGTAGCTGCATGGTTTGTCTTCCTTTCCCTGCACCCCACTTTTAATGTAAATAGACTTTTTCTCAGAAAAAGGACACATCTTTCCTTCGGCATATAGCACTTATATCCTTGCTATATTTAATAAATAAATGAGTAAGCCTAGGTTTTTACAACAAAAGTAACCCATATGTTGTTGCCAATTAAGCTAACTTATTTATAAATTGAAATGAGTATAAAGAATATTTCTCTTTGTTGGATACATTTCCTAATCTCTGACATCATTAAGTCGTGATCTCGGATGTCACATGCTACTTTTTTTTGAAAAATTTTTTCTTGCTATTTCGTCTAAAAAATTTCTGCCAACACTGTCATAATGAAGGAACTTCTAGTAAATTAATTTCATCAGCAGTTTAATATAGTCAAACTTTAGTAGTACAGTGCACTCAGGAATGATTAAAAAATTGCATATTAAATTAGATAATTTCAGCAGCAAAGTTGGGAAAAGACTGAAATTGATATCTTATGATTTTTCTACATAGAAATGAAACATAACCTGTAAAAAGGAATATTTTATTTATTTATATTTTTAATATAGCTTCATATTAAAATAACTGTCAGTTTAAATTTTATTATGTAGATTTTTTTTTTTTTTTTTTTTTTTTTGTTTTTCAACAGTATGTAATAATCCTTATCTGATGTTTCATTCATAAGATGGAATATAAATTTTTGATCTGTACATATAGTATATTTACTATACATATAACAACTAGCAATCGTGCAGCTGCACAACAGGTCTTTGGTTCGATCCCAGGGCTGGGCAAGGTTGACTCGGACTTTCATTCCTTGAATGGGTCAATAAAATGAGTACCAAGTTCGCTTGGAGGCTAAACACTAGGGGTCCTGCAAGAAACGGACCACTTGCCCAGGTTATATGCTGATGCATTCCAGGGCCCAAGGTCAAAAAAGCAGATTTCGTGGCCCTGCAGGCTGTTGCGCCACTGAGTTTAGTTTTTACTATTCTTATTTTATTTTTTTAATGTGAATTTTTTCTGCCTTTGTTTCACAGTTATTATCCCATGCAAGTCTCTTGCTTCTAAAATTTGAACTACTTTCCTGGGTATTATTTCTCTTGTAGTCTATATATGTATATATTTAATTATATATTTAATATGTATATATTTAATTTTCCCATTTAATGCAAAGCACGAGAGAAAGATAATGCATTAAATGCTTTAAAAATATTATAGTTAATTTTTTAAAGAGATTCAAATTCACAAAACCATATGAAGGAAAATCTCTACAATCATATTTAGACTTTATAAGGTATTTTCTCCCCTCTTTTCTGCATGCCTTCATGGTGCAACTGGAAGCACATATGATGTATATTCACAAGGTGTCGAGTTCGAATCTCGGCGACAAGAGCATTGCATATTTTTCATGTTGCTGCATCAATATAGCCTAATGACTCTATAAGCGATTCACGAACTAAAAGATGGTGGAGGATAATTTGTTACCACCAGGATTTGGCAGCTTTCAAAAGGGGAGTATATAAGGTATTTTCTCCCTCCTTACATGCTTTCGTAGTGTAATGGAAAGAACATATTCGGGGGATCCAGCGTTTGAATCCTGGTGAGGGCATTGCACATTTTTTACATTCTTGCATCGATATAACGTAATGAGTGTACAACTTTGCTAGTTTTCAAAATTATGCTTATTTCTAACTTAACAGTCAAAAGTCGTTAATTCGGACACCCATAATCCGGAATGATCTATAATCCGGACCTCAAAGCTAAAAAATTTCTACGCATGCGCCGCGTTGACACATGCGCATAGGCGTTTACGTGTGCGCGTAAGACCTCTTACGACTGCGCGTTTGCGTGTGCGCAAGCGCAGAATATGTTTTTGCATGCGCGTTTTATGTATAACGGACAGTATAAGCTAAAATTATCTAATTATCTATTTCAGTTAATGTTGATGATTGCGTTGTTCCTTAATTTTCGAATTGGATCCGGCTTATTATTTTTTGCAGACTGTAAGAGCAATACTATAAAAGTAAACTTGAACTTTCGATTATGTCAAATAGAATTTCCGATGCTGGAAGCTTCCCAAAGGATCTACAAAACGAAAGTATGTTTCGATGTCCAATCAAACAAAAAAGTGGAATTGCTGCAAAAAATGGATAAAGACATGAAGAATGTGACAGAGAGGTTAGTGAAAACGAAAAAATTTCGATTGACAAGTTAGTCGGTATTCTCGGCACAGCAATTAACGGGACTTGAACAGCAGAACTTTGTAACTGAACAAAAATTATGTCTGTTTATAGAATTAAAGAGAAAGTATTATCACATAAAATGAAGCAACTTAAACAACTTACATTGAAAGAAATGTTTAATAAAGTAAACAAATAAATATTAAGCTTTTTTATGTAAATTTTGATATCCTTTAGATCATAATTGTTCTTTATTTCATAAATTACGGTTTCATATTTTTAATTTTAGAATTTCTGCATGCCATCTTACCAGGTTTAAACTGATGATCTATAATCCGTAAAAATCGATAATCCGGAATCGCCGAAGTCCCGACGAGTCCAGATTAATGACTTTTGACTGTACTAACATTTAAGTCAAAGCAGTGAAGAATAAGACAAGTGTTAATGCCCAAAAAATTTGAAACATGAGCAACATTTTCAAAAATTGATCAGTTTAGAATTGGGCTTGGGTTTCATTCTTTAGAATGCAAATGATTTTGTCTTTTCAAAAATCAAATGCAAAATGAGTTTTGATCTGATTAATAATACAACAAAACAATAAAGAATACAAATAATGTCCAGTAGTAAAGAATTTCAAGAACAAGCAGTTATTTTTGAAATAGGACTAAATTTCTTTCTTTAATTTTTGTTTTCCTCATTAATGGATTTGCTGGTTAAGCATTTGTCGGGCTGAACTCATCATTCATTTGTCATTTCATTATCAAGCATATTAACCGGGGTGCACTATGTGGAATAACTAAAATTACACTTACAAAAAGGCAAAGATAACATGCAAACAAGTCTTGCAATTTGCATGGCAGTAAAAACCACGTCCTTGGTTTTGGATTTCAATTTTTGTTAAACCACCATACCATTCTGGCAGTTTAAAACAACATCCTAAGTAACTATATTAAGAGTTACTTAGGATGCTATCTTGAAAAATGTATGTGGAAAGGGAATTCAGGGTATGACATTCTTAGCTTATTTTATTAAATTATCGTAGTTTCGAGCTCGTGAACTGTAAATTCTCTTATTTGAATATGTTGTAATCAGCAGTGGAAATCTTCTCCCCCTTCCTTTATAAAACTAACAGATGCATAAGGACTTTTTGCACTTTTAAGAATCTCACAATAGTGGTAATTTAATAGAGCATGTTAAAAATAATATAAGTATTTGCCTTTATATTCATAAGTTTCTATATTTCATAAGTTTCTTAAGGAATATTATCATGAAGCTCTTGAAACCTTTATTCCCTTCTGAAATCTGTTTCTTGAATTGAATTATGTCATTCATTTCTTAGCTGACTGCATAATTTATGTTGGAAAGTCTTAGACTATTTATTGAAAATCAGAATTACATTTACTCATTGCAATCTCTTTTATTGTTCATTCTCAACTTTTATTCAAAAAAATATTAGTTCAAGTTTTTTCTTAAATATAGAGAAATGATTTAAAAAAAAGATGCAAACTATAATTAAGAAAATAAGATGTTTGTTTCATATTTACTTTGTTAATAATTTTAACATGTCAAATATTATATTAGTAGTTGAACTTTGTTATATTATTAATACAGAATAATTAATAAATAAACTATCATTATCTACATTTTCATTTTGTTTCATTCACTGAATTGATCTCATTCATTAGAATAGCTTATGAAGTGAACACTTTTATTACCAGAGTTAATTTCCCCTTTTCCTCCTCCTATAAGAAAGAAAATACAAGAGAAAATTAAACTCTAATCCTGAGTTTTTTTGGGAAAAATTAGGTCAACTTATTTTATATAAGGCCAACTTATTCTTAAATTGTACAAATATTTAAATAATTTTATTTTCATATTGTTTAATTAATTTTGCATCCTCGAGTTTATTTTTCAAGGGTAATTCCTAGAACAAAATTCCATCAGGTGAAATGAGTAACTGAAGATTATTATAAACTATGAATTATTTGTTAGCCATTTAATTTAGAAAACTATTATATATTAGTATGTATTATATTTATTATATATTAGTATGTATTTTACTTAATACCAAGACTTAATAAACAACTAAACTTCAATACCAAAATTTATGAAATATGAAAAAAATGTTTAATCTGTCATTTTAAACATTCATAGTCATATCAATTTTTATGCATAAGTTTTTTATTTAAAATCATTAGTTTTAAGAATGTTTTCATGTATTAAGTGTACAATACTTTTACTTGTTTTTCCCTATCTTTTGTAATATTTTAGTGGATTCATACAAAAATGTATATTTTACTCAAATTTTGATTTCTCTAGCCATTATTTTATTGCAGCAGTGACAGTATATTCTTTTAAGAGTTTTAATATGTAAATACTTTACTTATTTCTTTATATACAGATATAAAATTGAATATTATCAAAAGTTTTTTACAATCACAAATTTTGTTCCATACGTATCAGAATATTAAATTCACATAAATTACGAAACAAAATCTTTAATGTGTAAAGAAGATTGAACCTTTTTAATTATTTTGTGAATACATTGTTAGGCATTTTCTCATAAAGCAAACAAAAAGATAAACTCATTCTATTTTTATATCTGATTTTAACAGAGACCTCATATCTCATTTTACAATCTTAACTGAAGCGTTTATAAAAATTTTATTTGAAATTCAGCAATCAAGTCTAATTTTTTCTGTATTGGAATTCTGTAATTTTGAGGTGTTGAAGCATTGGTAATCTGTCATTGTCATTGGAAGTTAATAAAATTTAATGAAGATTCATACAGGTTTTATATAATTTATGATTTTTATGGTGAATTTTATGCACATTCTTTCAAAAATTTTCTCAATTTTTTTTTGAAGAAAAAGAAAAAAAAAAAAAAAAAAACTAGCTTTTTAAAACTGTTGCACATCATTGAGAATAAGATATGTAAAATGGTGCACTGAATGTACAGTTCCTAATAAATAACAATTATGTATTTTAAAATTTAGGCACAAATCTCATCATGGATTAATAGAAATTTTAAAGAAATATTGTATGCATTTTGAGAGAGTAAGACATGGGTCTCTTTTCTTTAGGCATACATTTCTTACAAATTATTATATAAGTTTATTATTTTTATAACAAATACTGAAATGAAAATCATATTATCAGTACTAGATATAAAAGAGAAATGCCTGCAGGACTAGCTATTTACTTAAATGTAGAATATTATTTTAGAAAATGACAGCAGGCTTGCATCGAAGTGTACAGTTTAACTAAAGTATATTTGATACTTATTATTTCAGATTTCTAATGTAACATACTTTTTGTAGCATAAGATTGTCAAAACTTTGTTTCTTGTCAGAATTTTATAATACTTTTATTATTTATAAAAGTCATCAAATCAAAAAAAAAAAAAAAAGTGTGTGTTGTATTTTTGAAGTTGTATCACTGTTAATGCTGTATAGTGAAATGATTTTTCTAAATAAATCTTTCAAGAAAACACATGCTGTTCTTTCTTTCAAAAATATCTTTGCCATCATAATAGTAACCTCTTCATAAAATTATGCAGTCGCTTTTAATTTCAACTGCAGCATTCAATTCTGTAGACTAGGACATAGAATAAATATATTTAGGGGACACGAATTTGTTTTTGTTGGACTCTGAACACTATATAACCATATACTTAGATCATGAACAAATTTTCCAAATGAAAAATGTCTTGGATGACAAATGATATCTCAAAATACGAACAAGCAAGTGGGCAACAAATGATGGTGCAAAATCTAGTTAATACAGTGGAGGAAATGTCTTTAGAAGAATACAAAAAGGAGAATGTTCTTTGTTATTTGACCCACAAAATTTGTATAAAATGGGGTGACATGTAAAGGTTCACAGAACACCATCACCTTGATTTGTAGTAGCACAATATTTGCAATGACAATGTCATGTCTTGCTTTAAACAAATTTTTAATGGGAAAAAGGACAATAATTTTGAAGATGGGATTAGCAGTGTTAAGGGGGAAAAAACAGAAAGACATCAGTTATCTCATATTTTTACAGAATAGGATTTCCCTTTCAGACAGTGTTTTGAATTGTTGCCTTCATTATTTACTTATTCTGTTAACTTTCCTTTTTGGAGATATGATAAATTTTAATTCAGGAGCCCCACAAAATTCATCCTAGGAAGGAGGTAAGACTGTCTTGTCATTGGCAAGAGCCTTAAGCATCTTATGAGTGACATTAAGATTTTGTTCAGTTGTGCCCCTAGATTTTGAAGGAGAGCACTCTGAGAATCTTCCACCCGTCTTTCCTCACTACCAACATCTTGCAAGGACTTTCAGCTCACTGTATATTGAGTGTCCCCATGTCACAAAGACACTATACATTTACAAACATCCTTACCTCTTCCAGGATTTGAACCCAGGTTTTTTAGTATAGTAGTCAGAATCATTTAGCATTTTACCAGTTGGGCATATTTGTATATGTATTAGATTAAATTAATTACATCAGTTTTGCATTATGAATTACTCCTTTCTAAGCAGTCACTTGGAATCCAAGAATGGATTAATTCATTTTACTGGGAAAATTATTTCAGTTTATGAATATTTCAGGTGATGAACTACCTTCAGGATCAAATTAAGTACACAAACTAAGGTTTCATTATGACAAAGTTATTTTAAATTTTTTCCAAACTCCTCATTCTGTAATGATAAAAATTAGTCAAAAATTCATCGATATGGTGACCTGCAAAAGTAAAGTATTTTATAAAAAAAAGTAAAGTATAAAGTTTAAGTAAAGTGTTTGAAAAATGCAGAATGGATGCAGCGAGGCACATACCTACTAAAAAAAATTGTTGATCTAAATTAGTGGACTTTACAAAATGTATATTTGGTATTGTGGAAAGTACAAGGGGTGATCAAATGAAAAGGTACGAAATGACGTAAAAACGTAACAGTTAAATATTTGCATATTCCGCCATGGGAGAACGTAATGAGACATCTTGGGATGCGATTGGAGGCTCTGACTGGGATTGGAGCATGCACAGGAGAGAGCAGTTGCGGCAGTCATTATGAGGACAGGATGGCGTTCGCATTGCAAAATTCAACGACTGAGGAGCAGCGAGGTGTTATCCGATTTCTGACAGCAAAAGGTGAGAAACCGGCAGCTATTCATCGCCAGATGGTGACAGTTTACAGGGAGAAATGTGTCTTTGACCTGTCTGTCGGAAAATGGAGTGCCCATTTTTGTGCAGGCCCTGAGAGTGTGGGTGATGATCCGAGACCAGGCCAGGCAAACACTCATCACAAGCGATCTCATCGACAAGGCGGACAACCGAGAAGTGATCGGCGTGTCACATTGCGAATGTTGGCTGTGAAGGTGGATGTCAGCCACGGAACCGTGTGGAAAATTGTTCACAACAGGTTGCGATATCGGAAAGTGTGTACCGCTTGGTTTCTGAAGCAGCTCACCGACCAGCAAAAGGAACTGCGTATGGGGCTAGCACTGTAACCTCTGTTTCGGTATCAGGAAGACCCTGCTTTCGTGGAGCGGATGGTCACAGGTGATGAGACCTGGTGCCATCACTATGAGCCAGAGATAAAGCAGGACAGCATGCAGTGGAAGCATGCGTCGTCACCTCCCCCTAAAAAGTTCAAAGCCGTGCCGTCAGCAGGCAAGGTGTTGCTCATAATCTTTTTCGACATTTAAGGTCCGCTACTTGTGGAATTCTTCGAGCACAGAAAAACCATGAACTCCGATGTGTACTGTGAGACACTCCAACACCTACGCAGGTCCATCAAGAACAAAAGACCTGGGCTGCTCATGGAGGGTCTGGTTCTGCTCCATGATAACGTGCGTCCACACGTCTCCAGGGTTACACACATGGAACCGGACAAGTGGGAGATGTTGGACCATCTGCTCTACAATTTCCATGTGTTTGGTCCACTGAAGAAACACCTGAAAGGGAAGCGCTTCAACTCGGGCGACGTACTCAAGGACACTGTGAAGGACTGGGTCTCGTCACGGCCACAGGAATTCTGGGAACAAGGAATCCTGCAGCTTGTTCATCAGTGGGATCATTGTGCTCAGGCCTATGGCGTATATTTTGAATAAAGTCTACATTTTTACCCACCGTGTCGTTTCGTACCTTTTCATTTGATCACCCCTTGTATTAGACTTGGTAGTTCAGCACTGATCAAAAGATAAGATTACCGAGTACTGGTAATTTGTTCCAAGTTTAAATGCTGATGAACAGGCTGGTTGCATGGATACGTTCATGTTTTTTTTTCAATGTGTAACACGAGTCAGTTTTCTTAGGAATGTTCTTCATGAAGGTCATATTAGACCTGTTATTGGTAATCATCGATATTTGAAATAACCAGTAGGTATCTGGTTTAAATTCTATTAAACATTTCTTATAAAGATTTATCAGGAAAACCTCATTTAAACTCCTTTTTCATTAAGAATCACACTTGAAACAATTATTTCAAAACAAGCTTCAATGCTTGTGACAAAACATGCATGTTGATTAAACAAAACTTTACACTTTCATCACATATGTCTATATAAACTGTACTCATGTACTGAATCTTATTTTGAATAACATGTAAATATTGTTAGATTTCTTTCAACTCTATATATCAGTAATATATTTTTATTTTCTTTTATGATTTGTAGGTTATGAAAATAAAATTGCTATAAAAATCAAGCTAATATATTACACTATATCATACAAAACAGTAATTCATGAGCAACTGTAAGGATGAATTTTAATAATAGGTCAGAAATAAAAATATCATTAAAACATACTTACCTTCTTTGCGTTATGCTGACAAGCAACAAAATCACTGAACAACCTGGGTTTGAATTCTGCCAAATGGGACAACTGTATGGGAGTTTGCATGTGTAATGTAAATATGAACCACTTTTCATTAAAAAGCCTTCCATGAAAGCAACCTTAGTCAGATAACCCTCAAATACTTTGTTCTAATTATGTTTGTGGTGAAATGGTGCTCTTGAAGGTCTTCCCTATTCTTAATGATAATATAAACGAGTTCCACTCTAAAATGCTTCATTCCAAAGCACATAAATTCATTAAAGTTTGAAATGTAGGTAGTTGGTTCTGAATTATTTATTTATTTATTTATTATTTATTTTATAACTGAGAGAGTTGCCTGTATATGAGAGATGTAGTGGATAGACCCTAGGGGCTTTGCCTTAATTAAATTAACCAACCTAGCATAAACTCCTTCCATTTTCATATATATATATATGTGTGTAATATTTTCAGTTATTCCAACACATCGTGGGCGAATGGTGAGGCTATTCCATTACATGTTCTGGAAGATGGTTGACGAAGCTATAATCACTGAAGCACGGAGAAAAATGACGACTCAGGACTTTTCACTTTTAACAGCAAGCATATCTTTATTTTAATTTAGAGCTGATGACTTTTTCCAGATGGAGTTCATCAAATAACTTATTCAGTAATTGAACTATTACATACGACTGACTTTAAACTTTAAGACGTCATAACGTTCTAACAAAGAAAGAAGAGCATAGCGGAAGCGTTAGCAGGACGAAGGCGAGAAGGCATCTGTGTAGGAGAACTTATGACACAGCATTTATATGAAAGGTTATGTAACAGAGTAGCTTCTAGAAAAATGTAGAAAAACTTATGAGGCAGCAATTATATGAGGAGGTTATGTAATGGGTGCAAATGTTCTAGAAGGTACTGGCTTAGGGGAAGATCCTGAATTGCAGAAAATTAATTAAAGGTTGCTGGTTCGCAAAGAGCATAGCCATCGTATTTTTTTTATATTTTACATGTTATTAATTAGCCAGTAGGATTTATCTTCTACATGGGAAAAAAGCTCCTGGATTTATTTCTAACGCGTTTCTAAATTCAACAGTGGGTCAAGGACAGTGTGTGATCGTCTGATGCTTTTGCTTCTTTTCCGGCGATTCTTAAGTGCTTTCTCTCGTCTCCAAAGTTATGCATTTTATCAAGTTCTTCTAAAGTGATTGATTTAGTGTTCAAATTGATGTGTATGCGAACTCTTAAATTCAAGATTTTGTGATTGGAATGCTAACACGCTCAAAAATGGCAAAAATGTCAACTGATAAGCAAGAATCCGTAGCTATTGTGGATACAATGAAATTTCAATTCCCTATTTTTGACGGCACAAGTACAAATTTTCCAATAGACAAATATCTTCTATTGTTTGAAGAGAAATGTGCCGCAAAGAACATTCCAGAAAAGGAAAAGAAATTTGTTTTCTCAGTGTATTAGAGGAGAGGCTTTAGGCCTCTATTTACATGATTGTTTAGATAAAGACTGGAACAATATAAAGGATATTTTCGAGACATACTTCACAACATCGGAATCTGTTACTTTTAGTGATTTTGTGTCTTTAAAATACGAGAAATTTAATAACATTGATGTTTATTTTTGTAATAAGTTGAAATTAGGAGCCAGCTTGAAACTAACAGATTCCACAATGGTGGAAGGACTTCCTGAGTCTCAAAGAATGCTGTTAACAGTGCAAAAAATAGACATCACTGAAAGGACTGGATTACTCTTGCTAGGAAACTGTTTTCAGTTCAGATGCCGTTGGATGGTCTAGGAAAATAGTCAGTTACCAATTTGTTTCTCCAAGGCAAACTGTTCCGAGGTGCTATTATCCCAGGACCAGTGCAAGCCACTACTTATCAAAGTTTTAGTAGTGTGAGACCTTTCAATTATCAACGAGTGCAATACCAACTTCTACAGTATGCGTATCGGCCAATTCGATATCCACAATTACCTGATATTAATTATAACACGGTTCCTAAAAGAGAAGTTAAAAAATGATATTACTTTAAAGTGAATGTCCAAATTAGACAGGAAAAAATTCCCAGTATTAGTGATACGGGATTGCAAATTAACGTTTTACCGTTAAAAATTTTTAACAAAAATCGGTGATAAATTTAGAGCAGATGACTTTTTCCAGATGGAGTTCATCAAATAACTTATTCAGTAATTGAACTATTACATACGACTGACTTTAAGACGTCATAACGTTCTAACAAAGAAAGAGGAGCATAGCGGAAACGTTAGCAGGACGAAGGCGAGAAGGCATGTGTCGGAATTTACGACACAGCATTTATATGAAAAGTTATGTAACAGAATAGCTTCTAGAAAAATGTAGAAAAACTTATGACGCAGCACTTATATGAGGAGGTTATGTAATGGGTGTGAATGTTCTAGAAGGTACTGGCTTAGGGAAAGATCCTGAATTGCAGAAAATAATTAAAGGTTGCTGGTTCGCAAAGAGCATAGCCATTGTATTTTTTTTATATTTTACATATATATATACACATGTTCAAAAAAAGATACAATTTTTAGGATTTCAATGAGTGAAAAATATGTTAATAGATGTTTAGCAGGAGGAAGTATTTAAATAGCTTTCAATTTACATGTTTAAAATGCTTAACTAGGCCCATGAGCCTGAGATTTTAAGGATAAAACGAATTTCCCTATGGATACATTTAATCAACCTCCTTTTAACTACTGAAGAAGTCCGAGACCAGGATTTGAGAGAACTAGTTAACAATAATTACATAACTAAATGGAATGCACTAACAGTTTCAGTAATGTATAAATACTTTGAAAATACTACTTTACAAAACAAGTGAAAAAAATCTGAAAGCTTCCATATTTTGTATACATACACACATATTTACATACATACACACACATTTTGAGAGAACTTCGACTAATGTTCGAGCTAAAAATATTTAAAAACAGCCTAGGATAGTTGAGTGAGGATATTTGCTGGAGAAACTGGCTAGTCAGATATCCTGACCTTAACCCCATACAGCATATTTTGGACACTCTTGGGAGAATAACTTCATCTTGCCATCCCAGAGTTGAAAACTGCCTTGCTGCAGGAGTGTGATTGACTGCCACAGGGACTACTTAATTGCTCCAGTTTAGTATGCTATGTCTGGCTGTGAGAGGGGACCAAACTCCATATTTCAGTTCGATATCACAACATGAAATTTGGACATCCCTGCACAATGAACTTGAATCACAGATATATAAAATGACGTTTGAATGGTACACCTCTTTCTCTGTTATAAATGTACATTCATACCAAATTTCATTAAAATCTGTTAATTAGCTTTTCAGAAATTTGACATGATGTGCAAATTCTCTTAATTTTGCACGTGAGTGTACCCTTCATATCTACGGTTCAGACTAAAATATATTATTTAATTCAGATTTCTTATTCAATGAGACCCAGCGGTGTCGTGGCTAGCATGTTGCATAGCAGCACCACAGGTCTGGAATTTGATCTCTGAGCTGGTCAAGGTTGACTCAACCTTTCATCTTTTGAGTGGGTCGATAAAATAAGTACTGAGTTTGCTTGGGGACTAAAAACTAGGGGGCCCTCAACAAGCTGACCACTTATTCAGGGTAGAAGCTCAAGTACCCCAGGGCCCACGGCCAAGAAAGAAGATATCAGAGCACTGCCGGCCATGGCTCATTAAGAGTTGTTGTGCCACTGAGTTTTTTTTTTTTTTTCTTACTCAATACAAATTCATCTTTTTTCAACTACAGCTAATAACACTTCAAATTTTTTAATCAGTATAATTTAGTCTTTAAGCATGCCTTTAACTTTTGATTGACCTTTTTCTAATGCAGAAACAGTGTTTACTAACCGGAATGCAATTATGCACTGGGAAATGAGGTCATATGCCCCTGACAGCAAGCTATAGAAGCGATAATGAAAATTTTCCAATTACAAAATTTCAGATAATCCTCTATTTAGTACAGAATAGCTGTGATTTTTTTTCATAATACATACACACAGATGATAAAAAATGAGGAAAATTACAGGCAATGGTTAGGCAACTCTTATTTTTTAACAGCAAAGTACCATGCATTTTCTGAAGAAAAGGATGAGAAATACATCATCTTTTACGAATTGCTTACTTCACTATCTTAGATACAAGATTCTGTGCATGCATATTCACTGTATATTAAAATCACCTCATAATTTTCATTCTTTGTGCCTTCCAACTGTATCCCAATTCAATTAGTTGAAACAGAAGAGAAAGGAAATTAGTACATCATTGTACATTGTAGACTTTTTCCTCCCAAAATATTTTATGGATGAAATTGTCTATTATATTTATGCAATATTTACTTTTTATTGTACAAGATTATTAAATTTTCATATTAAAACTGCTATTAAATAAGTCATTAAAATTTAATGCTATTAAATAAGACATCTGCATAATTACAGTCTTTAGTTGACCTCATTTTTTATGGTCCGTGAAACGAAAATTTTTGCTAGTTTTGTTCTGTAGGCAAGACAGGAATTTCAACTTCAAGACGTGGCTGCAAGAACACTGAAAGCATTTTCATTGAGAACATATAACAGCTTTCTTATCCATAATAACAGTTTCTGAAGTTCTAGAATATTTCAATCAAAATTTGAAGACTTACTAAGATTTTTAAACAGGAATCTTGTGCATTTACCTGCCTAAATTTTAATCTCAAAATGTTATTAGTTTTCAGATCAATGAGTCTAATTTAATGTAAAATAACTATAGAGATTGCATATGATTGTATACATACATTTTTTGTTTTGTTCTCATCATTAAATGTCATTAAAATATGTTTTGGTCACTTTTATACTTAATCTTAATGGTATACAAAATGCTAATGCTGCAACAAAATGCACATATAAATTATATAGAAGATCAGCATGTGTTTATTCAAAAGTTTTCAAAATAATTTGCTTTTAAAAACTTTTAAGCTAAGCAATTTTTATCAAATCTGAATATTTACTTTTTGCAAATTGCACATACTATTATATAATATATCAAGAAATTAAATATGCCTTCCACAAAAAAAAAAAAAAAAAAAAAAAAAAAAAAAAAACTTACATTTAAAAAATTACACATATTTATTGCAAGCATTTTGAAAATAAGTCCAACAAAAGACTTCCTTTTTTTTCAATTTCCCTTCAAATTACTTTTTCCACTAGATATAATAGTAGATATGAATTTATGATGTGGATAATCAGGAAAAACTTACGCCTAAGTAGGAAAAAGGAATATGCACTAGATGTATTTGTGTGATGCAATAAATGATGTGAAGCACTATTTCTCATTTTCAGATCGTATGACCAATTTGTTCATACATTCACATTTTTTCTGCTGCAAAAGGATCACCATGGCACATGAAGGGTGTTCTGAGAAAACTTTGTTTAAAACATATAAGCTGTGCAAATCACAAAAAGTGAATTCTTTCCTATATTCTGGATGCTTCAATACAATTTGTACAGCATGTAAGTGAAGGCTCAGCACTTGTCATTTTATTGTATGCCCTTGAAAAATTCCTTTCAATGTTAACTGTATGTCTAAATTCCAGTCCTTTTTAATCAGACTTGAAGGATCCCAGAAAATGGACATTATTCTTTCAGTACATGGTATAAATTTAAATTTTCTTTGAATCAGTTCCCCAATGAAGCACCATGTTTCAATTGCACAGACATTTTCTTGTTGGTAAGAACAAAACAGTTAAGTCACACCTTGTTTCCAGCAAGGATTTCTTGGTCAAAACCCCTTGTTTGGTGTCAAGCAAGAACATCAAACAGATTCATCAGGTTCTATGGTGAATGCTACTACATAAGCATAAATCTTGGACGTACTGCAAAACATCCAGCACAATGGGTTCATCTGCACAATGCCTCAATTTCAGCTTAGACAAAAAAAATGACAGAAAGTTATCCTCAGATAACTTCATAAAGATGTGGAATACTGATCAGTGCTGTAGATAAACAGAGATGTTTGCTTTAAAAAAAAAAAAAAAAAAAAAAAAAAAAAAAAAACAGTTCTCCAATTTTCTTAAAGTTGCTGATGAATTTTGGCTACTGATATATTTTCAGCCGAACAAACCTTAAGTGCTCTGAATTCTTTCTGATACTACAGTTCCAACGATGTCAAATTTTGAAATATCACCGTGCATCTCTTACAGATCACAGCAGTATGTAAAACTGCCCGATTCACTAGCATCATTTCTTTACAAGCAATTTATAGCACTCATGCATTTACTTGTAATCCCTCCTAAATCAATGAACTTATAATCAATTGCAACTACCAATCAATTCCATTATCACTTGTGGATAGTGGAATTGATTGGTCACTCATCTCCATTTGACAGCAGAAACAGATGCTGTCATCTTTAAATGCTTTTGAACTGTCAATGAAAACATAAAGTAAAACAAGTTCTAAACAATATTTCAAACTTCATATTTTTTTATACAACACATCATTGCTATACCACATATTAATATCTACAATATGTAAGTGGTAACAAAAGTTCATGCATTTTTACAGAAATGTCTAAATAAAATTAATAATTAATGTTTTTGATTTCTTACAAAAGCTGTCATCTGAATGCATTTCAATATAAAATAATTGCAGAAAAATTACATTATACATACTTTATTAAAAATTAATGCACACAGTATTCTCAAACATTTCTTCAGATGAAGGCAATTAGTCTGTACATAATGAAGTCCAACTTAAACAACAGTGACAGTTCTGAAATCTTTGAATGCTACAATGTTTGATACCTTAATTTAAATGCAATTTCATGTATTTTAACACAAATGGTTATTTAACTATACTAAATTTTAAGTTCAACATAGCTTAATATTAACTTAGATATTCAATTAATTATCATTAGAATCAGAGAAAATGTAGCAAATGTAGTAATAGAATGTGGGTATCACAGGTATAACTCAATTTCTGCAGCAAGTGGCTACCATGTAGCCATATCCTGTTCGAGGTATAAAACAAGCACATACATAAAGACATATGCTATGAAAAATTCATCTTTCTTCTAGTGTGAGTGTTTCCTTTGGATAAAGTTGTAATTCTTCTAATGTCTTCTGTTCTTCTAAAGTAGTGAGCTGGAAAGAAATGGACAAAATGAGTACATGAAAGAAAAAATTATAAACTCATTTAAATATAAATAAAAAATAACATATACACATTTTTTCATGACAGTCTCTTTATATAAGGAAATTTTACAGATAAAAAGTTTTATATTCTCCAATGATCACTGGGCTAGAGGCGATTAATATACTTCTTTAATGTAAAGTTATGCATGGTACATTTTATAATACTCGGGACTAGTATCATGGCTTCTTTAAAATTTACAATTAGATTATTCATAACTAAGGGCTACTATTTTCTCATAGTCACCAGGGTTTAAGGGACTATTTTTTGCTTTGATATCTGAAAACATTCTGTGAGAACAATGATTGCTGATGATGAGACCAGCAGTAAATGACTGGTAAGGAAAGGTAAGGAGGCACTTTTTATTTTGAAGGAAGTTATATTTTGAGCTACTGAGAAGAATTAAATGTGTAATTCCCTGGTTTCTCACTTATTATCCTTATAGTAGAAAGTGCTCCTTCCACTTCTTCCGCAAGAAACTGCTAAGTGCAGTAATAACTCTTTCTGCAACTTCCAGTCTTTTCGCACTAATAATCCATCTTCTACTCATATCATCAGGAAATGCTTGAAAAATTTTGGTTTCTAAGACATGACCATATGCTTTGATATTACACTCCTAAAGCAGTGAAACTTCAGCTGCATTCAATGAAATCTTTGTTCCAGGCTGTAGGCGATGGAATCATATTTGTGTAATATTTTTCAAAAAATCCAGATGAACTTGAATTATTCTATTTTTAACATCATATTGTTACTAATTTGGAAGTAAAACAGCAAAAATCAGTGTTATATTTGCAAATTTTCACAGGACTAGTTTTAGCTGCCGACGAAACTAGCCCTGTGAAAATTTGCAAATATTACGCTGAATTTTGTTGTTTCACTTTTAAATTAGTATTTGTTCGGCATGTTATTTTACCTTAATCATATTGTTAATAAGAATTTTTTTTGTAAGTATCTATGACAATACTTATTTCACCAACTAATCTCTTCAGTTCACCTTTAAAATAACTGTACAAAAATTAAGTTTATATCAGTGTCTAAAAAGTTTATATCATTGTATTGAGACTGTAAAAAATCATATTCATATTCAGCATCAAAGAATAAATTATGAATACTATTATCCAATAATTTCCTTTCAATCAAAAAATCTGAAAGTCGATCACAAAAATATTCTAAATCATTATTCATATCTTTGGAACTATCGTTATTAGCATCTGTCATCTTCATAATAAAGCAAGTAATATTTGCTCTAACAGTCTTTTGTTTTGGTTTAAGAAGCGTAATATCATTCATAAGCGTCATCCTGGAATGACATTTCAAATGCACAAACAAACAAAGAAACAAAATTCTAAATTAAAACAAAATAAAGCCACACTTGCCTCAAGTCGAGATAACAGGAACATAAATGTTCAAAATTCTGCATCTATCACGTTTCAGTGCCAAAATGTTCCATTCATATACATATTTATTTTCATTATCAACACATGGTTCAAAATGTAAAAACATCATTCTTACATAAAAATTCTTTTGCCACATTCCAAAGTTTAATGAAATTTCTGCATGCAGGAAAATCATGTAACTAACAACACACAAAAATAACCAGTAGTAGTTTATTAAGAGGTCGGGTTAAACTATGTATAATAATGTATATAGACTTTAGCCCCCTCCCCAAATTAACAAGAACAATAATAATTATTTATTATGATTAGATATAATAATACTTAACTATAATAATTGTTCATTAGCACATAAATTATTAACACCAATTATTAAAAAAAATTTTAGAGTATGTTATGTACATATATTTTACATAACAGATAAAAAAAGACATATAATAATTATTAACCATAGTACTGCAATAATTATTTACTCTCATAAAATTATTATAATCAATTATAATATAATAACAGTTATTTAATACACTTTATCCTAAAATTATGTATATATAACAAAATTAAGCTTTCAAAACACTCATATTTTTATCGATATTTAAATAAATATATAAATGTACAAAATTAAATTAAACACAATGTAATCAAACAATTAATTAGAAATGATGATCAAAATACTATCTTAGATTACTTAAAAGTAATTTTCTGTCTTCTTAAATTTGTGCTTTTTAAACAACAGTGAAAAAATGAGACCTAAAAAAACATCCCTACTACATGATTATGTTTTATCTACTCTATTTCATCAATAAATCAGTCTGAATGGCACATGCATGTTTGTGCTCAAGTGGCTAGCATTTGTTACTGTAATTTTCATTCTGTTATTATTTTCCTATTTATAGCTATAACTTACTGAATGGCCCATCTAGCTCTAAAAATACAGAATATTTATAGTTAATTTTCAAAACTGATAATCTAGCATATGATTTTTATATTACTTCTTTTTTCTATGCATATGTCTCATAAAATATAGCATAAAACTTTCCATAGCTTTAAAGAGTTTAAAAGCTAGAAAGAAAATAAAATTATATTTACATCTCGACGGGGCCAACTTGCAAGTACTTTGTAATCTGCAGCTGGGTAACCCTGAGAAGCGATATAAGTTAATAACAACGACAGTGGGGTATCTGCTGTAAAACGGCGACCAATCGTGATCCCTGTGGGCAATCGCACACGAATGTGACTAACAGGTTTTGAAGAATCTGCAGGTGGTTCAGGAGGTAACTGTTCTGCTAAAGATCTTCTTATAGCCTAAAATTGAAATAAAATTGTAATAATGTAAAAAATGCATGCAATACCATAATGTAGGAAATGCTGCAATATGAATTTTTTGCATTTCAGTTTATTTCTAGACATTTATGTAATAAAAACACTTGAAATGCAAAATGCAGATAAGGATGCTATAAAGCATTGCTAGAAATCTAGTATTTAAATAATAAATATACATACATCTTTAACTTCTTCCTCATGTTGCCTCATCTGTTCCAATTCTTCTTTTTTTAATAATTCTTCTTCTTCTTGCTTTAGTTTTTCCTCAACTTCTTGTCTGCGAGCTTCTTCCTACAAGCAATAGGCATAACAAAAGATGTAATATATACATATATATATAAATTAGCCTAAAATAGAAACAGGTAAAGGATCTCATTTCTTACAAACTTCAAGAGTTAATAAATTGATTATGAAGACCTAAAATACAGTATCTAGCTTCAGCGTTTTGCTCAGCTATATTCTATTCCATTTCTACAGTAACATACTGGTAATATGTACACAATAATAATTCAACATAAAAGCAACATGCATTAACACGTTCACGCCGGCACGGGCCACCAGTGGCCTGCACTAGTCTGTCTCATCGGGCGGCGTGTACCACCGGTGGCCTGCACTAGTCTGTCTCCTTGGCTAACGCGTGCCACCGATGGTTTGCACTCAATTGCGTTATTAGATGCTGAAAATTAAAATAATAAAATATTAACATTTATTTATTATAAAAGCTTTTTTTAATAACTATTAGCAACGTACAACTCGTATACAGGTCTGAACAAGTAATAATCGCGCGCCGCCAGATGAAACGCGTCAAAAAGAGAGCCGTCTCATGGCAAAGAACATAAAAATTGGCCCCAGTATGAATGTGTTGAATTAAAAGATTGTTTAAGTGGAAATCAAAACTTTAACAAGTTGACTGCCGTGGGGTTCACCGGTGGCCAGCGCTTGACTTAGCTACAGTGCTGTGAGGGATGCCGATGACGCGGCCAACAGTAAAAATATATAATTAGAGTAAATATCGATACAGATAAATTTTTAAATAATAACCATAGATCGCAAAAAATGGTCTGCAGCCCCTCGGGGGGTGAGCAGTGACCTCCCACCAGGAAAAATGGATTAAACACAATTACATAAATCACTGTATCTTCTGTAGATAATATTTCAACATAGTATAAATCGAATAATAAAAAACTCATGTTGGGGCCATGGGCGAATGACGCAAAACGCGCATGGCATTCAACGTGTCAATATTGTTCTTTAAATTTATAATTAATTTTCAGATAAATCCTTAATTTCTTTATAATAGACAATAAGCTTTGTAGGAGTAAGTGCCGCTTACTTTTTAAAAATCTATTTAATGTAGATAAAGGTTTTGACACCTAACTTTTCAAGAACTCTTATTTGAATGTTGCTTTATTATATTAAAATAATCTTCACAAGATGAACACAGTAAATATATTGCAATCTGACATTAAATGAGAAAAATATATAATGAAAAAGCAATGTACCTCACATATGCAATGGCTCTGGTGTATCATGAAAGGAATAATTTATGACAATAACAAGTAAGTAGTATAACCAATATTAAATATATGCAGCTCAAATTAAATATTCTGAAAATAACCTGCATAGGTGTAGGAGTAGCACAAATAGTTTTTAACATAATAAATCAAAAACTACTTAAAAGGCATACAACAAATTCATTGCAATGTAATTAGTGTAAGTTTTAGATAATTTCCAACTATATGAATGAATACATGCAATTTTACATAGAATGAGAATACAGAGAATTCTCTCAAATTTACCTTTGCTCTATCTGCAAGCAATGAAGCTTCATAAGCAGCATCTTGCTCTCGTTTAACCTTTTCCCTAGCTTCCCTTTCTTCCTGTTAAAAAAAAATTGAAATTCATAACTATGCAACTTTAATGATAAATGAAAAATAAAATATCTTTTATGCAATACTCAAGAAAAATGTTCAATTCTTACAAAATTCCTTAATTTGCAATGATAATAATGAATGTGGCTGCACTGTATAAGCATATGTTGTTATTTAGCTACAGATGTATTTTTAATGAATAGTTAAAGTTGATATATACAAAGTGGTATATGTCTTGTTATAAAAATCACACAAACACAAGGATGCAACAACATAAACCATGAAGACAAGACATATATCAATTGTCATAAAAAGTGCCAAATGCCTTGGCCTTGTGATTTATATCTCATTCTAAATATGAAAGTTGCGAGAAGTGATTTTTCATTGCATTAGATCTAAATTAATGAGCTAGCAAACTACTGAATAATATATTATATGTACATAAATACATATATAGTTGGACTCTCACTAATTAAAACTCATTGTGACAAGCAAATCTGAAATATCCAACAGTTGGAATTAATGACAGTATTTGGGAAATCATTTCTCCTTCACTCTTTAAATGATTAATCGGAGCTCAGTATATTAAAAGCATTTTGGCTATTTATGTCACAAATGAACTAGACTCATGTCATGATTTTCTGCTTTATTAAGAATAAATAAGCCTATCTCACACCAGTTAGTTTACGTAACTATAGATCATGGAAAACTAAAGTCAGGCTTCCTTAAATACTCTCAGCTGTTATTAAGGATAGTCAAACCGATTCTTCATATTTAAATAACAATGTATTTTTATTTCAGTTTCAAAGATGGCAGATTCTTGGAATAAACACTTTAACTTGAAACATATGTACTCTTTAGAAGTTTTGTTTAGCATTATAGTGACAGTCAAATGCAATTTCCCAATTTTCTTGATTATCTAATAATTCCAATGAAGATATGATTATTTATTCTGAATATTGCTCAGGATTTGACCAATCATTTGAAAACATATTTTTCAGTTATCATTCTTCAGAAGCAGATAGTGATGAATTTTAATCTGCTACCAGACATTAATGGCAACTGCCTTTTAAAGATTTTTTTTTCCCCTATCACCAATTGCATTTAGTTTCAGTAGCAAACTCAAGAATGACAATATCGATTTGAGAAAGGGAAATCTTTTTCATTATTATTTTATTTTGGTAGTTAAGTGTTCACAGAGAAAAAGCTAAAATCCACCAAAAACAAGTGAATGGATGCTTAACAAAAAACTGTTATTGCAACAATATGATATAGCTAAATTTTAAGGCCTACCAGTCACAGTTTTAAGAACAGTCCCCCGTCTCCAGAGTTTACAGTTCAATCATGGGTCTATGGGATCTACCAAACACTAAAAGTGATGATATTAGCTTCACACAAAACTATAATATATTGTTGAGTAACTGTCAATGCCCAATTTGCACAAAATTAAATTTTGTTTGAGTCAATTGAAAAGCGCATGCCAATGTTCGATTGTATGAGACAAGAAACAGGTGGGAATGTAAGATGGTAACTGGTTTGCAGCAAGTAGATTGTCATTTTTACTGCCATCAGATTTCTCTATTGTTAGTCTAAGAAAACGGCATCAATAAAAATTTTGTATGGAAGAACTAAACATGGCTGATGCATCTATGAGATGCAGAGTCATGAAAATAAAAAATCTGATGTGTACACATGACTTCCTTGTATTGGAATATTAAATTATACGCATTTTTTCTTGCATTTCATTTAAACTTATTGGATTGAATTAAATCTACTTCACCGACAGCGCATAAACCACAATAGGATAAACGCATTCTTTAAAATTCACTCTATTTGTTTAACATAGCGACACTCTGGCGCTAGGTTCACTTAAAAGTATTATATTTCGTTCATATTATAACTCAGAATGCACAAAATTTATATCATTTAAAGAATAGAATTATCTAATCATTGCCACATGTTCTATTCAGATACTATAATAAAGCTAGAATGATGTATAAAAGAAATTAAGCAAATAAAACAAAAAAGAAACAGTTTTCACAGACGATTGAGTATCGTTGCCACATGTTCTATTCAAATACTATAATAAAGCTAGAATGATTTATAAAAGAAATTAAGCAAATAAAACAAAAAAGAAACAGTTTTTCACAGACAATTGAGCATTTCTCATTCAATTAATTCAGTTCTCACTTCGCGAGAAGGTAAAAATACACAAAAACTCAAAATATCTCTATATTAAAAATTACAAACGTAAATTTTAAACAACTTATTTCCTCGAAAAAATTGCAGAAAGGATTAAGCATATGATTTAATTCGCAATAATAAATGAAGGCGTTATCTTTGTTGTTGCCAAGCTACGTTTCTCTAGACTGACAACTAATCCACTAGTCCTGCTGTTTCAAATGTAAACAAAAATCAATGGCCGCCATCGAAAACATTATTAGGGCTTAGCGGCACTTAAACAAACTTTAAAATTGCTGATAATTCTCAAAATATTGCATATAGATTTACTAAAGACATAAAAACCTTAACCAGAAGAGGTTAAAAAACAACATGAATACAATCATTTTTAAAGCAAAAAATGTACAATTTACAAACATATAAGAGGAAAGAAACTGACATCACTCAGCCGAGTAACAGAAGTGGATATATATGTAAATATATTTACATATGTTTGGTGCGGCTGATTGCAACCAAAATACGAGGTGCACATCTACATGTTATAGCAGTCCTATATACAAAATTTCGACGTTCTGAGGCTACTCGTTTTTGAGTTATGCGAGATACGCACGTACGTACATACGTTCATACAGACGCCACGAAAAATTCTCTTCAGAAATAAGTTTTTAAAGCAGTTTATAATTTTTTTTTTGAAGGAGGAAACGAGTATTTTTATTCTGTCCTTATGTACAGATATCACGCAAAAACATCGCTACATTGCATTCGATAGCGGTCAAAATGGATATTTTTGTTGAAATATGCTGCCTGAAACTTTTCGCGATTACAATACTTCCTTTTTACTTCGTACAAGGAAGTAAAAACAGGACAAGGCATTATTTGAAGCCATACTTAGTGAAGTTCATGTCATGTGCAGAAAGTTGTAGCTCAGGATAAGAGAAATCTTTCAATGCTATTTTCATGCTATTATTCAGCGTATTAGAAATAAACATACTATGGAAACAAATTAATGTTTTTTAACAGCATCGAAATTGACTGTCTACACTTCATTACACTCACCATCTGAAAATTTAATGTACAGAAGTTTATGCTTCAAACAAATATTTATATTCAATTGCTTAATAAATACATATTTGAATAAGTATTTTCATCAAAATAATGTTTTTAACATCACAAATGATGAAATTCTAGTATTTTTAGCAGTGTTAATTCTGCAGGGCACTGCTCCTAAACCACCAGCCTAAATATACTGGTGAAAACATAATTCACATGCCTAATTTTGCAACACACTTTTGCATAAGGCAATATGAAACATCTGCACTTTGATAATAACAAAGCTCTTGATCCATCTATGTATCCAGAGCCAAAAACAATATAATGGGTGGGGTGGACTTTTCTTATCAATGGTATTATATATTATCAAATTACAAGAACCAGACATGAGAGAAATACTAAAAAACGATTTTTAGACATTTATTAGGTATATCAAATTTTAAAGGCTATATTTTACATACAAGTCAGTACAATTTTAAAACGAACTTGAAATTTTGTTTGATGCTTGTTGAAAATTTTATTGAAATATACCACACCGCACAGAAAGTGAAATCCAGACTAATATAAATACAAAATATGACGTTCTAAGATTAATTGCACAATATTTTCCATAATATATTTCCTTAACAAGAAAGGAATGAGCCTAAAAGAAGATGCATTATATCTTCTGAAAAAGGGTTTTGGAGACATAATATTTGAATAATAATATATTTTTTAAAGTTATATAAAATTCAAGCAATATTAATTGAATGAATACATAAAAAATATATTATTTCTAAACATACATAGTATATTAATTATGATCATTAATATTAACTGCATGTGATATAAAATAATGTAAAATCAGCCAATTTAAAATTCTCAAATATTGTAAAAATATTTGTCCTGTAGGGTAAAGTTTGAATCAGATAACTTATTCCGTGAAAGTCAGGAATCCAGATCTGATGTGCCCTTGTGTAAGTGGTGAAGCATACTATGAGAGTTCATTTAAAGGCATATTAAATTTGTAATCATTACGATTTACAGATTATAGATGTTAAAAACTTAAATCTTAAAATTAATCTTAAACTTATTTTAAGTCCTTGTGAATAATGGATTTAAGTTTTTGTTTCAAATAACCAAATTTTCAAATTAATGGTAATTTACTGTATACATATATATATGTCATATTTTGGCAGTCGGGCACATGAATGAAGAAGCTTGAATAAATTTATAGTTCCAATATCTTTATTCAATGCAAATTGCAGATCATTATTCTTTTAGATTAACTTCTCCAAAATTACATATGCAATAGTAATTAAAACAAAATAGAATTAACTTTAAATTTACTGCATCATACTGTTCGAACAAATGGAGGAAGATGGGAAAAATGGCAGCAAAGGTCTGATGAAAAATGGCGCAAACACTACATTTATAGTAGCAGTTACATAACATGCCAGAATGTTCTCGAAAGTACTGGTCTAGGGGCAAGATGCTGAAACTGCGGAAAGTTTATTAGAGGTTGGCAGTATTTGGGAAATCATTTCTCCTTCACTCTTTAAATGATTTTCATTCTCATTCTCGCATAGAGCAAAGCCATCGTATTTTTTATATTCTACATATATACACTTATACAGTATTTTTAGCAGTGCAATATACATACATAGTATATTAATTTTTTTTTTTTTTACTTCATCCAGGACTATTCCCAAGAAATGTAGAGTAAAAACTATTCCAAAATAAACTTTATTAAAAGTTAATTTTTTAGAAAATTGAGTTTAAACTTAAATGAGGAAAAATTACTTAGAAGTTATAAACTGTAATGGAACTCGTAATAAAAATTCAAAGTACTAAAAAATACACATCGAAAGAAAACTAAATTATTCTTGATCCCATGGAAGAAGGCCAACTTTTCAACGGGAATTAGTCTTTTTCTGCTAAATCAACAACAATTAAGGAATGACCGCATTTCATCTCCTTCGTATATTTGAATGAAATTCTTTTCCAAACATGACAAAACCAAGAAATATCAAGTATATATATATAATTGAAAGTAAAATAGAAAGAACAAAAAAGACCTATGTGGTCAAAAATTTTGCGCATTATGCTGCAAAATTAAGGAATTTAAAAGATAAATTTTAGTATGCACGCTAAAAAGCTGCTTAAATACTGTGGTTCCGGAAAACTTTAACATAAGCAAAATTAGTTGCAATGATGAAATGTGTTTAAAGAGAAAAAATACAACATTTGATTATTTACAAGTAAAAATCAACAATAATAAGCTATATGTTAAACTAATTAAGTATATTTAAAACATAGTAAAAGAAATAATCTAATTGATCGAAGTAAAAATAAAAATAAAGTAAAAATTAAGAAGCGGTAAATGGATCGATTAGCCCAATTTGAAGTTCATTTATGGCACATCAGGGAAATATTTTTTTTTTAATGAATTTCGAAACTAAGCTAATTCCATCACGCGATTCGCCGAAACAGACAATTGAAACTGTACGCGACACATTTTCAATGAATTAAATAAACTATGTCAAAAACTTTAGTGTCAATTCTCTTTTCCAATTTCCTTAAATTAACACATTAAGGTGTAATAAAGATAATAAATAAATAATGGAAAGGAAATGCTAATGTACAGAAAAAAAATAAATAGCGATATGCTATTAGTCAAAATATACAAGATCTTATTAGTGGACCTGCAAGCTTAAAGAGTTAATACTTTGTAAAAGTACCGAAAATTATTTTTAATTCAAAACGGAAAAGATAATAAATATATATATATACACATACATATGTTAATAAAACTATACCATTATTGTAATAAGATGACTTGTGGAAAATAAGTTGCAATGGATTGGCAGTGGTTCTCTGCATCATAACTTGAAGACTTAACTGCATAGTTAGAAAGATGACACTCAAAGAACACATATAAGGGTAAATTCCACACATAATTTTATTCCTTGATAATGTACATCAGCACTGTGGGTGCAGCATACATCCCCCCCCCAATTTTGTATAACTTACATTTCTTAAGTAATGGATGAAATTTGAAAAGTAAACTGCATAGCTAGCAGCAATGCGATTCAGCTTCACTCTGCTGAAACTTTTCAAACTTCAAAGCAGAAGAAGAGCTAGATTTTATATTTTACATATATACATATATATGCTTAAAAAAAAAAGGTAACAATCCAGCTTAATACCATCTTCATCGTCAAGTGCAAGGTACAATGTAAAAATAATACATTTTTTTTATCCTCGGAACATAAAACCAAACTGCCTTACAAAAAGACCACAAAGTTAAATTACTTTTCTGCATATTTGCTTCTTCTGTTGAAAAATATCTTTAAAAAAAAGTTTGCAAAGTATGCTCTTTCATTAATTTATATTATAATATTCAGCATTTACACAATTTGAATTATTTGACAGATATAAAATTAATCTTATACTACTTGACAGTAAGAGACAGGAAAGAAACAAACAAATCTAACCGTAAATGCCATACAACTTACCTCTTCCCATATTTCTGACTGCACAGCACTATTAAAAACTTCTACAGCATGTATGAGTCGAGTCATGAGATCATCCAACCCAACATTACCTGCATATGAAATACATACAATTTGTATATTTAAAAATTAAGAGAAACCTTTAAAGAAATATGAAATACAAAGTAAATAGTACATTGTAGTCTCATTGTCAAATCAATCTATCATCATTTGATTTATTACATAATCTGACATTACAAAATTTTTCCCTATCTGCTGAAATTTAAAAAAAGGGGGGGGAATAGGGAAGGGAGCCTTTGAATTGACAATAAAATAATCTCTGTTTAGAAAATGTCATAACAATAAAGTTTTTATCACTGCATCAATTTTCATGCAAAAGCTAAAATATATAAAATAAAGCTGAAAAATGTGTTTCATATCCACATTTTTTTTTTTTTATTAAATTTTTAAAAAAAATTTTACAAAAAATATAAGCGCGCACGCAAAAAAAAAAAAGTCTAGACCGAGAGGATGGCCAAATTATATGCATGCACGAGATGCATGTTAGAATTCATAAATATTCAAGAGTCACAATTAGGTATCTCTTTTTATGATCCCCCTTTTTTTAAAAAAATTAACAACTGTAACAGGAATAAACTGAATTTGGTTAGCAGACGTGGTCTTTCTAATTAAATAAAAGCCTTTTAAATTGAGGAAAGAATAATGTAACAATTTGAAAACCTGAACCAAATATTTTTCTTTATTCTCAACTCTTACGCCAGAGTTCTGAAAAATTATTTTAATATACATCTGCCCGACGTCTTGTATAAAAAATACGTTAGTTTTTTTTAATACATTATGTGACAACTAACATATGTAAAGGTAGCTAGCCACTATACAATTTATTCATTAAATAAAGCAGAATATTAGATATGTTTGTTTTTTCCAATGCAAACTGCAATTATATATATCCATAGGATTATTTGATAAAATTGGAAGTATATCTTTGGTACAATGGCTTAGTCTTGATTAAAAAAATTCTATATTTAACTTTAAATCCATCTGTTAATTATAAATTTGCAAGCTAATTATTCAGAAGCAAGCATTAAAATTATAATGTTTTAATATCAAGCAATAAAAATCTAGGGACTTTTTTAAAATATACAGCTCTGAATGATGAGGTAGGAATGTTTTATATATTTTAAAGATTATTTGATATAAATTGATGTCACCTGTATTTTCACACTTTTTTTTTTTTTTTTTTTTTTTTTTTGTTGTTGTTGTTTAAATATTTCATAATAGCATACATGGTGGCTTAAGAGTTTTAAGTAAAAATACTTTTGAAATTAAGCAATAAATATGCGGTTTATTTCAAGAATAATACACATTCATTTTTTCTAAACATACGTAAAATGCCCAAGGTGACATCTCCCCCCCCTTCTACATTCTATTTTATGCAGACTCTGAAAAATATTTTTGTGAAATGACTAATTACTACACACCCTTAGCAGATACAATATCTGCTGCATTCCCCCCTCCATCCAAATTTTCAATCTTGATTCTGAGTTATTGATCATTCCTCAGAATGGCAGTTAGATTTTTTGCACTGGCCATTTCAAACATTAAATGTTCAATACCTCTTACAAAACCAATAAAACAATGGCTGCTTTATTTAGTCTTCTGCAATGATAGAAGAAAAAGATATCACAATGGCATCAAATATTCCAGCATTCCTATATTGGGTAATACATCTGAAATGGCCCTTGCATTTAAAAATGTATATACTTTAAAATGTAATGTTTAAAAAATTGTTTTACATAAAAAATAATATACATCAGTGTTTCTCAACCGCCGGTCTGCAAGAAATATTTGCCGGTTCACGAAATATTCCGCTATCTGTCAAAAAAATAATAATAAAAAAAGTGTCATCGGCCAACAACCGATATACAACAGCACCTACATTACAATAACAAAAGTTTACTAAATTATTTTTGTCTTCATGATTTATTTATGTGAAAAAATTGTGCCAACGGTTTGAATTATTAAACTTAGAAGTCCGCAAGAATGTACTTAAATATTTTACTGGTCCTTGGAGTAAATCCAGTTGAGAAACACTGATATACATAGTTCTTAAATTATATAAATACAGAAAAATATTATTATTTTCTAATCTTGCTTCAAGTAAGATGTTTACAAAAAATTATATGAGAATTTCATGTATTTTATTACAATAACACATATGTTGAAAATAGAGAAATATAAAAGTATGATGTCTTTCCAGTTGTATTTCTATGTTTGGAGACACGGAATATGAACAGGCTGCTGGTTCACTATTGATATTCCAACTTTCTTAGAGCCAGAACATGCAAATATTAGATAAAGAATTAACAATGGAGAAAGAATAAAACTTTTGCTAAATATCACCAAATACCATAAACTGAAGAATAACCTTTACAAAATTCTATACAAGTTATAATAATTTTAGGACTTGAAAAACCTGAAAATTTAGGACCTCTTCCCTTCTTTTAACTCACAGAATGCATAGAAAAAATCCCATTATGAAATATGTATCAAAACAATTATAGCAAATATACATACCGGGAATCACAGTTAGAACTTCAGGTGTTGATCTCACTTTTGTAATAACCATAATCGCAGGTAAATTATTCAAAGCAATATTTCGCACTGCATTTGCAGCTGTCATACCAAGATTTTGAGAAAGAACCGCAAGCAAACTGTAAAAAAAATAATATAGAAAGAAGCCTTATTAAGTTGTGATTAAATATAATCTTGAATTTGTGAAAATTGATAAAAACATGCATTGGATAAGATCAAAACTGAAAGGAATATTCATTGTTTCGGGTATTAAACCTGCAGCACCATGAAAGAACCCTCCAGCAGATATAAAATTTGAATGATTTGAATAATATGCTAGGATAATTTAATAATTAACAATAACATACGAATATATCATGGATATCAGTAATGCTAGATAAGAGCAATATAAAAGAGGGGAACAAACAGCAAGCTTTTTCTTATGAGACCTGTATTTTTTCATTGCTTGTTTACAAAGAAGTTCTACGTATGCCTCAGGTATGAGGATGAAACTCAACCAGCATTTACTCAAATTTGATAACAGAAGAGTGGCAGCACACTGTGATCACTGATCATTTTTTTTTTGTTATTTATAAGCTACACATATGAAATAAGTTAAAAAAATCTATATAAGAATGAGGTGGAGAGAACAGCAATACCATTGCTTTCCTGCAAAACAGTTAACTTGCAAAAAAACATTCAGGAGTATTATATATGGTTATATTATACAGAAAATAAGTGCTCCCGGTACGATTCATGGTCAAGGTTTTTCTATAAATGAAGTTTAAATGTGTTTTGTTTAGTTTATAATTTTAAAAGAAATATTTGAGAAATATCTACCTGGAAATCAGTAGTAGCAGTAATCATCATCATCTCAATAAATTAACAGAGTCTTTTCATCATATTTTATTTTAAATACAGATGAAAAAAGTTTCTCGTATTTTAATAATTTAGCTTATAAAATCAAATTTACTGCAATATTTTTCCTTTCTTTTTATTAAGACTACAAAGTTAATTTAATAGAATTAACTGCTTAACATTCCCTTAAAAAATGCAATCCAAAAGTTTCAGCTTACAGATAAATATTTCTAAGAATTACTACTGAATTTGAAAACTTTTAAAAAATAAATATAAAAATCATAAGTTTTGGGGAGAGAAAACATTGCAATCTAATCTTCATATTAACACCAGAAACAATTTTAAGCTAAGCAGGAATGCTATGTTAAAGAGTTAGTCTCCCCAAAATTAAAAATACAGAACATAAAATCATATAAAATGAATTGTACAAATTGGCAAAGCCAAGAAGAATTTTATACTAAGAATAAAAAAAGGGGGGCAGGATCTAGAAGAAATTTGTTATCATATTATTTTATTGACAATTAATGTCATGTGGAGACTTATACACTTATTTAATAAAGAAGACCTAACTATTCAAAATTCAGTTGAAAATATATTTCACAAAAGGCTTGCAAAATATATTTGTCTAACTGACAATAATTTATATTTTGCCAGGACACAAAAACCTATGATCTGAAAACAATAAACACTTCAATGCAGTTTTCATTGAGATGTTTCCTTTTGAGAAGCCTCTTGTATATAATAAATACTTCTAAACTGCACATCACAAAAGATTGAATTTGGAGATAAAAGGTTACAATATGCAAAATACTACTCTATTTTACATAAAAGTTACAATAAATAAGATTTCTTTTAAAATACAGTGGCAAATTCATGTATAACACTTAGTAAATTCCTTCCTTACATTTTTGTGATTAAAAATGTTTAAGCTATTAATATATATATATATATTTTAAGTTGGCCTAGTGGTTAACATCACATATTTTATTCACAACTCAGAAAAGCATAATGTGAAATGTCTAACAAATGATAATTATTAGTATGGTTTCAAATAAAACAGTATAAGACAGCAAATAAATAAAATCTGGAATAATCACAGATAATGTGCATATGATATAAAAAAAAGATTCACTAACACAGGAGGAGGGAGTAGAAAATACAAGTTGCTTTCAAGGCTTTAAATTAATACGCCTGCCTAACTGTTTTGGCGTAAAATTTTGTTTAACAGAATCCACCAAGTCATATATAAAATAAAGATCAGAATAGTATATTTAATTACAAAAAGCAGTTCAACCTAAATATGCCTGCCCAACTATTTTGGAGATAAAATTTTGTTGTTTAGCAGAATCCACTAAACACACATATATAAAATAAAGATCAGAATAGTATATTTAATTACAAAAAGGCAATTCAAAATCAAATTCAACTGCATGCCAAAGACAGTAACAAATGGAGGTGGTGGTAATACAAAATAAATTAATCTGCTTAAAATCCATACCATATTCAATTCAAAACAAAGCATATGGGGGAAAAAAAAACAAACATAGAAGCACAGTAACGAACTGCATGAAAGGTATAAATAATGCCAAAACCAAAATCAAAAAAAGGAATTTACATTTTTTGATGCAATGTCATTAGGGGAATGGTGTAATTAAAGAAGAAATACATCAACCTGTTTTCTACAACAACAAGACATGAAGTTTAATACTTCAAATAATCTCAGAAAATTAATCAAAGTAATTCGTGTTTTTATCAGTTCAATCTCTACAGTAAGTAGAGCAAAAAACACAAAATTATAGAATCAAAGACATAAACAAGCTTAAAATGTAAAATTTTTTTCTACATTTTGAGTAAGACGGATTCAAAAAAAAAAAAAAAACATGAGCATAAATACAAGGAATCCAAAATATAAATCACATTATTATTTTAATGTTGTATGCTTATGTTTTTAAATTCAGTCTGCTTCCCCCCCCCAAATTAGATTTTTAAGCTTTTTTAAGTTTTTCATGGCTTCAATGCTACGATTTTTTAATTTCTTGCACTGCTTACTATGGCCTGTAAGGGTTCAACCCATAAAGACACAGATTACTCTAATTAATTTTATGAGATTATCTTAAGTATTGAACTCCAATCTTTAATTTATGTCTTTGTTATTTTAGGAACAGGTAGATGTACTTTTTTCTTTCACTGCACCAATGCCCCAATGACAATGCAGCGAAAGATGTAAATTTCTTTTTTTTCCTTTTCATTTTAGCATTTTTTGTGCATTTCATGCAATTTGCCACTGTGCTTCTGTTTTTCCTCCCCTTAGGAGGAGGCACATGGTTTGTTCCAAATTGAATATGGGATGGATTTTAAATGTATTATTTTCACTTAATTTGCACTGTGTATTTATACAAATACATCAAAGAAAACATAATACTTACAATGTTTTGTTAGATTCGTATGTCAGGTCCCAAGCCCAAGTCACAAAATTTAAAGCAAGGTAACTGACAACTGTTTCTGAACATAAAAGTTGGGTACAAAAGACATTTGTCAAAACACTAGCATCATGGTGCAAATATATAGCTAAGGGTCGTCGCTGAAAAAAAGAGGAAACAAAGGCAATAAATTTTTAAATTACATATATTCACTTATAATACACAGCATTCTGATTTAAAAAAATGCTCTTTCATTAATATATATGCAGAGAGAGAAATCTGAGATGCTAAAGCAATTAAGTTTTTCTTATATAAATATGTTAATAAACTTTACAGTAAAATTCAACATATTTACACTACACTTAGGCTGAAGAAGTGAAATTTACTTGATTATTTAAGTTATTTAGCTTTTCTATGCACACATAGCGTTCTCTTTTCATAGTAATCGTGAATCATAAATTTGTAAATTTTTTATTTTTCCTAAATCATTACTTTTCAGAGTATATTTCATTGTGCTTTTGAATTGATGTTGTTAAAGTACACTGAGAATTTATTCATCATTCAGATTTTCAGATGTTAAGGTTCAATTTAAATGCACCTCATAACTGGCCCAAGCAATAAGCAACTTGTAACATCAGCAGCAAATAGAATTCTTAAAAACAGCATTTATACATTATTTTCTGGTACTAAAAATTGCAAACATGAAACAGTGTAGGGGGGGAGTAATTTTAATAAATCCAAAATTCTAGCTCTAGCATTTTTTGAAAACTGCTATTATTAGCCTAACTGCATGAGCCAAACACAATGTTAGAATTAATGCAGAGATTAAATTAAAGAAATCTATGCTGCAGGAAGTTTTATAATGGTATTTAAAGAACAGTTAAAGTATTTTGGAATAACTTCCCTGGTAGGCATACAAATTTTTTATATAAAAAGAGAAAAAATATATCCCATCATTTATCCCGTTTTGTTTATACTAATAGCATTTTTTAAACATTAAAAATATACTAATTTTGTACTCAACAAATCGTGATTAAATCATTTTTAAAGCATAATTTAATTATGTGCACACAATCTACATTTTAAAGCAAAAATTAGAAAGGATATTTTTCTTTTTTTTAAAATTAGAAACTGTATATGAATATATCAGTTTTAATGTGAACCTTGGAACTCTTTTTTTTTTTTTTTTTTTTTTTTAATAACGCTACATCACTTATCATACTCTAGGAGCAATTCCAGTTAGCGAAGTGTGATAGCAACAGCATTTGCATCTAGACTAAGTACATATAAAATAAAAAATAACATAAATAATAATAAATCTGAAAGCTTTCAGATTTTATATTATGTCCAAAGGGGCATTTTTTGAACGTATTCCATGTTACCTTTATTTATTAAATATCATGTTCTTTTGCACTTAAACAAACTATAAAATTCAATTCAACAGCAATATCACAAAATATTTACAAAAGCATATATTTAGAATTTCAGATACACAATCTTGCGCGCTGGAGATTAAAAATGTCCCCCCCCCCGGTGCAGTGTTGCCATTGCTCGCTTTGAAATCATTGAATTTCTTAATCAAAAACTCATAACTCCTTTACAAAATATGGAAAAGATAAAACAAATTCAAATTGTGGCTTCCAGATGCCCATATTCGGGTGGAGACATATGTTATTCAAAATTTGATGGCTCTAGTTACCGTTGTTTTATCACAATGTGAGAAACATACATACATTTATACAGATTCTTCATTATTTATTTTCTTTAAATGTTCTTTTGCTTAAAATTCTTTTCTGTGATATTTGGTGGCAACAATTTAAAATGCAAAATGCCGTAATAAAATTAATAGTCCTTATGGGCTTATTAAAAAAATAGTAAAAAATAAATAAAAATAAAATAAAAAAAACACTACTCATGCAGACATTAATCTGCAATTCTTTAATCTTCACAATCTTTGGTCTTATTACTGCAAAATTATGCAAAGTAAACAACAGTATACAGGAAATTTAGAAAAATGAACTGGATGAAACTAGACCATATTATTTATTCATTTTGCACGGCAAAATTTTTTCTTTTTAATTTTCTTGTATTTTTGGTTATGTTTTAGTTTCTTTGTATGTGGTTTTGATTATAAGGTGTTTTAAAAGTTTTCTTCAAACTCAAAAATTTATTTATACATTACTCTCACCACATTAACACAAGATTAACAGCTTCATAATTTTCCTAAATTGTAAACTTTTTGGTATTTTATAACTTACTTGTTTTTATTTCATTATAAATAATTTATATATACACATAATAATCATAAATGAATTCTGGTGATTTTTAAACTGTTTTCCTAAATTCTTAACATCGATCAGGTTACAATTTAGCAATTATGAAAGAATCATAAAAATGATAGCAAGTCACACACTTTTTACTTCTACTCTTTTTTGAACATCTTTGCCAGAAGAAATATTTGCTCTGTCTTTTTGAACTTGGAGATTATTCCTCAAGTAATAACATACTGTGCCTAAATAATTTTTTCACGCCCATTTACATAGTACTCAAAATGCATTTTTCATATATACAAAGCTTACCAAGAAAGTATCTAGAATGATTTCTGATTGGACAGTCTTTTGAAAAAATCATGATTTTTTAAATGCTTGAGTTAGCAAATGTAATACTCATAGCAAATAGAACATGATAAACCTGATTTTAAAGATCTGGCTAAACTTGTATAATTTTTTTCAAGAAGGAACAAAGCGTCAACATTAAATCAATATGAAATAACATATGCACTTGTACAATGCCTTACAACCACTGGATGATGATGAAAGGAGCATGCAGATGACTTTCTATAAGCAACACAGAAAATTACAAACTTGGGATTGTTGATTAATGTTTTAGATCTCAGCAAACAAACTGTTTGCAAATAAGACAGGACTGTAAAGCATTTATCATATTACATATTTTTAGGAAGAAGAAATTTCTCAAACAACTGACTGTTATGCACAGCTTTATGCACAGAGGAAATGGAAACCAAGAGTTTCAGAATAACATAAAAACTGATTAAAAAATAACAGTATTTTCAATGACTTATACACAAATAAACAAAAAAGTAAACAGATCAGCATAAGAACAGGCCGTCAAATTAAAAATGAACAAGTATTTTTATCAAGCATTCATCCACTTGATGAATATGGCTATATGGCCTTTACAAGTTTTTCTTATTCCTGAAGCTTAACACATTAAGAAATACAATATGGATTTATTTCACTATAAGGCCAGAGATAACCTGACTAACATCCCAGATCATTTCTGGGAGATATTTAAGAAGTTTTTGAAGCAGTCTAAGCTATATATTAAAATAAAATAGAAATATGTTGAAAATTATCAGAAAAATCACTACATTAAAGACTTACTCTGTATAGTTAGCTATGGTATACATTCAAATAAATTTTGGCAAGATCACTAATTATCAAGTCAAATCTTGCTTGAAAATAATTAGGTTTTATTCAAATTAAGTACAAAAGCATGTTAATGAAAAAAAAATACTTAGTTTACCTCTTTGGCTGGCTTATAACAAGAGGTTTGAAGAGCTTCAGCAAGTGTTCCTTGAAAAGATGGATGACATGGACCATATCTATATATAGAAATATAAAATGCCTGATAAAGATAAAATTTACTTATATATATATATCCCCTTTTATTTTCATATTAACACAACTTTTGTATAGTATGGAGATTTTTAACGGAAAAAAATTAATGATAATTAAAAATAAAAAGCAAAACTTACTACATGTATGCATATTATATATATTATTTTAATTACTTATTTAATTTGAAAATCAGTTACAAATATGTAATCTACTTACTAACATCTTTTTATTCAAGCAAATATCCCCTTCAGGAATTTTGCAGCAAAGTATTGCATTTCTGCAATTTCTTCCATCACAGGCAAATCTCACAAGTGAATATTTTAAAACTGAATTTAAGACCCCCCAAAAAGGTCTTATTTAAAATAATAATAATAATAATAATAAACATTAAAAAAATATCTGAAAGGTTTCAGATTTTACATTAAGTCCAAAGTTTTTTTTTTTTTTTTTTTTACATTTTGTGTGCTACCTTTATTTATTTAATATCATGTTCTTTACACTTAAACCATGAAATTCATTTCAAAAGCAATATCGTAAAATAATTTTAAAATGAGCATATCTTTAGAATTTCCAATACACAGTCTCGCACGCTGGATATATATATATATTTTTTTAACAACTTTGCCATTGCTCGCTTTGAAATCCTAGTGTTTGTTAAAGTTTTACAAAATATGAAATCGATAATAAAACAAATTCCAAATTTCAAATTTTGGGCATCCAGATGCCCACATTCCCAGGAAGATTACGTTATTCAAAATTTGATGACTCTAGGTACCGCTGTTTTGTCGCAATGCAATAAACATACATACATTTACGCAGATTCTTCATTATTTAATTTCTTTAAATATAATGCAGGGTGATTATATTTGGTGGCACAATTTGGAAAGTGAAACAATGCTTGTAGTGAATCAATGCAAAATGCCCAAACGAAATTAATAGTCCTTCTGGGGAAATTGCCCCTTTGAACTAATAAAAACTGCTACAACTTTAAATACAAGTAATATCATAATTTTCAGAAGTAATATGCAAATACTACTTGTTCATACTGAACATATTGTCCATGGTTGCCAGAATTTAAGATAATCTGAAAATTTGACGACTTTTATTAAGGAGCTTGTGCTAATGTATAAGTACTTTTTAATCAATATTCATTTATTTCCACTATCATTAAAAATATTACTAGATAAAAATTTTTAAACAAATTCTCCCTTGCAACTTTTCATAACAACATAAAGTCTCTCATACAGAGGACTTCACTAATTAATTAACACGTTGAGCGCCACTTGTATTTCTTAGGCAGTCCCGTTCAGGCCATGCATGCTGCTTAAACCAGGAAAAGCCTCTGAAGTACGGAAATATTGTAAATTATGTTATGATAAAAATGCAACAGAAGATGGTAGAGTAATGGCCAGAAAAAAGACTAAGAGAGTTGTCACATTTTGTAATAGCTGTAAATTTTAAATAAATTTTCTGCAATTCCATAAAACAATGTAAATTTTATAGTTATATATCATGTTACACATTGTCAGCCAGCAGCGATCGACACAGCCTAAACGGAAAGTCTAGTGTCAGCCACAGATAGCTGATGTGGCGCTTATCATGTTACACGCTGTCAGCCAGCGGCGGTCAACGAGGCCTAAACGGAAAGTCTAATGTCAGCCACAGATGGCTGACATGGTACTCAACGTGTGAAACAAGGAGCCACAGAAGCAAATTTAAACTTTGTATATACACTAATAATTCAAATAAATACACAAATAGGTAAGCACTAGTGTATACAGAAATTCTTACACTTTTTAATGATATACAGAAAAGAACACTAAAGAACGTGTATTAGGCAATGTCAGGCTTCATAACTTCATTAATCACTCTAAATACTTTATAAATGATGCATGCTAAAGGTATAAAGTTCAACTCTGCTGCACTAATAAGCAATGTGTTGTTATAATTTGGATAAATGAAAAATTGTAAACTAGACACAATGGCAAAAATTTCGTTTTTAGCCACATATTATTGTAACAAAAAAAATCCAAACATATTCTTTTTCAGATGTTAAAAAGTGAAATAGTTATCAAATAAGTAAAATTTGTGTAGAATTTCAATTTATTCTCAGGACATTGGGAAAATTTGATAATTGTTTGATATTTATAAAAACTGAGATTTTCTTTTCAGTGTTTTTTTATATACACAGAACATACAAAAATTATAATTTTTTTTTACCCAATACTGAGAGAAAAAAACAAGTAAGAAGAGAAGCTAGTTATTAATGCACCTGTTAGCAAATTCTTTTTCAAAATTGCTGACTGCAGCCAACTCATCTTCAATGTCTTCAGGCACTATAACGAAATTTAAAAAATGAATAAGGTGTTAAAAAAACACATACTTTGTTGCAGAATATACTCAGATTTTATACACAAATCATCGGAAAAACTTCACAATAATTAAATTCATATATCCACTTAATTATACATTACATGAGGTTTATTTCTTACAAATTTACTAAGGTCTCCCTGAAAAAATATACCACCAACATGATTGCTAATAAATGTTAATGTAAAAAAAAAAATAAAAATAAAAATGGCATATCATCGCATAAAAAATAAAAATTGAAAAATGTTTATTTAGAAATCTCAAACTTTATGATGTGATACAAAAGGAGAACAGTGTACTTCTATAATTTTATGGCATGTTATTAGATTTTCCATGATGAAATCATTCAATAAAGAGAATTGATATTGGCCCTCATACCTTCAGATAGCTAAGAAATATTCCATGTTTTATTTTAATGAAGATATGTTTCCTATTTGAAGAACAATACTGATACAAGAACTGTTGATACTGATACAAGTTTAATTTTAAACCCCACAAACAAATGCATGCACACAAACATATGCACCCCCCTTCACACACACACACACACACACACACACACACACACACACAAAAAAAAAAAAAAAAAAAGAAGAAGAAAGATAAAAATAAACCATGCTTTCAAATTATAAACACCAAAGCTTCACATGAACATAACAGATATGAAACATTTCGTCTGGAGTTTTTGTGAGAAACTGCCAACAGAAACTTCAGCCTTTCTTCTTATCGTTTATATTATCTCCTCATCATTAGTGTTGCCCACTGCTAACTCAAAAGCTGTTCATTATCAAAACTGTTTCATTATAAAACAACATGGTGTTTATTATATTTCACATGTACTAAGTATCATATGTTAACATAGATTTTTTATTGTATCAAACTCAGATAATGAGGGTGCTTAGGTATTTTATTTCTCCTGACTAACAAATAAATGAAAGTTGCTGAGGTTATAAGCATGCTATTAAAATAATGATGCAATGTTCCAGTAATTTATACATTGTCAGCATTCCCAAAGTAAAATCAAGCAGACAGGTAGTTCTTGACAATCTGATTAATATATATATGCTCATATCCTTCCATAACTGGCTCATGTACATTACACTATTTGTGCAACTATAAAAAACAAAGGCTTTGTAAATGGAACAACACAGATCTATAGTGTAAATAGAATAATATAGATTTATGTGTTACTTGTGATTATCTCACATATTTTTATCACAAATAATGTGATTTAAAACGATGGGTGAATTACTTGCATGGGAAACACTTTTCTGCATTTCCATGTCTGCAAATATATATCAGATAGATAATTACAGTGACTGAAAGGCTAAGCAAAGAAAGGATTAAGGATACATTTTAAAAGGCATACTCTAGAGCTTAAAACACATAACCACTTGTCCCCCCTTTTTTTATCAAGCCCTACACAAATAATTGTTGTATTACAAAATGCACCAGTTGATTAGAGGTGCATAGAAAATTGCTGAGAATGTTCTGATCCACTTTTCTAACTTTTACATGGCAATTATACTGAAGCAGCCATTACATAGCTGCTATATATTCATTTCAGAAAATCTAAAAAGTTTTTCAAATATTTACAAAATATATTTGCTGATAAACAAACACATTTAAAAATTTTATGGCAAAATTATATCTACGATTAGCTAAAAACGAGATAAGTATCTACATGCTTATCACTGCACAAATTTTCATAATGAAAAAAAAAAAAAAAAAAAAAATCCACAGTTTAAACATGGCAAAAGATTTACCTTTTCAATTCTGCATTTTTATCATCTATAGGTTATATCTTGTTTCATACAAGTTTATTTTATGAATATGTTCTCATGCAAACAACTAACATGATATAAAGTGCATACAATTTTTTTTTTTTTTTACCTATTATAAAAATATCTATGCTGAGATGCATGTAAAAAAAAAAGTGATTTAAGTTAATACTTTTCTACTACACAATGATGCCTCTAATCTCTAACTCTAATATGAACATCAAATTCCTTCATCAGCTACAGTGCAATCTTAATTAAAAGATCAAGGAAATTATCCAATTGCAAACAGCTCAATATTATGAATTAAAAGTTCTGCAACGTTTATTACACTTATGAAAATAACTTATGCATGCAAATATAGTTTTCAACTTAAAATATGAAATTATACAATGTTCTGCATTTTTCTTAAACAAGATTACTTGGAATACTTTTTTCTGGGTAATAAAAGAACAAAGGGGAAAAAAAGGGGAAAAAAACTACAAAATATCTACATACTTAATGGCTGTATTTTTTTAGAAGACGAACTAGCTTGGAACATATCATCATCTACACCAAAGCACTCAGCCGCATCTTCAAACTCATTTTCACTCTCACTTGATGTCAGATCAATAAGCTGGCAAATGTAAGCCACAACAATAACATTACTACTAAAATAAAAGCTTATGCTAATCTAATATAATATACATAAATTATTCATAAATATTAAATAAAGATATACATGAAAAGCTCGCATGATGTGGCTCCATTCAATGATGACTACACTATAGGAGAATTAGAAATTTGAACAATAAATTTCACTAAGTACTGATTGATTCACTATTGTGCCACAAAATAATACAGAATAAATATTCCCACTAAAACATGTACTGCCGAAATGAACAGTGCCAATTGGTCATGTGCACATGCACATTCACTGACAGATGTGGCAGACTCAGAGCAAACTCAACCCTCAGCCTCAGTTACAAATTGACTCATAATCCCTCATAAAGGGCCCCATATCTCAAATAACTTAGGATCTTTCAAATCTAAATCCGGTCCTGAATATAAGGAGTATGAAATGGCTATAGATTCTTTTGTTTCCAAGAAATTTGTAAGACAAAGAAGTCCTTTTATGTTAAATATGGAAAGACTTCTTTGGATTGTGGACTGTAACCAAAAAGGAATTCCCTTAATTTAACTAAAAATTCAAGCAAAAGCATCAATTCCCCCTCCCCTTACACTTTAAAAAAAAAGTTCTGAAAACAAAACTAGTGAAAATTTTCGAGTAAGCGGTGGGTGGTCCTCGCTTTAAAAAAGGTTCAGGAAATCATAATGTTTACTCATTGTGGATGAAAGAGCAAAAAGAAGCAGCATCAATATTTCCAGAAGAAATAAAATAAGTTATTGCTACCTTAATGAACAAATGTTAAACATGCATAAAACTGGATTATATCTGAAGAAGCTGCTTTCTAGCAGGTGTCAGAAAAAAGAGCAATCTCCACAGGCAATAAAGTATCAAAAGATCATATTACCTTATTGTTAAGAGGAAATATATCTGGTGATGTCAAATTGAAACTCATGCTTGTATATCCCTCACACTTTAGAGGCATGCACTAAAAACTCATTACCTGTGTTTTTGCATGCTAATAAGAAGTGCTGAGTTACAAAAGTTGTGTTTGAAAGTCGGTTTAAAGATTATTTTTGTCCTTTTGTTAAAAATTTGCAATATTCTAGCTAAATTAGAAGTCCTCGAGGGCTAGAGTATTGAAGAACTGTGTAGCAACTATTCGTTGAGTTCTAATAAGTGAGAAGTCCAAAGAAGGATTAACACTTTATTCCAACTCAAAGTAAGTTAATAAATGGCTCCTACTAAGGCTTACAATAAGCCTCCACCTGGGCACAAAACTCAAGATAGAAAATTAGAAACTAATCTAACTAAAATAAACCAGCCAAAGCTGCACAAAATTAACAGAGTTGGCCCTTGAATACGATCATTGGTGGATACCAACAGCAATATAACAATATGGCAGAAGAGCAGTAAGATTAGACCAGAAACAACAATGCGGCTGGAAGGCACAACATACTCTTCTTTTGCTCTTCTATAAGAAGTGACCTAGATTTCAGTTTAAATACTTATTTCTACCTCATTTATATAAAACATAATCCTGAAAACTCATTCTGGCAGGGAAATGACAGAGTAAAGAAAGGCTTGTCCCAAAATAAAAATAACTATTAGAAAATTAAAATAAACCCTACAAGTTACTATGAAAAACAAAAACAAAACATATTTAAAGCATTATCATTATTAGATAAGGTACCAGGTCATCCTACTGGATTTTCTAAATAATTCTAATATCAGAATTAATTTTCTCCTCCCAAATACTATCTCTGTGCTATAAATCATGGATCAAGTGATTATGGCTACATAAATCATACATCAAGGCTTTTTTACTTGAAAAGGTAGCTTTTACAGGCAAAAGCAATCTATGGTGACCACATTTTGGAAAAATAACTAGCTATGAAGCAACGATGTTTTTCTTTTTTTGATTAATGTCAAATTTCATGCAACTCCATAAAATTATGCCTTCTTATTAAATTCTACTTTTATACAAACCAGAGACAATTAAATCAATAAATGCAATAAATAATCTCTATTTTATTTTAATCGAACTCATACTATTTCTATAAAGAATTACCTATATTCTTTAAAAAAATGACCTGAAATTTAAAAGCATTTAATATACAAACCTGTTTCTTAGATTTGGGAGGAACTTCTTCTTTACTAAGTATCAATTCTAGCACTGAATCTGGAAGATCCAGAGCTCCCAATTTTGTCTGCAAAAATATAAATGAATTAATATTGATCCAAATTTGAATCTACTTTTCATTTTAATTAATAAGCATAAAAAATATTTTGTAAAAAAGTAAAAAACCACAATAAAGATCAATCAGCTCCTAAAAGATTGAATAAATTAAAAGAAATATTAATATATCTCCCAACTTAAGTATGTAAAAGGAAGGCATGCTTTAATTAAAATTGTTTCATATTACATGCATAAAAAAATTCATGATTGCTATTAATACAGGTAAAGTTAGTATTATTATTATTTTAATTAAATTACAGTAAACCCTGGCTCAGGGTTATGCCATTAATCCATTACACACATGGCAAAATTAACTTTCTGTGAAATAAATGTGTTAACTATAGCATACATTAAAATATGCACAATTTACACGAATCTAAATATTGCTGTAATTAAAAAAAAAGAAACAAATGTTAATTAATTAAAAGAATTTTGATTGCATAATAAGTAAATACATGAGAGAATTACTTCTTTAAAAAAAACTAGATATTTTTGCTTGGGACAAAGAGTGACACAACTCTTTAAAAGTTTTGTCATACACAAAAGCAGAGTTTTTTAATGCATGTCATAAAGTATTCTCTGTTTTTTTCATTAATGTCAATTTCCATTGCAAAATCAGAAAGTTTTTGTGTATATTTTTAACAATTTGTTTAATTTCTTGTAAGTTAAAGGCACTTTATCTTCTTCAATGTGACTGCTTTCACTGATGGCTGATGCTAAAAGATCATCAAATTCTTCCATTCTTTGTTCATTGACTCATTATTGATTAATTCTTTTTCTTCTATATTTGAAATCACTCTTCGTACAATGTAAATCTGAAAATTTTCAGATTTTATATTATGCCCAAAAGGCATTTTTTTTTTCATGTTTTGTGTATTACCTTTATTTATTAAATATCATGTTATTTGTACTTAAAACACATAAAATTCAATTCAACAGCAATATCACAAAATATTAAAAACAGCTTTCCCATACAGTCTCGCACGCTGGCGATAGAAATACTTTTTTCGTACAATGTTGTCATTGCTTGCTTAGAAATCGTTGAGTTTCTTAATCAAAAACTCATAAATTGCTTTACAAAATATGAAACAGATAATAAAACAAATTTCAAATTCGGGCTTCCAGATGCCCATATTCAGGTGGAGACATATGTTATTAAAAATCTGATGGCTCTGAGTACCATTGCTTTTTTCCAATGTGAGAAACATTCATGCAGATTCTTCATCATTTAGTTTTTTAAATATAATACATGGCAATAATATTTGCTGATTTGGGCTTACAGATGCTTACATTCGGGTGAAGATATACATTATTCAAAACTTGATGGTTCTAGGTACCATTGTTTTTTTACAATGTGAGAAACATTCATGCAGATTCTTCATTATTTATTTTTTAAATATGTCGATAATGTTTTTTTTTAAATATGTCGATAATATTTGGTGGCAACGGTTTAAAAAGTGAAACGATGCAAAATGCCGTTTTGAGACTAACAGCCCTCTGGGTCTAACACCCCTTTGGGTTAAAAAGATGACATGAAGGTGTGAAATCATGTTCTGCAAGGCTTAACTGTATTAAACCCTCACAAAATACAGACGGCATAATATGCATTGTCAACTACCAAAATTTTTACCCAAAAATGACAAATGAAATACGTTGCATTTTCATTTAACAAATAATAAAAAAAAAAAGTTTAAAATCATACTCCCCTACATCTTCCCAAAAATAAATAAATAAATGTGAAAGTGTTAAGTTAATGATCACCCAAAAGGATTTGTTAAAAAGTTTTTTGCTGAGTTCGGAGTCTACTAGACTCTTGCTGCACTCATTCTTGCTTACCCATTTCTTTTTTATCTTTTTAATCTAATCATAATTTTCTTTACACTTACACAAAATAGAATTCAACAGCAAAATTATAAAAATTCCAAAAGCAGACTTTTCTCAGTTTATGATATCAATACTCAGTTTTCTTCGTAAAATGGTTCGCAAAACTTTTGTCTTTTTATTGTTAATGTTTTATAAGTCAACTTTATTCATTAACTATCATATTCTTTGCACTTATGCAACATAAAATTCAATTCAACAGAAAAATCACAAAATATTTAAAAATAGCATATCTTTAGAATTTCCGATATGCAGTTTTGCATGCTGAAGCTAAAAAAGTTTTATTATATGAAAACAGTATCTAGGCAACTAATAAAGGTAAAGCATCTGATGATATTCATCTTGGATGGCAATGTCTTTACTATCTGGATTAGTCATTTTAACAAAGGAAAATTTCCCTAATATAAATTATCAAATATAGAAACTAGAAATATATTAATATTATAATAAATCAAATTACATTTTCATCTGTTAAAGAGTCTGGCCATCCAACCCAGCGCTGAAACCGAACAGGAATGTTAGTAACATCTCGAAGTCCCTGCTTGATCTAAGATAAAAAAGAATAATAAATGAGAATGAACAAAAAACAAAACATACTTTGTATGAAACTAAAAACATACTAAGTACACAGACAATAAAATACAACTAGCACTACACATTGGTTATACTGAGCCTTAGCAAAAGACAAAAAAAGAAAGAATTAAAAAAAAAAAAAGATTCTGAAAATGTTCACAGCATGCAACCGCATGCTGGAAAAGTAACCATCTTGTGGCCACCGTGAACTTGTGTTTCGGGTATGTTTTTATATGTTGCATATTGTTTGATATGTGTTTGTCTTACATATTGTTCTATTTGTTGTATGTTCCTACGTATATGTTGTGTGCTGTATATATTGTATGTTGGCTGTAGAAATTTCGGGTAGTTCCTATATGTTGTTTATTTTAAACAAATTGTTTAGAAAATTGCATTAAATAAAATAAGAAATGTAATTTATATTAAATTCCATATGTGTATTACATAAACTATGTATTGCAGACATTGGATAAATCGTTTATGCATTACCGTTTTTCACCAAGGGTAAAATGTGTCCATTCCCATTTCTGCCAAGGGCACTAAAACCAACAACTATCCAACTAAAAAATACTTAGAATACTTTCAAATATATAGTGTACATACACACACACATATATATAACTGATATTTTATTTGTGACAGACATTACAATTTTTTCTTCAACACTAATTTAAATTTATCATTATAACTACCCAAATTTAAATCATTTCATTATTTCATCAATTATTTTAAAATCAGAACCACAGACTATACTAAAAACAGACTGGTGGACTGCATGCTATACCACCACCAAACTGAGTTAGTATTTTTACTAAAGAAACATTTTCAAGTTTATTTTAATATAAAATGTATTTTTCCAAGTCAAAACTAATATATGTACAAAAATAACATATGGCTGTCTAAACAAGAAATACAGAATGGCAAGTTATGTTCAACTACGAATATGGTGTAACTCCTATTAAATTTATACTACTAGCACATTAATTTAGAAAAGTATTGAATATGTAATCATAACAAGCATAAATTTATATAAAGAGAGAAGCTAAAGTATCATTCATGAGTTAGTAAGTAGGTTCGCATTCACATGGAAATAAAATGGTAGCACACACTCTTCTTATGCCAAAATTTGGTTGCTAAAAATGGTTCTGATTGAACTAAGATGTCTACTTTTAGAAAAATTATGAAAATCAGAGCACAGTAGGCTCAGACTTCTAAGAAGAGAGATAGAACTGAAAGAATAAGGAACATTAACACCAAACACAAGTAGTGAATTATGAAGATAACCTTAATCAAAAGTTTAAAAAAAAAAAAAAAAAGAAAAAAAAAGAAAGAAAGAAATTCAAGTCCTTAAAAAAATGGTCAAGTAGCAGAGCTGATTATGGTGGCTATAAATTCTTGTATTTCATACAGAATTAAAAAATAATTCTTTCTCCTCATGCATGCTTGCAAAGGGTAATATGCAATTCTATCTTGACTGGTAGTATTCCAGTGTCATTTACATATTATCTGTTTCACAATCCCAGTGATAATTGCTATGTCATATCATGAAAAATATACCCCACCACATCAGTGTCTGCCAGCAGAAGATGAGGTAGAGCAACGCACACCTTACAGACTTTTAAACTGAGTAATGATTTCTTTCAGTTCTATCTGCTAACAGAGCTATTGAGTGAGTGAAGCATTTATATACTGTTACTGTAATTCCATCACCAAACAGGTGATGCTTTGGTAGAGGAGCAAAGTTGTTCATCCTAAATAAAAGAAATATTTGCTTACCAAACAGTCACTTTATTTGGAGTCAGATACATGGAAATAACATTACACAGGAATCTCGCCAGGCATACGAAATCATGCATGGCAGGAGATCAGTAATTTTCTGCAAGTTCTAAAGAATCTTTGTCTTTAATTTCTAATCTATATCAAAAAACTGAGTTGAAAGAATCAGGTGGTGTATTTAATTATGGCAAAGCACACTAGAACTATCTGCCTAAGGGAAGGGATGCCTTTGTGGAGGATTTTCTAAGGGAAACTGGCTCATATACACGTTACACATGGGGAAAACCACGAAAACATCCATGCAGCCAGCCCGTTCGCGGGATTCGAACCTCGGACCGAACTACCAGTGTTCAGTGACTTTACCGCTCAGCCGCTGGTGGGCTGAAAGAATCAGGACTTATATGAACCATACTGTATATAATTGTTCTATTTACCCAACATCCATGTAAAATTAGTACATACGACAGAAAAACCCAACTTATCCAGAAATAAAATAGCTCTTACCCAGAAAACATTTTTCTATAATCATATGACACAAGCATTTGAACAAATTGTAATAAATACAAATAATATTCAAAATTATTATACTGTTTGAAATGGCACAAAGATCACAGAAAAATATATCACAGGCAGAAATTTATACACCAGGAAAAATAAAAATAAAACAAACCTCTAATATTGTTTTGGAGCCTGGGAAATGGAAATCATATTCTTTATTATTGGTTGTGTCTATTACATGCAATTTATATTTCATATTTAACCGATCACTAGAGTTGACTCTAAAAGAAAAAAAAAAGAAGAGTACATTTTATTCACATTTTTTAATCTTATTAGATCAATAAGTTTCTAAAATTAAAAAAGAAAAGGGACAGAAAGATATTTACGAATCTACAGATGCACTGGGTGCCAAGTTGAAAGGATCTGGAGCAACAAGGAAGAGATTTGTACGTTGAGGTAGCTGCAAAGATGACAAAATTGTCTGTGGAGAAGGGGAAAAAAATTATTATTAAAATTTCTAATAACATTTATGAATTTTCAAGTAAAACTGTTCTTAAGTATATAAATAGCAATATACATTAATACTTCAGTGTTTGCCTATGTTTGTAACAAACAGAACTACAGTAACACAAATCAACAGGATCTGTTTTTCTATTTTATCTATCAGATATTACAGTGCATCATAATCACATTAATGAGGCTATCTTTTAAATTTGACAGGTACAGATACCAGTGAGTGGAACACCAGAATTTTACCATTGGTCAAGCGGATGTAGTCCCAAAGCAACTAACTGTGAAGCTCCAACCCCATTTTGGTGGAAAGAACCTTGAGGGATAGACCGAAAGTCTTCCACTCTGCTTTACCACCAAACCACTTGAGAGGAGTTCTGGCTTGCCAGTATTTTAAATGCCCTATGCAACACAGACACTATATATATACTTATAAACATCCATACTTTTACTGGGATTCAAACCTAGGAACCACTATACTAATCAGTTTGGCAGACCTATGTTTGACATCATCACTATATAACCACGGTCATAATATTTAGTGGTTATATGAAGTATGTTGTAGGGCATATAAATTGTGACAAAAAACATTTTAATTGTTGTTGCCATGGATAAACTGAAGGATTAATTATACTAACAAAACAAGAATGATTACTGTCTTTAAGACCAAAGATGGCACCATTTCAGAAGCTGTGCAATTTATCAACTGTTTGCATGTTCTGTGAACGAACGAGCACAACGAATGGCAAAATAAATGTTGCGAAAGCTGAGAAGCATGAGCCAAACATAAAACTGAATACCGGCTGTGTGGATGTGTTTGGATCCATCGACATGTTATAGCAGTGCAACTATAGCATGTCGATGAATGAACCTAGGAAGTTACTATAATTGTGTTCAAAGCAACAGTTCAGCAAATCTTGCCTAGTATTGGTCTCTAGATGGCAATACATCTATGCTAATTACTGTTCATTGGCAGAAGAATCTGGAATTTGTATGGAGTATGAACAATGGGCCTCCACTTAAAGATACTGCTTTATGTTATAGTTCAAGGACTAAAAAGAGATTAAAAAATATATGAAAATATTTAATATCCCATTCTTTGATTTAATAATATCTCCCCCACTTTTTAATACTGCATTATGTAGAATTAGTTTTAGCTATATACTGTTAAAAAAATTGAAAAAATTCACAATATTTTTCATTTTCCCTCAATACAGAATAAATAAATAACATTTTTCAGATTTATCATTGAAGCATAACAGCTAACCATTCAAGCAAAAGAGCCAGATTTTTTTTTTTTTTTTTAAAGTTAATAAAACAAAATAGTGACAAAATGTATAAACAGACATCTTTTTGAGACATTAAAAAAAAATCACACTAAAACACTCCATTTATTATAATTACAATCATAAATACAATTTATACTGATAAAAACTAAGGGACATTTTGTTCATGTGTGAACATTTCATTCAGTGCGAGATCTTATCAGTGAGAACTTTTACCAGTCTGGGCTTTTATCACTATGTGCTTTCATCCATAATTTTGTTTGTGTGGGTAATTATCATAGTGGAGTTTTTGTTGCAGTCCATTGGGCTTTTATCTGGTCACTGTCTGAGATACATTCATGTGGCACGGTTTTTGTTGTTAAATGAAATAACTGATAATGCTGCATTTTCTGTTATTGAGAATGTTACACAATGCATCTTTCAGTTCTAAACTAACACTTCCATATCAAACTGAAATTTTCCTCATTCAAATTTTAGCAGAATAATGCAGTCAATAACTGGTATGCAAATTGACTGATTCTATCATATCAATCATTTTCATTTTTAAAGAATGTTACACTCTCTCTGAATTCTAGAACTCTGAATTCTTACATTTCTTAACTCATTTCTAGAATAACATCTTTACAACATCCCCAAAAGATCAAATATCTGTTCGTTGTTTTAAGTTTTTTTGTTTCCAAGGGCAGCTTATTAAAAAAAATTTATTTCACTTAATTAAAATATATTTAATTTTAAATGCAAACATCAGTGTTAATATATAACTTCTTACATCAGAAATACAGAAAAATTAAATATCTGTAAAAATGACAAAAATATAAATTTTAAAACAAATTTCAGTATCATAGCTGCCAACCTTGAAATCCGAAAAACCAAGAGATTTTTGTAAGAAAACTAAGAGGTTTTTGTGCTGTGCAGCAATGCCATTTTAAAGGAATTAAAAATTGATTTGAATTCACTTTATAATCCACGATTCAGGTAATTGAAATATTTAGTCATAATGCAATTTTGGTGTAAAATATATTAGTATTTAATTAGATATTCTAAATTTTATGCTCTTTGGCTTATTTTTTAAAATTTTCTTACACTTTTTTTACTGAAAAAATCCAAACAGGCTAAAAAAAGTTTTTTTTTTATTTTTTTTTAATCAAAGTACTTTAAAATACAATGGCAGTAAAAGTAATAAGTAGTGTGCACAATATTTATCTGGATAAACTTAGTAATGTAACATGAAGTAAAAAAATACAAATATTAACTGATTAAACATTGTTCAATCTTCATATAAAAATCTACAAATGTCTGCAGCAGATTAAGACAGCTCAGGTAAAATAAAATTTAACAAGAAAATGATTAATAAAATGTAATGAGGAAAAAAAAAATTAGATGAAATAAAATTTAACAAGAAAAACTATTCTGAAAACCACTAGAGTTGCAGGAATAGAATTTACACAATTTAAGTTCCAATCATTCAATAAATTTCATTTATTTATTATTATTATCATCCCATTTATTTATTTATTTATTAATATTGTCCTAAGTAAGGCCTAAAAAATTTTAAAAATTGGGAGATTAGGTGATCTACTGGGAGATGTGATGAAAACTGGGATAGTTGGCATCTATGCAATAACTACACTAGTGTGCAAAACTTAAGCAACTTTTCTGATTATGGCCATGATTCCATAAAATATCAACTAGGAGACATGAAATTCATACTGCAGAGGCATAAATGCAGTTCTTAAAGGATGAGGAAAGTATACTATAAAAAAATGAATAGTATATATATATAGTACAGAAGAAAAAGTCTTTTATTGATAAAATAGCACTTGCCCCCCCTCAAAAAAAAAAAAAAACTCTTCAACCAAGAAAGGGAGAACAACAAACCAACCAGCCTTAGAAAAGAATGACCACCCCTGACTGCAAATTATCTAACAGTTCTTGGGGTAAGAGTTCCCATTCTTTAAGGAGTATCTGTTTCAGTTGTCTGATATTCTCCAGAAGGTAAGACTGTGCTGCCAAGCATCTCCCTAAAGTATCCTACAAATGTTCCATGGGATTTAAATCAGGAAAGCAAGTTCATTCTTGGATATCTTCACTTTCCAGGAGCTCTTCAATATTATAATCTTCTGTGGTCATGTATCATCATCCATAAAACAAAGTCAGGACCAATCGCTTCCCAGGAAAGATATACGTGGAGGAGAATAACTTTATCACAGTAATGATCTCTGGTAAGTAAACCTGTCAAAAATGTGGAACTCTGTCTGCCCGTTCATTATAACGCCTTTCCATGCAAGCATACCAGGACCACTCCATGAGTCTCTTTCTCCCATGTTAGTGGAATGATAGTGTATCTCTACCTCGCTCCATATCAACTGGTGCCAAAAATCATTTTTCAGACTGGTTTAGACTCTCATTGGTAAAGAGGATGTGACTCCATTGATGAGGTATCCAGTCTTTGTGTTGTCTATATCACTGTAAACAGTACCATTGACAGTATGCATCATTCAGGACAGCAGGCGAATACACCATCTTAAGGAAGTCACCTGGCCACAGTAAACCAAGACACCTGTAGTCCAGTTTCGGTGCAAAATGGCTCAGCAATGTTCCCTGCCATCTGATTTCGAACTCTTTTCATCTGCAGAGCATCAGTCATCATTGTTTTCCTCGGCCAACCACCACCAGCTTTTCTTACAGCTCTAATTGTTATTTGGAAGGCTCCCCAAGCTAGTGAAACAACACTTTAATAAATTCTAAACTCTTGGGCAAGAGATATAAAACTATGCTCCTCCTTGCCAATCATTCTACCATGTGTAAAGGCATCCTGATGTTTTCTTGCAGCCATACTGCACATACAATCTCTCTCTAAATTGTACAAGAATGCCTGAAAATGTTCCTCCCTTTCTTCTTTTTAATTTGCCTTGCAATGCGGATGCTGTCTCCTCACATTTTATGTGCCAACATAAAATGTGAGGAGTCATATTGTCTGATGTCATAGTGCTGATATCTGCATAAGCATCACCTTTCTTTTAAGTTGACTTTTCATTTTACTGATCGCTAAAAGAACCCTTTTCAATGATTTTATGGTTGTCTGTTGAAAAATAAATTTGTTACTTATGTTTCGCCTACTAGTATATTATAAACTATTCAGAATAAAACAGATGATGCAGCAAGTAATTCACAACACATTTAAAAATAGGAAATCACATTAAATTTAGCTCATATCATTTTTTCATTTAACACGCAAATAACAAATTAATATCGCAGAAAATGAAAATATTTTTATGCATAAAAGTTGTAAAAAAACTTACATCATCGTCAATAGGATTGTCATCGTATTCTGCCATATGATTTTGCCGCCAACCATGCAGCCTTTGCCTGCATGGTGGCACTCCTAACTCTGCATGTAATGCAGCTTTTATAGCAGCTAGGAAGAAACACTGTGATTAATTTTTTAATGCTACATCACTGAAATATTTAATAAATTTAAAATACAATAATAAAATTTCAGAAATACCAGTAAAATTAAGGTTTATTAATAATGCATAACTTGACACTTTTCATGTAGCATTTAAATACTAAATTTGTTAAAATTCATAATTATAATGAATACTACATTTATACTGAAAATAATTTAGATTTAATACTTTTTTGAAAAATCACATAAAAACATTTGTATCTAATAATTTTTGGGTGAAATAAAAGTATTGTTTAAAGTTAATAAAACTATACTCAAATAAATACATGCTTTGATGTAGATTTTATTGTTTCTCAGCCTATTACTTACATTGGGTATTTTACATTAGTTTACTTGTTACAGCAGAAGTCTTGAGCAATTGCTGACCAATTTTTCACCAAACTAATACACAAAAGGCAACAGCCATTTCCAAAATGAATGTGCATTAAGAGTTTCATTCAAAATCAAATGATCAATAAAATTTTTAAAAAAACACGAAAGAATGGTAATAAAACATTTAACTTTTCAGAAAAGTATTTATTTTTCTTGGGGGGGGGCACTACTGTTCTCTTTACATGTACAATGATCTGTTTTAACTTGGAAGGGGGGAACTGCACAATCTTAGCATCTGACAATTTTACCATTTTGCATCACCCAAGATAGACACGCACTGCATGCGTGTATGCCACATTAATATTTTTTTGCAACATTGTGGATTGCCGCATAACTATTTTAGCAACATACTAGTCTGCCTCAAGAATAAATTTTCATGACTTTTCAGAGGAGATGCAGATAATCAGAAAATACCACTTCCTCTTATTTTCTTACTCATGCAAAATATGCGAAATTTCTTTTCAATCTAAGTACTAATATGCATTACACTTTATGAAATGCTTTTCCTTTACATATATGTGTGTATATATACAGGGTGTTTCTAACCTCATGGGCAAAATTTTAAGAAATGATCAAAGGGAAATTTAAGGAACATGTTAACAAATGTGCACTGAAATCAGGCTGTACTGCTAGCTGTTGCTAACACCAACGTGCAAACTCGACACATGGCACATAATCTGCAGGCATCAAGGTTTGCACTTTCTGTACATGGTAAGGGTGTAGTCCTTAATCCTGTAATACTTGCCAAATAATAGAGTGGGGCACATTTATGACATGAAAAACCTCTTGTGTGCTAATACCCAAGATGATCTTCCACTCTTTGCAAAATGTCCTTTACAACTTGTGGTGTTCGCACACTCCTGCCACACCCTGTATCATGCATACCAGTAACAAAGGATCCCATTTCACATACAATTGCTCAAACATTTTTCAGTTTGGCACGTGTCTTTTCGAGAAACACTGCCTTTACAGTCTTTCGGCTTCCACGAACATTCCCAATCACAAGACGATGCATAAAATGCATGTATGCCTTTTCCAGATTACTGTACATCAACATGCCTTTTGAAATCCAAGCTAGAAACAATGATGTGTAAGAAAACTTGTGCTTTATACTTTCCATTACAGCACCATTTAGCAGTTCACCGCCTGCTCTCTGCCCATGCATTATATGGTACTTGTTTAGATGTTTTCTATGACCACTTAAATTTTTGCTCATGAGTTTCAAAACACCCTGTATAAACAGTAGTACCTCCCAATAAGGGACACTCATCAAACCAGACATTTTGTCCCTTAAATAGAGATGTACGTACCTTCCTCAAAGGGTTTGTACCAAAATAGTGCAATTTAATTAAAAAATCAGGTTGTACCAAGACTTAAATAAATGAATCTGAAGTTAATGAAAAAGGAAAATCCTTAATTAAAAAGTTTAATCATCTGTTACACAGGTTTGTTTGGAAGTCTGTGCATTGCAAGATTTTTTTCCTTGTGTATATTAACATCACTAATTATCTCATGTCCTTCACTGTAACCAACAATTTTCTTTTTCTTTCTTTTTTTCTTCTTTTATTACTGGGAGGTATATCTTAAGGTACCTGTACAGTTTTTATTTCACAATATTCCCCTGACTCTTCTTTGCCATCCTCACTGCTTCCCAATCCATTTTTATTAAACCTCACAACATCAACTACAGTTGAAATAAAAGATTTTATGTCATCATGTGTGTCTTCAATACAGTTTTGTTAATTTCGCAAATATTCTTGCATTTCAGCATTTCCATTGATTTTGACTAGTTGAAATAATTCATTTTCATCAATAATAATTGCACTGACTGAACATCTACTGATTTTTCTTTACCACAAATAGTTCTAAAAAAAGTGTCTTCATTTTTTTAAATTTTGTTTTATTTTATTTTATTATTTATTTATTTATTTATTTACTTATTTATTATTATTATTATTATTATTATTATTTTGTGTGTGTGTGTCTTTATTTAAATTTGTCTAACTAACCATTTGATGCTTTGAAGTTCTGCACTGCCAGACTTTCTACAATTTCTTTTGCCTTTTCTTACAATAATACTCCATTTACATGAATATTATTTGCTCTTACAGACCAAAACCTATTGAAAACTATTGTATAAATTTCACATGCTTCAATTTTTCAATTTTTATTTTTATAGTCTTGGAATTTTATAGTCTTTTTTTTCAGCCTTGGAATTATTTGTCTAATTTTTATAGTCTTGGAATGTTCATTTGTAGCAATCCATAATATTTTTATTTCTTTACTATCTAGTACATGACTTACTTGGATTCACTTATTCCAAATTTCTGCCCTAAATTTCTCAAACTAAGTGCTTCTGCTACATGAATTTAAGTGAACTAAGTACTTCTTTGAAGCCATGGTAGATAATGCATGTAAAATTAACACACAAGTACAAACTTCACTTCTTTCGCTTCTCGGTCTTAGTAAGAACAAAGAATGATATAAGTTTTCAATCTATCCAATTTGTGAGATCCCTGTGTCTTTGACATGTGGACCAATCATCACATCACCTTTACATTAGTCCCTGTCTTAGCTTATCTTCAACCTTATAGTAATAAATATGGATGCTGATGATAATCTATTTATGGATCAGAGTAACAATGATGGTGAAGATAAATCAGAATTCGAAGATGGGCCTGAAGAGAGAAGACGAAGACGACAGACTTTTCATGTTATCCAATAATGAAAATTTTTATGTTCAGAAGGTATATCATTTCTTTTCAATAAACTGCATTTAGGTATATATAGAAATCTAATTTTTTTATGATCATTCCTCATTTTAAAATCTATCATTTTTAAACCCAGCGTATCACATGCATTTGTAAACTTCAATCTTATTTTTGTACTGAAAGTGCATGTTATATGCTAAAATATAGAACATATATATATGTAAGATATAACAAAATATGATAGCTATTTTTAAAAAATAACTGACGACCTCAAAATTAACATTCTACATTTGGTGGTCTGCCCCTAAATTCATCTCCTCTCTCACAGGTTCCAGATTTTTCTATCTTACGTTATGTTTTAATGCAGATGCCTCTTGTCCAATTAAGTTTATTGTAAACCAAAACTCTGAACTGAAATTTTCCCACTACTAACCTTCTTCCTCTGAAAGTACTATAACTCTTCCCCTTTTCTGCATAAGCTCTCCATTAGGCAAGAGGCTTTTAATGTATGCTGCTGCCGCTTACTTGCTTAAAACGATGTCGTACCAAAAATGCAACTTACTGTAATCAAATATAATTAGGAAACATCTTGACTGAAAAAGGTTGATTTGATATGCATAAAAAATAAAGATTGTGATTTTTAAGATATGTTGTGCTAAATTGTATCATCATGCTTTCCACTCTGCCACCTTTCACCCACTATGGTATTCTCTGTCATCTACGCAGTATCTAAGCTGTTAAAAGTTCCACTTTTTTCATCTACGCATTTTAAAATCATTACATATTTATAAAAAGCCAAGACAGGACTAACCCGTGCAAGTTTTTCCCAATGGTCTTTGAACTCTGCTGCCTCAAACTTCCATATTCTTAGAATGCCATATTATGAAATGTCATCAAATGTGACAGAAGTGGTATTAAGTTACGAATGGAGTAAATTGCATTTTTAAAATGACTTTGCATTATAAGTAATTTTTGCATTTTTAAGTTATTGTATTATGATTTATTGATGGTAATATTTTGCTTAAATCATTCTAAGATCAAAGTTAATAATTTAAAAATTTTATGGCTTATTTAAAATGTAGTTTTGTGTTTCTGAATTGGGAAAATTATTGAATTTGGTAAAAATTAGGTAAAGAATTTGAAGGTTTTACTTAAAGAAGGTTCCTAATGTGAATAATAGTTCTCTACTATAGTTTAAAGTTTCCTTTGACTTTATATGTTTGAATTTTTGCGGTATTTGAGGATATGGAATTATTGTTTGAAAACTTTTTTAAGTCGGCAGGAATTACTTCTTTAATGTTTTCAAGATAAACGTTGAAAGGCTCTCACCTTATGGGAAAAAAAAATAAATAAATAAATAAAAAATAAATAATTAAATCTAAGTATTTTTATTTTTTCATAAAATAGAGTGTTTTTAATTTTTATAATGGAATGACAGCAGTTCGAAAAAGGCTAGTTGCCTCTATCGTACGAACGGTAGCCTTTTCTACAGTGACTGCTAATTTGGCAAACCTTTTGGCCATTGGTGAAGAATAAACACCAGTTTGCTCAACTGATAAACCAATATGATGGAAATCCTAGCATTTAGAGGAAGTTGTGGAGTCTTCAAGTTTTGTAAAGAATAAGTAAATTTTAAATGTCTTACTAATACTGAAAAGTTTGAAATTTGTTGTGTTTATGAATGATATGTTACAAAATTTTTATATTTTAAAATACTTTCCTTAAAAAACATAATTATGGAAATTCTAAAAAATAACATAAAATTTGGTATCTCAATCTGTAATATAATAGAAATATTTTCATCAACAAAAATTGGAAACACTTTTATTTGAACATTTACTTTGTGAAAAAATTTGAACTTTTACCGTGTGGAACTATCAAGAACTTTACAAAATTTCATTAGACATTCTTATTTCAGGACTCTAAAATATGCCATTGTTTTAAAAGAATACAGTGCTAAAATTAATTATTGAATTCAAAATTTTATGATTTCCACTGAAATGTCAAAATATCGGTCAAAATTTTACGACAATCATTTTTTGTTTAAAAGTGAAATAGGTTTGTTAATATGTTTTGTATTTTCAAAATTGTATTTTTCACATTTTGCTCTCTAATGCTTTTTCTTCCACCTGGCTCACACAGCCTTTCTATTGAGAGGGGGAATATGTAAGATATAACAAAATATGATAGCTGTTTTTAAAATATAATTGGCGACCTCAAAATTAACATTCTAAATTTGGTGATCTGCCCCTAAATTCAACTCTTCTCAAAGGTCCAGATTTTTCTATCTTACGTTATGTTTTAATGCAGATGCCTCTTGTCTAATCAAATTAATTGTAAACCAAAACTCTGAACTGAAACTTTCCCACTCCCAAATTTCTTCCTCTTGAAGTGTTATGACACTCTCCCCTTTTTAGCATAAGCTGTGCTGCTGGCAAGACGCTTACTTGCTTAAGATGACGTCGTATATCAAAATTTAATTTATGGTAATCAAATATATTTAAGAAATATCTTGTCTGAAAAAGGATGATTTGATATACGTAAAAAAAATAAAGAATGTGATTCTTCAAGATACGTTGTGCTAAATTGCGTCATCAAACGTTCCACTCAGCCACTTCTGTCTTCTCTGAACCTTCTTCCTCTGAAAGTACTACAGTCAAAAGTCGTTAATTCGGACACCCATAATTCGGAATGATCTATAATCCGGACCTCAAAACTAAAAACTTTCTGCGCATTGACACATGCGCATAGGCGTTTACGCTTGCGCGTAAATGACTGCGCATATGAGTGTGCGCAAGTGCAGAATATGTTTTCGCGTGCGCGTTTTATGTATAATGGACGTATAAGCTAAAATTATCTATTTCAGTTAATGTTGATGATTGCGTTGTTCCTTAATTTTCGAATTGGATCCGGCTTATTATTTTTTGCAGACTGTAAGAGCAATTTTATAAAAGTAAGCTTAAACTTTCGATTATATCAAATAGAATTTCCGATATATATTTGTTAATATGTAAAGGATCTAAAGCGAAAGTATTTTTTGAAATCCGAAATCTGTTTATCAATTTCACACTGCTCGGCGGGGGGAACGCCACGGCGGGCACGTAACGAATTGGAAGTTGATCTGTCAGCACTATCCTTATCTTCAGTGCAGATGTTTTTATTTTATTTGGCTTATAATTGAAGATCAGATGTTTTTATTTTATTTGGCTTATAATTCCTTACCAAATGTAGTATTTCATCTCGATATGCTCCATCTTTGATATGATTTAAAACAAGTTCCTCGTCATCATAATTCGATTCCGATAGCGAAGAAAAGTGACAGAGGTTATTGAAAACGAAAAAATTTCGATTGACAAATTAGTCGGTGTTCTTGACACAGCAGTTATAGGACTTGAACAGCGGAACTTTGTAACTGAACAAGAAATTATGTCTGTTTAATAGAATTAAAGAGAAAGTATTACCACATGAAACGAAGCAAAACTTAAACAACTTACATTGAAAGAAATGTTTATTTAAGTAAACAAATAAATATTAAGCTTTTTTCTTTTTGCAAATTTTGATACCCTTTAGATCATAACTGTTTTTTATTTCATAAATTACGGTTTCATATTTTTAATTTTAGAATTTCTGCATGCCATCTTACGAGATTTAAACTGATGATCTATAATCCAGAAAAATCGATAATCCGGAATCGCCGAAGTCCCGACGAGTCCGGATTAACGACTTTTGACTGTATAACTCTTCCCCTTGTCTGTGTAAGCTCTCCTGCAAGAGGCTTTTCATATATGCTGCTGCAGTTTATTTGCTTAAAATGATGTCGTAATAAAAATGAATCTTACTGTATTCAAACATAATTAGGAAACAACTTGTCTGAAAAAGGATGATTTGATATGCGTAAAAAAAATAAAGATTGTGATTTTTCAAGATACATTGTGCTAAATTCTGTCATCATGCTTTCCACTCTGCCACCTTCACCCACTATGGTATTCTGTCATCTACGCAGTATCTAAGCTGTTAAAAGTTCCACTGTTTTCATCTACACATTTTAAAATCATTACATATATATATAGGGTGATTCTAAATTGTTTTTACAAATTAAGAGGGGTGATATTACTCATCCAGATGAGCAATAATTACCATAGAACATAGGGTCGCATTTCACTCTGAGAGACAGAAAAGAGGAATATTAGAATTTCAACCTGAACTTACAACAGTTTTGGGAGAGCGAAGTGAATGAGATCAAAAGTTGCACAATCAGTTTAGTGAGAAACTCACAGAGAATGCTTATTATGCATTAAGAGGTTATTGCTAATACATATATATATATATATATATAATGTGTGTGTACATTTCACACAGAAAGTAAAGAATGACACTACACTATTAATAAATATAAATGTCCTGGATGATGCAAAAAGCTCAGGGATCACTGTTCACTTTATGACCTTTAACTCAGAAACTATTTATATATTAGCATTTTAAAGCTACGTCTAAAAAACTGTAATATGCTAAAAAATATCCTTAAAAAGGTTAGCACTATAACCACTTTACTTTCATAAAATACATACTGGTAAAATCTTATATTCCTCATCTATCACATTCCAATTTAAAGCACTTTTCCTCTACTTTTAACAGTGATGTAATTTTTAATCAAAATACAAAGCACTCATTTTAAAATTCAGAAACTTTTCTCATATTAACTTACCTACAGTTTCAGAGTCTGGTACTTCAAGAGGGACCATATTTTCTTTATATTTAACTGAGAAATTTAATAACCGAGATGGGAATACAATAGATGGTTCTGATGCAATAGATAATGGAAGTGGATTGACTAGAGAACTGTCTTTGTCATTTTGTAAATCCAGATCTCCTCCTGCAGAACCACACGCTCCTTCAATCTCCATAGGAAGTTCGATTTCTCGTTCTGAAGGAAGAGTCTGAGATTCTTCTGGCATCACTGAATTGATTGCATCCTAAAATAAAATTTAATATTGTGAATCAAATACTCAAATATTATCAATTACTTTTACAAATTATTTTGCTGATAAACAGCAACACAGACTGCACCACTAACTTTACAAATGCTATTTCATTTCTAACTTTATCTCTCTAAATATTTACAGAGTTTTTGGTACTGTTCTGTTATCAGGACCAGATCAGAAATGTATGTATATATGGATGGATGGATCTGTTCATGTATGTAAACATATAAGAAAATACAATAGCTGCTTTAAGAATACAGAAATAATTGGCAACCTCAAAATTAACATTCTAGATTTAGTGCTCTCTCCCTAAATTCATCCGTTCTCCCAAATTCAAGAACTTTCTATGTTATAAAACGCTACTGGAAAAAGGCAACTAAAACTTATATTAACCAATCATAGCTTGTCTCTACAATTACATCAGATGTAGTATAAATACCACTGGTAAGTTAATTACATCATTTATTCTGCTGCATTCCTTTCCTAGCTTCCACCATTGCTAACATGTCTTAAGCTCTGCTTGTCCATCTAAAATGATGTCACCCCCATTAACCTGTGTAAACTGTATATAAGAAATTATGGTAATTGTTATGATTAAAGAGTATATTGTATAAGAGGAATTATTCTAGTGCCCCTGGAAATTTGGAAATAAAGATAATAATTGGATGAACTTACTTTCATATCAACTTTTTCCTCTCGACTCAGCCATAGCGACAATACATGTATATATGGAAGCACGAATGTGTGTATACACATATACACGTATATGCACATACATACATTTCTCAATCCTGACCTGATAACAGAACAGTACTGAGTTTTTTAATACTTTTATAGCAATTTTATATCTCTGATATATGACATTTGAATTCATTGAAAAACACCCGATTAACTGTAAAGTTTGGTTATTTTGAAAATCTGACTTATTTATTAATATTTATTTTAACATTCAGCATGAATTTAACATGCAAAAATTATCCTCTGCTAAAAAATTTTAAAATTCCAAAAAGAAAAAAATGAAATAAAATGAGAAATTAATTCAAATTTCATTCAACCTGTTAGTATTTACTTACATAAAAACATATTCACCCCCTAAAGAAAATTATACCCTAAAAATGGTATAATTTTCTTTTACTTTAGTACTTTTATTATCAGTAAAATGAAAGGCAGAGAGAGAGAAAAAAGAAAATTTAAAAAATAAAAAAAAAAAAAAAAAAAGCTAAAATGATGATCTCAGAAAATACAAAATGCCTAAAATTCTGAAAAATAATTTAAAAAGTTATACTGCGTATAGAATAATGCTGAAGCATTGAAGTACACTGTAAACCCTCAAGAATTTACCAAATTAGGATAATACAAACTTGATCATTGTCCACACTCTCAAAGCACTGTGGGCTAAATTGTGCGATATTTATTGTACTTTAGAGAAAGCCTAAGGCAGATGTTATTGCACAAATAACTTTGCTGTAGAACAACTGAGGATGAACTTTCTCTCAACTAAGCACAAAATAAATAAACTCATGATACATTTTTCATGCAGAGCACTTTCAACCAGAAGAAGACTAGCAGAAGAATTCAAAACATTGTTTCTTTGATCCACCCTATTGTGAACTCTAACTATCCTTAATCCTCTTTGCTTTACGAATACCTATGCAAGAAAAATTTAGTATTTATGTATTAAGACACCGTTCAGATGGGAATGTGGTTAGTGACTCTGACTGCCGTACTGCAGGGCCCGAGTTCGAATCCCGGAGAAGGCATGGATGTAAACTGTCTATGCTTTCATAAGAGGTAACAGTGGCTGCCTATTAGGTTCCTCCATAATAAAACTACCACCACTTATGGCCTCAGTAGTGGGCCAAAGCCTGAAATGGCTAGTGCCCACCATAAAAAAAAAGTAGTACAGTCAAAAGTCGTTAATCCGGACTCGTCGGGACTTCGGCGATTCCGGATTATCGATTTTTCCGGATTATAGATCATCAGTTTAAATCTCGTAAGATGGCATGCAGAAATTCTAAAATTAAAAATATGAAACCGTAATTTATGAAATAAAGAACAGTTATGATCTAAAGGGTATCAAAATTTGCAAAAAGAAAAAGCTTAATATTTATTTGTTTACTTAAATAAACATTTCTTTCAATGTAAGTTGTTTAAGTTTTGCTTCGTTTCATGTGATAATACTTTCTCTTTAATTCTATTAAACAGACATAATTTCTTGTTCAGTTACAAAGTTCCGCTGTTCAAGTCCTATAATTGCTGTGTCAAGAACACCGACTAATTTGTCAATCGAAATTTTTTCGTTTTCAATAACCTCTGTCACTTTTCTTCGCTATCGGAATCGAATTATGATGACGAGGAACTTGTTTTAAATCATATCAAAGACGGAGCATATCGAGATGAAATACTACATTTGGTAAGGAATTATAAGCCAAATAAAATAAAAACATCTGATCTTCAATTATAAGCCAAATAAAATAAAAAAATCTGCGCTGAAGATAAGGATAGTGCTGACAGATCAACTTCCAATCATTACGTGCCCGCCGTGGCGTTCCCCACGCCGAGCAGTGTGAAATTGACAAACAGATTTCGGATTTCAAAACATACTTTTGCTTTAGATCCTTTACATATTAACAAATATATATCAGAAATTTTATTTGATATAATCGAAAGTTTAAGCTTACTTTTATAAAATTGCTCTTACAGTCTGCAAAAAATAATAAGCCGGATCCAATTCGAAAATTAAGGAATAACGCAATCATCAACATTAACTGAAATAGATAATTTTAGCTTATACGTCCATTATACATAAAACGCGCACGCGAAAACGTATTCTGCACTTGCGCACACTCATATGCGCAGTTGTAAAAGGTCTTACGCGCACGCGTAAACGCCTATGCACATGCGTCAATGCGGCGCATGCGCAGAAAGTTTTTAGTTTTGAGGTCCGGATTATAGATCATTCCGAATTATGGATGTCCGAATTAACGACTTTTGACTGTACTAGTATGTTTTTCTGCACAAGATCCTTCTGTGCCAGAAAGGTTGAGAAGAAATTACTACACATTTAATGCTCTATACTTTCAGCACGTCAATCAGTTATTTCACATATGAAAATAACACCAAGGAATATTTAACAAAATTGTAAGATAATAAATCAAATTATCCACTGCCACTGACTGTGAACGACTTTTGAAACTGTGGCACAATTCAAATCTCTTAGAACTATTGTCACTAATAATATGATTTATCTATGGAAATTAATAACATACTCCCCATTGAAAATAGATGCTACCATAGTCTCAAAAATCAGTTCTCGATTAATCTACCATAATACTAAAATTAATATATATAAAACCCTGTTACGTCCCATCATACTATATGGCTGTGAGTGCTAAGCAATGATTAAAATAACTGAAAGTAAACTACTGATCTTTGAATGTAAAATACTAAGAAACATATTTGGTGATGTTTGTGAAAATGGTGTTTGGAGATCAATGTATAAGCATGAAATCTACCAAAAATTTACACAGCCTGATATTATCAAGGTTATAAAATGCCATGGGATTTGATGGTTGGGTCATTTATACAGAATTGAAAACACAAACCCTGTAAAACAACTCACATTTACCAAACCTATGGCAGCAAGAAAGCGAGGAAGGCCACTAATTAGATGGCTTGATGCTGTTGAGGTTGACATTAATACAATACATAGGAGAGATTGGAGGAATATTGCCATGAATAGGTCCAGATGGCATAGACTGAGATGGCTAGCAGTAGGCTGTAGTGCCTCAGAAGAAGTAAGATAATAAAATATATAATGACTAAATGATAAATGAATAACAATTAATATTACTATATGATATTCTTAAAAGCATTTCTTTTCAACAAGAAATGTGTCATTACTCTTTAGTAATACATTAAAAAAATAATTATATCATCCCATTACACTTTAATTTCCTGAGTGGTATGACCACTTTTATTCAGTTATAAGATTTTTTGTCACTTATTACATTATAATGCAAAAGTTTGTTTTCTTACTTAATGATAAAATATTATCTTATAAAAAAGAAAGTTTATGAAAAGAGAGACTAAAATAAATAATTATATAAATTTAGCTAATAAATTCTGTTTAAATACAGATCTTCATTAGTAAATTCAAAATGCAGTGTCACTTAGAGGGTTAAACAATATACAGTCAAAAGTCGTTAATTCGGACACCCATAATTCGGAATGATCTATAATCCGGACATCAAAACTAAAAACTTTCTGCGCATGTGCCGCGTTGACACATGCGCAGAGGCGTTCACGCGTGCGCGTAAGACTTTTTACGACTGCGCGTATGAGTGTGCGCAAGTGCAGAATACGTTTTCGCGTGTGCATTTTATGTATAATGGACGTATAAGCTAAATAATTATCTATTTCAGTTAATGTTGATGATTGCGTTGTTCCTTAATTTTCGAATTGCATCCGGCTTATTATTTTTTGCAGACTGTAAGAGCAATTTTATAAAAGTAAGCTTAAACTTTCGATTACATCAAATAGAATTTCCGATATATATTTGTTAATATGTAAAGGATCTAAAGCAAAAGTATGTTTTGAAATCCGAAATCTGTTTATCAATTTCACGCTGCTCGGCGGCGGGCGCGTAATGAATTGGAAGTTGATTTGTCAGCACTATCCTTATCTTCAGCGCAGATGTTTTTATTTTATTTGGCTTATAATTGAAGATCAGATGTTTTTATTTTATTTGGCTTATAATTCCTTACCAAATGTAGTATTTCATCTCGATATGCTCCGTCTTTGATATGATTAAAACAAGTTCCTCGTCATTATAATTCGCTTCCGATAGCGAAGAAAAGTGACAGAGGTTATTGAAAACAAAAAAATTTCGATTGACAAATTAGTCGGTGTTCTTGACACAGCAATTATAGGACTTGAATAGCGGAACTTTGTAACTGAACAAGAAATTATGTCTGTTTATAGAATTAAAGAGAAAGTATCATCACATGAAACGAAGCAAAACTTAAACAACTTAACATTGAAAGAAATGTTTAATAAAGTAAACAAATAAATATTAAGCTTTTTCTTTTTGCAAATTTTGATACCCTTTAGATCATAATTGTTCTTTATTTCATAAATTACGGTTTCATATTTTTAATTTTAGAATTTCTGCATGCCATCTTACGAGATTTAAACTGATGATCTATAATCCGGAAAAAGCGATAATCCGGAATCGCCGAAGTCCCGACAAGTCCGGATTAACGACTTTTGACTGTATATCGTATAAGCACATGCTTTTTACTTCACATATACTTAAAAGTATAACATAAAAGTTAATAATTCTTTCAATTTCTCTCATTTTAAATTAAATGGGTACTTACACTTTTATAAACAGTGGATACGTAAGTCTTGTAAACCCTTATGCCAACAATTCATTTACATTTTTATAAATAATGAGCAAATAGATACTAAAGAATGGATTAAACATGGTGATAAAAATAATTAATCTTTTATGCAGCTCTCAATTTAGCTTAAAAGCAAACTTAAAAAATACTTCTCTTCTCCAACAGAACAAACATCATGTATGATCCTCAAATTATCACAGTATATTCATGTTTGTATGAACACAGTTTTCTGCAGCTTTTTTTAATTAGCTTTGTGCCATTACAAGGGTCAGAAGTGGTGGCCATTTCATTATGGAAGCACCTATTAGGCGACCACTGTTGCCTCTTACGAAGGGGTGAAAAGTTACACCCATGCCTTCTTTGGGATTTGAACCCGAGCCCATCCCTATGGCAGTCAGGGTCACTAACCACTATATTGGTTAGGTGGCAGTTTTCTGTAACTAAAAGTGTGTAAAATGAGTACTTTATATTAAATAAATATTTCATTAATTTGAAAAGGAAGGTTGATTAACAAAATCTCTCAGATTTATTACTTCATATGGTTTAGGAAATTTTTTTTACTTACTCTACTTCAAAATATATTTCTTCTTACTTATCCTTCAAGGCATTTTAAATTTTTAAGAATGAGTTATGGGAAATAAGATGCATGTCACAGCAAAATGCTCTATCAAAGTACCTTTATTTGAAATCCATATTACACTGTATAATATACAATAAAATTTCTGCACCAATTAGATCTGTATCAAAATGATAAAAAATATCAAATTGGTTAAAGGCACACATAACTAGAATACAGATACAATAAGCACCACTTGACTATTTTATTCAATAGTAATTTAACTAATTCAATATAAATACTTATTTTCGCAGCATTTTAACTAGAGAAAAGGTCATTCATTAAAAATTGATTATCTAGAAGTGATATGCAAAAGTTCATTTATCGACTGTTCATAATGTTTCTGGAAATTATCGCACTGACACTGTAATCTTAATATTTATAATGCATCCCTTATCTCTGCATTTGTAGGAAATTCACCAGTTTCTTCATCATCTTCTTCAGAAAGTTTATCAAATGATAAATCTGGATTTCTTTCAGAAAAAGAATGGCAGATATCTTCTGTAATTGATGCTGCAAACTGAATTTTCTCACCAATATTCACATAAATGTTAAATTCCTCCCAATTCATATAATTGGAGATGTTTATTTTAGTTCTTTAACTTCATCCATTTCATCATTTATTAAAAGTTTGCCATGCTTTAAACATTCCTTAAATTATTATCTTTACTGAAAAACAGTTCCAAGACATGTTCAGCAAATGGAGTTCATCAAGAAAGCTAATTTCCCTCACTAATTCAATTGCATTTATATCATCTATGCTATACATAACTCTAACACTCATTTCATGGGGACAATGCACTTTCATCACTCTAATAATTCCTTGATCAGATGGCTGAATTATGGCAGTGAATTACTCTTTGACAATTTGATAGCAATATCCAAATGATAACATTACCCATAATCACATTTAGCATAACTTATTACATCATATCTTTCATGCAAGTTATTCAACTTACCAATAAATTCCAATTTGTAGCTTCTAAATGCATAATACATTCTGCAACATCATCAATCCCAGTACATGACTAAAAAAGAAAACAAATATATAATCAAAAGATTAATAAAATAGCTAAAATAAACATATTAAAATAGTATTCTTTTAATGTGGATAATTAAATACAAAAAAGTAATAATTCTCTAATCATGAAACACTACATTTTAAGAATCAATTGCCACATACAGTGGATGGACAAAAATATGGAAACACCTTGTGAAATGCATGTTTGAAAAGATTGATTTTAATGAAATATGTAGGTGGCGCTGGCGTTTTTGACTACTGACGCCACCTATAAAACTTCGTAAATGTGCTAAACAGTTCAGTTGTTGTTGGAGTACTGTTATGTGAGGTTGTCATTGCATTATGTCAGAGTTAACAGACTTCGAACGTGGGCAAATTGTTGGAGCACGTATGGTAGGTGCTTCCATAAGCAAGGTAGCCGAGGTGTTTAGTGTTTCAAGAGGTACTGTATCGAAGATTTATTCCGCATATTTGAAAAGCGGAAAAACATCATCTGCTAAATCACAGCACGGACGAAAGTGTGTCCTGAGTGATCGCGACAGACGATCATTAAGGGCAATTGTGACGAAAAATAAGAAGACCACAGCTGCAAAAGTTACTGTTGAAATGAATGTTGTGTTACCGAACCCTGTGAGTACCAAAACAATTAGAAGGGAGCTTCATAAACAGGGAATTGCTGGTCGTGCTGCAATTGAGAAGTCACTTATCAGTGATGCTAATGCCCATAACAGGAAAAGATGGTGTTTAAGTCATAAAGCCTGGACTAGAGCAGTGGAAGCAAGAAATATGGTTCGACGAGTCTTCTTTCACATTGTTTCCCACTTCTAGCCGAGTTTACGTCTGGAGAACGCCATCTCAAGCCTATAATATACACTGCTTGTTGCCAAGAGTGAAACATGGCGGGGGTTCTGTTATGGTTTGGGCAGCCATATCGTGGTTCTCTGCTAGCCCCATGATAACTGTGTCAGGGCACATGACTGCCAAGACTTATGTGAACATTTTGGCTGATCAAGTTCATCCCATGGTACAAACTTTGTTCCCTGATGGTGATGGTGTCTTCCAAGACGACAAAGCCCCTGTTCACACAGCTCACATTGTCCAGGACTGGTTTTCTGAGCACGAGGATGAGTTGTCCCATCTCCCCTGGCGACCACAGTCACCAGACTTGAATATTATCGAACCTCTGTGGTCTACATTGGCACAGAAAGTACGTTCTCGTTATCCACCGCCAACATCGTTATCTGAACTTGCCACCGTTTTGCAGGAAGAATGATATAATATTCCCTTGGCAAACATACAGGAACTGTATTTATCCATTCCGAGAAGACTGCAAGCTGTTTTGGATGCCAACGGGTTTCCTACACCATATTAAGCAAAGAAACATGTTTTTTTAAAGGTGTTTCCATATTTTTGTCCAAACCCTGTATATATGCCCCAAAAAAGTAAAAATAATGTCTACATTGACTAACTTCATTTTATGTCTAAAAAAATTTAAATACTGTATAAAACACTATTAAAACAGTACAATTTATGAAAAAATCTTGATGCACGTTCAAAATGGCAAAATTAGATGTTTGCCTGATTCCATGTGATAAATATATCAAATTATCTAAATCAGTCATATTAAATATGTAAAAGTTAAAAAAAATCATCCCTTTAAATAGTATGTGAAATGCATATTTGAATAAGTATTTAAAAGCTGACTTCATAATGTATGCGCTAATAAACATTGTAGGTAAAGCTTATGCTTATTCGAATTGTTGAAGTTTAGTTTATTTTCATATGTGAACTCAGTTCTATAAATATAGAAGGCAGATTAAATAAAACTTTCAAGATAAAAATTTTTTTTTTTTTTTTAAATCCAAACCTTTTTCTCTTTTCAGAATATTAACTAAATCTAAATAAAATAACATATATATGCAAGTATTCTTATATTATTTGCAGAAAATCGAGTCTTTGTGAACTTTGCTGTTTAAAACTTGCTCTAAGACAATTACACTTAAATTTTGGGTGTTTTTTGGTTAACAACTACTTAAGACAGACTTTTTTTTTTTTTTTTTTTTTTTTCCCAATACGGCATAATTTAATCTTGCTTGCCAATATACATTTTTCTACTACAACAAACCTACTAAGGAAAACTTTCAACCTACTGTCAGGACAAGACTAATAAAAACTTTAACCAAGAAAAGCAATGAAACACACAAAGCTATAAATTCTGTAAAACTTGAAAAGATTTGAAAATACTAATCTTTGTGCTTTTTTTATCAATTGGATCTTAAAACCATTAAATGTTTTAAAAACTCTAAAACAATCAATTTTATTGATATCTAATAAAAGCATCCATTTAAAAAAATACTGAAACTGTTGTAATTTCAGTGGTTTTTGATGGCCATGAATAGCAAACTTTTAATTTCTTGAAGAGAATTTAATATTATACATTTAATATTTATCTGTGTTAATTCTTGAAATATTCCCCTTCCTTCTGCAACTGCTTTAATTTTAAAAAATACTATAAAAATGAAAAATTATATTGGGGAAATTAACATCAAGATGCAGGCAAGAGTTTTATCAGGCATCTCACTTACTAAATTTCACTTGTTTCTATGTAATAAATACAGATTTTTTTTAAAATAAAAAAACAGCATTTTTAAATTTGTTCCTCACTAAATGCAGATTTCAAATTTTGCTTTAATTAAAAGCTTAAAAATCAGTAAAATACTTTTTTTTTCTTTTTTCTTAATATTTTTATACACAGGATTCAAGAGATTTGAGAACCTTTTAAGATTTCAAATTTGTCTTATCTCAAATAATGATCATAAACAAATCTATTTCTTTCAATTAGCTAATAAAATATTTGTCTGACATGAGCTAATACGAAGGTTTCAATATTTATTATGAATAACAAGTGAAGCAAAATTTTTATACATAATTATGCAGCATATATTATTAAAAAATGGTTTAAAATTTAAGAGGTCACAAGTTTTTCATAAAAAGCAAAATTTCAGTTAAGAGATCTTTCACATAACTTTTTATTGTTATCGTTTAATATTTTTGCATTTGTTCAGCGACGCTAACACATCGTCTGTCAAAATCGTCTGTGAGACTATCTCTGCGCAGTCGCAAAGTGTTCCCATGGTTACCAGTTTTTTCTTTACCGCTGTTATTCTTAAAAATAAATAGGAAAATGTTTGTTCTAAAAGACTGAAGTTGTGTTTGTTTATTCGGACTACATTTTTTATATATTGGTGCATCGTTTTCAAAAACTGTATAAACCACCTGGTGTAAAATTGATATCTCATTTCGCAAATCGTTGGAACACTTCGACAATGCGGTAAGTAACAGTATTTAGTTAGGAAATTTGTTGATAATAGTTTGTTTGAGGCTCAAAGAATTTAAGTGAAATTGCATTGTGTAGTAGTAGTTTGTTTACGGTTTCGTTGGGCAGAACAGCATTGTTTTGTTGCAGTATTGTTATTATAATGGCTAAAGAGTTAGATAGACTTAAGAAGCAACATACCTACCATAAAGGGCAGGTAACGAAATTAATATAAAAAATAGAAAATCATATGTCTGAACCACATATAGAAGTACATAAATTAGAAAGCCTTTTAGTTCAGTTACAAATCAAAGACGAGCACCTCAAATCTATTGATAATAAAATCGAAGGTCTTTTAGATGATGCAGAAATGCAATCTGAAATACAAAGAATTGATGAATTTAAAGAAGTAATTATATTTAACTCGGTAAAACTAAAAAATAAAATAAAATCGTTGCAGTCCTCATCTGTACAAGAACCCGCATGTGTGCAACCCATAACAAAGCAATGTAGACCAAATACAAACGCAAAGTTACCTAAAGTGAAAGTTCATACGTATTACGAGGACCCACCTGAGTATTTAAATTTCTGGAATGAATTTGAAAATTCTATTGACAAAAATCCTTCCCTTTCAGATGTCGAAAATTTTTTGTATTTGTTTAGTTGCCTTGGAGGCGAAGCTCTTCCTTGTATTAAAGGTTTCGCTATTACCTCGAACAACTATAAGTTGGCTCTTAAATTAATCCAAGAAACCTTTGGCCAGAAAGATGTATTAATCAATGCCCATATGTCTAAGCTGTTGAATTATGACATCGTTAAAGAACATTTTTAATTTACAAGAGTTGAGAAACCTGTATTTTAAGTGCCAAACTCAAATTCGTTCTCTTGAGAATTTAAGTATAAAATCAGAAAATTATAGCGTAATGCTTTGCACTGTAATTTTGAAACTTTTTCTCAGCAACCTTGTTTTAGAATTCAGCAAAAATCAAATCTCGAGCACTAATCATAATTTAAAGGAGTTAATGGATTTTTTACATTGTTCCATTACTGCAAGGGAGAGAACATTTCATATACACTCTGCTTTTTCACACGAAACACTTAGCCAGCATAAACAATCTAATCATAGAAATTTTGGAGCCCCTAATTGCAAAAATTTGGTTACTCTGCTAATGAATTACTGACCAATGCTACTTCAGATACTTATATATTTTGCAGTCAGCAGCACATTAGCTATTTGTGTGAATATTTGAACTGTCAAAAAAGCGAGAGAGAAGCTTTTACAAGAAAAAAGATGTTTATTGTGTTGTAATATAAATTGTTGTGTAAAGGCCTGCAAAGGGGTAAACTGCTCCTTTTGCAATGGTAAACACGCCCACGCAATATGCTTTATATTAGAAAATTCTAAAAAACAAAGGATTGAACATGGTTCAAATAAAAATCTAATGAAACAGTTGCTACTTCATCAAATTATATACTGAAATGACAGAAGAGGAATTTAGTTGCAATGTGTAAAGGTAGAAATTGTTGGAAAAGAGTCGTCATATTTTATTTTTTGTTTATTTGATAATGGATCTGAGCGCACATTTGTACAGAAAGAAGTTCCTGATAGGTTGGGATTAAAGGTTGCTGGTTCAGAAAAATTAAATATTTATAGCTTTGGCGCAAAGATACGGAAAAGGCAGATTGTCGAA